GACTAATTGAGACCCCTAAAACTTCATTTATTCGCTGGTGTCAAAAAATCGTTCCACATTTTCTTCGTCATCCTATTTAATAGTGCACACTCAAAAAGTTCAAAAATTGCTGATGCATACGATCCAAATTTTAAAGATAAGATCCAACCTGCCAGCGCACTAACTTCTTATCAACTTAACTCTTTCTATTTTCTGAACAGAGGGTACTGTAAAAACCGTCTTAGATAACAAACAAGATAACTTCCGAGACTTCGACAAATTGATAGCGATGGATCGTAAATTTGCACGCTGAGGTTAAAGTCAACTATAAATGCCGTAATATTCGATGCCGTCGCTTCAATTAAGGAAGCTTCGCGTTTCGAATTGAATTATCATCAGATTCGAAGAAAAGAAATCGAAAGTTTTTACAAATAAAGAAATTGAGTGGCTGCAATTTACCATTTGTCAATTAACTACACATGAATAAATCGAATTTTATTTCAATGAAAATAATTTATGTTCACCAACAATCAAAAGAAGGAAAATTACTAATTCAGTTGTCAATCCGTTTAGTTTGCGCGCCGTTCACCAAAGAGAACAAAAGGGTTTTACACACATTGCCCCTTTTGTCGCATTTCAATGAGAATCTAACATTTTTTGCACAGAACTAGTAATAACTCTTTCAACTACATTTTATGAGTGTACAAAGATGAATTAGAGCAGTAGTCATCAAATGGACGTGTGTGCTCATTCTTTGCAATTTCTGTCTCTGTCCCTCAAAAAAGGTTTGCTAGCAACGTTCTCTATCGTGCTATTCTACTGCCATCTCGTATGTATTGTCGACCAAGGGTTTGAACCGACAACGCCGAGCCGTGTCGTTCGACCGCCACACCACGCATGCGCTTCGTCGGTGCGCTCGTCCTCTCGTCTCTCAAAAAAGTGCAACGCTGCAGTGGTGAGAGAGAGAGTATACACAACGAGCACAGCGCAAACATGTCTCGCCGTTTTTTCATCGTTGGACACTAGTGTGCCCTCTTGCAGCACAATTCGCTCCCCAGCGACATCTTTCACTTCTCGTATTATCAAAGAAAACTAGCGAACACAATGCCTCAGAAGCCTCACCATGCCGTGTGCCTCAAATCAATCATGTCTGGAACGCGAACGTTAGCGATTAATGCACTCGTTAATGGAATATTTAACAAAGTCGCGACGGACTTGCACAAACAGCCAAATACAGCAGTTTCGCCGACTTGGATGAAAAGTATCCAATCTAGCTCTGAAATGAGACTTGTGTCAGAAATTCCCAGACTCTGTCAGAAATTAGAGTAAAGCTTGTAGAACCCAACGCCATTGGTTTGAACCGTCAAAAATTAAGTATGACTGAAAAAAATTAAAATGAAAAAAATGAAAGGGGGCTGAAAAGGCCCAAAAATGTTCGCACAGACATGCCTATTTCATTGGCACGTCATCCGCTAAATATAAGCAGGTTTTAGGTGGCAAAACCACTTAAACTTGTCGATGCTGCCACGTCACATGTGTGTTATGTGTGCTAATCAACTTCGAAATGCGGCGAAAATTGTCGCCTTGGTCGCCCTTTTCTATATCTGCGTATCTCCGCATGGCGGACTCTCGTCAAGCGTTCCGCAGAATATTGCGCGATAGTCTTGATGAGAGATGAGAAAAATAGCACTAGTCTACATTTTATGGGTTAATTTCGTGAAAAAATGGAGGGATATATTGACGTTTTTTTGCACACAGACACAAATACACTTTTGGTTTCACATTCGCATTGATGACAATACAAATTGGATGTGCGCATTGGGAACCGACTAAATGAAAAATGACGAAAATTGAAATGTGCTCAGATGAAGAATTGTGGACGAATGGAGTGTTTTGGCCACCCGTGGAGAACATGTTGACACCCGATTATAATCTGATTTAAATAAATGGGTTTTTGGTGAAACGATGCAAAATACTAGCGCAGAATGAAATAAAAATTTCGGATTGATTGATTTTGTTTTTGGCGCGATAAAATGAAATATAATGCTTTGTGCGTCCAAAATTGTTCGCATTACGGGAATAAAATATGAATTTGATTTTCGGAATCTCGTTAACACTAATAATAGTCAGCAAGGGATTTTCAGGTAAATATAACATAGTTAAAACTATTTGAAAAAGTTGAATAATGTATGAAATGGAAGTTTTTTGTTTTCTATCAATTTTTGAATAAAACTAAAGAAATGTTTCATTCACATTTACAAGTTTTCAATTGAAATAAATAAACCACTCACTAACGAAAATTGTTTAACATTTGATGAGCAAAAATTTATATTTGATATTGCGCCACTTAATGCTGAGTACAGCATATATATATATATATATATATATATATATATATATATATATATATATATATATATATATATATATATATATATATATTATACAAAACTTGAATATGGAATTTTTTTCAACTTTGTTTTTACGGGGTTTTCTGGACAAAAATAAATTGTGGATAAAGCACGAATGGATAAAGAAAAGTTTATAAATAGGGTACGTTTCACAATTATTATGTTTTCAACTATTTTGAAATTTTGTTTAAAAAAAATAGTATAATTTCAATATTTCCTCTTTTCTTTCTTACTCATTAAAAAAAGAAAAAAAGTGAATAAATTGTTTGAGAGAAAGCTTAAATTTTATGTAATTTGAATAATTAATGAAGCGACCGTAGCGCAGCCGCGTCGCGCCTGGCCCAATTCAATTTGCGAGTTGCTACCACCATTTGCGAAAGAATTTCGTTGTAGAAGAAAAAAAAGAAAAAATATGGTTTTTTTTTATTTCTCAAATTAAATGTCAATTGTCTCTTAAATAAACCAGGATATTTTCAATTTAAATCAAACTTTTTTTAGCGAGAAAAAACTTCGAAATCCTTTTAAACAAAAAATTGAGTGCAATACAATTTAAAAATTTGCTTCTTGAAAATTCTCACGCCCTTCGAAAATTGCGCTAAAAAACTAAAAAAACAAATCTTTGGTTTCTCAATGAAGAGGATCGAAAGAAAGTAATTTAAAATCTGAAAGTTGGTCGCAATTTTGCCGAAATCGTATGTATGCATTCGAAATTGGCAGCCAAAATGGATAACACAATTTCGAACAAAACATGACAAACAAGCGTCTGAGATCATTTTTTTTGTGATCGATACGTCTTTCTCAGAAGGCATGCATGACACTTGATATGTCTTCATCCATCATTCAAAATTTACTCAACCATTGTTTGAACCCTTGTCCGTTTTCTTAAATCTTGTTTTCGGGGGGGGGGGGATGAACATGCGCTTTCTGAGAATTTGAAAAAGGAAAAATTGCATCATCTAGACAGAATTCAAACATCCACCGCTTTAGTCGCCAACGCACACCACCAATTTCCTTTTCACTTCTGCTGTACATGTGTACCAACCATTACTTATCGATGCAATTAACTGCCATCTGCCGTTAGTATCTGTTGAACAGACGAAGTGTAATGTATAAATTTCGGGAACATTGCAATCATTTTTCGCCGCAAACGTCTTATTTTATCACAAAAACGAAACGCGAAAATTATGATAAAAAAATGTTCGTCTTATCAATCAAGTTAATCGGCAGAAAGATTACAATAACTCATTGAACATTTTTTGACGAGTATTCGTTTTTTCGATTAAAATTCCATTTCGTGCAGACAACTTTGATGGCTCTTATCTTATCAGGATTACACAGCAAGCCGGTTTTTCCAATTTTTACAGCTATTGGCGCTACCGATAGTGCAAGTGAGCACAAAGTACACCGAAATATAGATTGTTTATGAAATTGAGTTGTGTAAAGTGAGAAGTGTTTCATAAAATAAACTATAAATTGCCTTTGTATATGAAAGTTTGTAAACTAAACAATGAAAATGATGTGGACAGTTTCATTAAACAAATTTACAAGGCACAGTTTTGCACAAAAAAGCAATAGCTAAACCTAGAAGGATCGCAATCAATTGTCTGTAATGATGATATGGCATTGACTGCGAGGATAAAAAATAAGTGTTAAAGCTAGTAAACGTTTTTTATCTTTGAATTATGAAACGATTTTCTTTTGATGTTACCTATTGAGTGTTTGCACTTATAAAATCCAATTTCTAATATAATTTTTTATTTGGTCCTTATCATCGCTACAATCGGTGCCAAACCCAACTTAACGATGAACGACGCTATATGAATAATTGTAAAATGGGAGAGAAAAGATAATGCCAACTAGCGGCGAACATGAAACGTTTCCCGAGACTATCAAGACTGGTTTTCATCCCATAATGATCATTCTTGATATACTTAATTCACGATTGAACTTTGAGGATAGTCGGTCCACTTTGGGATGTCGTATTTCGTATCTTGAAATTTTGGATTGGACGTGCAAAATTCCTGGAAAATTACAACTAGTAGCCTGACCTGATGTAATAATGATTACAAAACGATGGGAAAAAATATTTTCACTTTTGAATTAGTACCGCCAAAATGAAGTAACATTCAAAGAAACATATAAGTATTATTTCTAGCATTTCTTAGGATCAGCAAATGAGAGTTGAATGCAGAACTAGAGTTCAAATTATGCAAAATATGTTCACCATAAATCTTAGAAAGACGAATGGTACTCATTACTATTTTCGAAGCTTTCTTCTATTTTATAATTGAACTGGTTATTTCTATTCAATTCTAATTTACTCATGACCGTCGTAGAGGGGAAAAAATGAACTTCTTCATCGTCATCAAGTTCAACGCTGCCGAATATCTTCAGGCTAACTGCCGTCGTGATTCACTTCTTATCAATTGTATCGGATTTTATTCTCGAGACAAACAATGGAATCTATGACTGCGATCCTGAGACCGGATTTGGAGTCGGCTATTCGCGCACCTCCCTGACATTGTTGCCGACGGAGTGCCCGGTTTTCACCTTCATTTGGGTCATCGTTTCAATTTCGTCGTTTTCATCAAACCTCAATCATTGGCTGTCATGAACCTCAAATTTACGTTTTTCATATTATTTATTACTTATTTGAATCATTTTGCTCAAGCTGAGGATGAAAAACCATCACCAGGAGAAGAAAGTATTTTATTAATTTTAGATTAAAAAAAAATATATATATATATATTAATTTTTAGTGGTTGATCGTTTGGCAGTTAATTTAGCTGGAGCATTTGTAAAAAGTATGTTTCCTGAAATGGATAGAGCCAAAACCACGCAAGCTCCAGCAACCCAGCCACCTCCTCCAGTACAACAAGTACTTCCGAATGAAATCAGAAGAGCTCCAGTGAATCCTTTATCAAGCTCATTAGATGGATATTCACGTAATTATTAGTCTTTGATTATTTAACATAATCCATGATATTGCAGCTTCTTTTGCGGCTTCTGAGTACAACGCTATCCCACAATTAAGCCAAGCAAATGAATCCCCAAGAAATCCGTTCAGCTATCAATCCCAACAGCCATCAACATATTCTGTTATGCCACAGGTGAAAAAAACAGAAAAAATTCTCATCAATTTATTATGATTCAGGCTAACAGAAATCAAATGGCTCAGACGCAAGCTGCCGGATTGGATGGTTTAGGTGCACTGGCCTACAGTGGTATATCTAATCCCGATATTGCCGGAATGCTTTCTGGAAGCGGAGGAACTCCAGAAGCAATAAATGCTGTTAGAAACCGTGCATACTTGGCGGTGTGTCTTAATTAAAAATGGAAATTTTCAATCACAACAACCTTTAGGAACTTGCTAAGCATCAGCAGGAGTTGAATGCTTACAGTGCGAAGCAAATGGAATATCTTGACCAACAACGCCGCTATCAACAAGCCATGATTGATCATCAAGCCGGCGCAGCGCTTTTAATGCAGAAACAGCAACAAGAGATAATTGCGGAACAAATAAAGAAAATGAAACAAAGCTACGAACTTCCCAATGAACCAGCCAAAGGATTTGATGAGAATGATAATACCGTCGGTGGAAGAGTGAGAATTAATTTTATTGATGTGAATTAAATTATATTTTTCAGGTTTTGACTGCTAGAGCTAGAGGAGTGAAAACCATGAAGGTGCCAGTAAACAAAAGTAAGAAAATTTTAATAACCAGTCAGGGGGGGGGAACCAAGCTACTTTTATCTATCGTCGATATCCAGTAGCTCTCGCGGAAGTTATTATATCGATAGATTTGATGAAAAAAAAAACGCTCAAAAATTGGGGTAATTCTGTGATCAATGAGTTTTGCAAATCCATCTTTTGCAGTCTTTTCACATTTGTCCATGGTTCACAATTACACTCGAACCGGAGAAAAAATAGAGAATAGAAAATTTGTTAATTAATTTATAAACGTCATTTAAAGACCACCCATGCCATATAGTTTTAACCTTAGTGTAAATATTGTTTGCAGAGTTTGAGGACGACGACGTTATCGCCACTGATGAATACCTCAAAGATTATTTCAAGCAAAAGTACAACATTGACATTCCTGATGATGTTAGTCAATTATCGAGTGACGAAAAGGCCACTTTGAGAGCACTAAAAAAAGAATTGTCTAGACAGAAAGATAAGGCCAAAGAAAATGGCATTTTCAAAACGATGGACAAAATCAAATCGTAAATTTTACAATGTGTACAGAAGTGCATGTTATAAATTTCCAGGACAATGTCAAATGGACGAAGCTCGCCAACAAACAGTTTCCCGAATGAGGCCTGTGATCAGTGCATTCCGATGACGATTAAAGATATGAGAGGGGCTTGGACACAGGTATAACTTATATTTAGTTTTGAGTAACACATTTGTTAAACCCATTAGATCTATGGAAATCCGAAGGTTGTAAACAAGGTTTTTGGAACAATTATGAGCCTTGAAAATTTGAAATCTGCTTCTGGATCAGCTAAAATGACCAAAAAGAAGACAACATGTGTGGGAATGGAAGTTGGATCCTCCGGAGCCAGAAAATCTTCAAAACTCAACTTGTTCTTTAGAGATTCAGATGAAGGGAATGAGTTGCATGAGGTTACGAAGAAGGGTATATTGGAATATTAACGAGTTCATTTTTGCAGATGCACGGAACAATGTCAGTTCGAGACAATATCATGAGCATCGAAACAAATTTGTATAGAACGCATAGTAATAATTGAGAGCTCTTATAAATTTAAAATTAAAATTTTTTAGTGTGTCTTGTGAAGGCCGGACCTTCGGAATCAGACCGATATGAATATGTTGTTCTCGCTGAAACGACAGGAAAAAATGCTTGCAGGTGTAAAAACAATTCATTCAATTATTAAAATGGTGATTTTAGATCATATCATGTATTTGTACGAGATACTGATGAATTCAACAGAAGGCACTTTGATGATGTTTCAGAATTCATGAAATCGGTAGCTTAAATTTATTTTCTAATGCTTTGAAAATTGCGATTTCAGCAACGAGATATGTTACCACTTGGAGCACTTCCAAAATCATCACTTTGTGAACTTCACACTCCTTAAGATTTTTTAGAATTTATTTTGACAATTGTATAAATAATAAAAGTATTAATAATAATAATAAAGATAAAAAAGAGAATATAAGCATTTGTTAACAAAAAATATATTATAGATTTAACACAGAACACGTTAACAATACACGTCAAAGATTCAAGTGACCTTAAGGGCGAAAACTAAGTTAAAAAGATAGCATAAGTTGTTTGTAAAACACATTCGATCTGCCAGGAAATTACAGGGATGAAAACTGGTTATCCAAAGTGCTTGGAGTTTCTATTATATCACTGTTTCGTCGAGCAATGATATTGTCTGTGGATAGACGTTTGTCAGAAATTTCAACCTAAACGACTAAATTATTTCTTTCAAACATTATTAAAGTACTAACTTTTTGAGCGGGTTCTTGGCAATAATACTCGTCTTCAATTTTCTGGTCAATACTTGAAATAGAGCTATAAAATAAAATAAGACTTGAATTTCTTAAAATCTGACTTTACCTATTGTCTGCAATACTATCACCATGTTCACTGCGTGGGTGATGGGAGTTTTCAGAGTCAATGCTAGATTTTCGCTGAATCACCTCATGACTCATGGGCAATTGATTGTTATCATCGTTTCTTTGAACTACTCTGAAATAAGAAAAATAAATGTATTCAAAATTCAAAATGTTTACATTGATGTGGATTTATTTTGCTGAGCTTTGGGGAAAATTTGCGTTGTTCCTTTGCGGTTTCTAAAGAACTTGATGAAGAAAAATGTGAAGATAATTAGGACTGCAAATGTTGTGCAAACGCAAATGACAATAACGACATATACCCAGCTGAAATAGTAATATTTGAAAACAATTAATAAATATCTCACCTACCTCGGTATTGCACTTTCAGTATGTTCGGAAGCAGTTGAAGTTTCCGAAGTAGTTGCAGCAACGTTTTCTGTTGTCTCCTCCGCAATTGTTGTAGTTGATAGTTCCTAAATTCAAATAATATCTAATCAAAATACTTTTTTTTGAAACCTTGAATGGGTCAAGAAGAAGTGAGCTGATTTCATCAACAATCTTGTTGAGTCCCTCCATATAATTTCTCTCAGTGAATAAGTTTTTATATTGAGCTAGGGAATTGTCCAGCTGCTCTTTTGGGATTGCTAAATCCGAACCAGTCTAAATACAAAAAATTAATAATTCACTCATCCATTATTCCGAACCCAAAGGTATATCTCTTTCGCAAGTTCAACACCTAGGACGAGGACATAATTTTTGCACGACATCGTATCGAGGCCGAAGGCTTCACGTAGGCCATGTCCAAATTGGGTGAGATCGTTGCTGGTGATACTTTGATTACTTGCAGTATGAATACGTTTGGCAAGAATAATAAAAATTTGTACAGGCTCGGTAGTATTTGAGTAACATTCTGGACTGGCTTCTTCGTTATATAAAATTTTGGCATCTTCAAGTTCTGAAATGTATTAATATTATTTACGTATTATTACCGGAGAAAAAAAACGAGCGTCTTAATTTAAATTTAATCAGTTGGAATTTTGATACCGTGCTACGGAAAACCTTCGATGCTGTAAATCTGAGAAGGGCGCTCGTTTTTTTGAGATAACAAACAAGAAAACCCTTAAATTTGCAAGATTTCGAAAATATTTTAAAAAAGTAAAAAATTGATAATTTTGTTTTGGTTTTCAGACACAATTTTTTAGGCTAGCACTAAATCACACTAAATCGATCGCGAAATGGAAACCAACAAGAAATGACTCTCGAAACTGGCATACAACAATATACACTTACTTGCCATATGTTGAGAAACATTATCCAATATTGTCTGCCGCCATGTGTCGGTCAATATATGATCAGGATCACACAGTGTTCCCTCATACGGCACATTGCATTCGGTTGCATTTGTTCGTGGATCGGGATATGTAACCGGCTCCCACTGCTAAATGAAATCCAGTATATTTACATTTTGATCTTCATTGCGTTTGGTTAGCCTGTCTCGCCGCTAAGAAATTGGTCATGTTGATTCCAAACATTAGTGATTTCTGCCTTTCTCAAGATGAAACCACTTAATAGATGGGCTCTTTTCAAACATTCTTCACGCTTCTTAAGATGACCGTTTACAAAGCTTCGAAGAACGGGCTCATATGACTATGACTCAATAATGATACATAAAAAATATGCATTTTTCAATAGTGTAATCAAAAGCTTCAGAAGAAAAGCGTGTAGAAATATGAATATTAAATGCTTGACTAACGAAGTTGTCGAAAGCATGTTTACCTCAGTATCAGCCCGAAGAACTGTGCCTGATGCAATTATTAAAGAGAGTAATGAAAGCATTACCCAAATTGGGTGAATTAAAATGTCTGATTTTCGGAGTGAATCCTGAAATAATTGTATTTATTTAAAAACAATCAATTTCGTAAAGGTTATGAGACTAATTAGCAGAGAGAGAGAGAGAGAGAGAGAGAGAGAGAGAGAGAGAGAGAGATGAAAGGATAGATGGTTACTACAAGAAATTTTTTATATCCGAAAAGAAATATGATTTTTTTGCCAGAAATTGAGCGAAAAATTGGTATTTCTATACCTAAGAATAATGGAAACATAATTGTTCCAATGATTGCAATCGCAAAAAAAACGTTCCCTTTTTATCATTTCTTTTCTTTACATTGAAAATTCCAGAAAATAAAAATTTTGTTATTTTATTTTTTGTTTGAATTGTTACCAAAAGCTTAAGTAAAGTCTGTAGGCGATGCAGTAACATTTTAAACGAAAGTTCGTATTGAAACTTTTTTTTGAACGGCGATTCATGCTTGATTAGCTCTGCCGGAAAAATCAAAAACTTGACTTTACGAGACAAAGTTTTTCATTCTGAAAAATATATTCATTACTAGTAAAGATTCTAATTTTCTTTGAATGAATTTAAAATATTGCTGATAATATTTATTCAATCTTATATAATCAACGGTAGTATAATCAGTAATAAAATTGACCAAAGTAACTCGAAAGCAGGAAGTGTTCATGTAACACAGGATAAATAATAATGCCATGGAAGAAAACATACTCTTAATAATAATTTAATGGCGTTTTGCTAAACAAGTTAGTTAAACTAAACTAGACAAAGCGATTACTGAAATGAGCATATTGCTGTTGCGAGTGCGCAACTTCGAAAACGCGATAATGATACGAACTTGGAAACACTTAAGCTTATCAATGGATATGAGCGAAGAGTTGCTCGAAATGAGAAAAGCAGGAGAAATTGAAAAAGTAGAGTGGTCAGTGTGTTGACCGTTTCTATCCACTTGATATTTGACTCACATATTTCTTCTTTCAATTCTTTTTCATCGCGTTATCTTGCTCTCGCGTTGGGGGTTGCGGCTCATGTTGTAGGCTGAGGTGCATCTCGAGCACCGCCCATCACCGAGCCAGCCATTTTTTGGGTTTCACGTAGCCACCCAATAGCGGGCATGCTCTGCTTCCTTCCTGCACCTTTTTGGCCTCCGACCACCTTTGTCCGATCGATGTACAATGAAGAGAGCAATAGTTTTTCATTTGTTCGGTGTGCGTTCCAAATGTAGAGCACAATCACGAAAAATTGCGCAGAGATATGCGGATACAAACAAGACATGGGGCAAGAAATTTGAGATCTTCATTCAAAATGAGGACTTCTGTTTGACCGAAAACGGTTGCTACTTGGTATTTGAGAAGCAGCATTGTTCCAAATTGGGATGTTGCTGATTTTGCAAAGAAATACGTTGCAAATGGCAATATATTGATTTTTGTTAGAAAAAATGCTGGAAAATAAACATAATAAATTGTTTATTTTTTTAAATGAAAAATATCCATTTCTTGTGGGTAGGAAGTCTTGTCGGTAGATAGTCGATCATAATTTACGATAAAATAAATTTTTGATAATAATAATAGTCTGTTACAAGCTTTTTTTTAATGCATTAGAGTTACCAGAAATTCACGATATTTAATTTCTTTCGATGATTAATAACTTATACAGGAAATTTGATTTTCTATATTATTTCTAGATGTAATAGTGAATATAACGGATCACTTATGATATGTTTAAAATAAAAAAAGGAACCGTGCGAACGGGTTGGTTCTGTTTTTACATGTTTTTATCTACTGATGAAATTTTACACACATTTCATTTCATTTAAATATGACAGTTTCACATGATTTTAAAATTTTAATTAATTGTCGATTTTTTAAAACCAAATAATTCAAAACCCACGCGTTTCAAATATCGACCAAAATAATTTCAGGTCCATATTTCATTTACATAGACTTTACTATTTCGTTAAATTCGCTAATCAAAAAATTGCAGCAGAAATTTTAACGAATTGTTCGTGGTGTTACTTACAAATATCCTCTCAATTCTCCCCGTTTTTCAAAAACGTTAATTGAAGTTTAAAGAAATGTATTGTTTTTATGAGTGCACCGGCCCAAACTTTCAATACAACACAGTTCAGCAAACAAGAATGTGCAAACGTTTACACTAAAAATCAACGTTTTTTTGTTCCACCAGTCTCATTGGTTTTTGTCAAAAAATTATTATTACTTAAAAGTAAATTGAAATAGAACAAACAGTACTCGATTTCAAATTATTCATGTGACATTTTATGTTGGTTTCTATCGTTTCCAAAAAAACCGAATCACACTTGAAAATTTGTTCTTTTCATTGTTCTTTTCATCACTTCCGATTCCCATTCAGAGCGCATATCAGACAATAAAAGTCGTACTTATTTCTTTGAAGTCATTTTAGATTAGCACATCTCGCAATTTTATCAAACATATTTGCTTTTGTTAAATAAATACCTAATTGGCTAGTGGTTTCATTTGTCAGATTTTTATCAAACACTTACTAAACAAGTTCTATTTGCTCTATATGCACACTCTCGATTAAACAACTTGTTGAAAAATGAACGGTCACAAAACAGATAAGCTAAAAATGAAAAAGGTAACTCAAAAAGTTATAAAACTACTTTGATCCGAATGATCGTTGTAACAAAATATTTATATAATTTTACCAAAAATCTAATTTCATTTTGCCAAATAAAGTTTCACTACGTCGTTCAAAAATTAATGATAAATAATAAATCAACTGTTTTAGGTGAAATTAAAACACTTCAAATGATCGGTTTTCAATTGATAATTACGGAACTAGTTTTCATAGCGTAACTGTTATTTTCTTTAAAATCATCATCTGAATTTAAAAGTTCTCGTTTAGTATTGAATTCATTTTATTTTGTATGCAAGCATAACATTGATTTTTATAGCACCGCTGCATATTCCACGTGACAAACAAAAACTATAATCGTGACCCACCGCGTTCTAATTATTCTGTTTCGATACACTGATAGCACTAAATCTTGCTCTCATGATTGTTGTCTAATCTCAGTCATAAAATTTCGCTTGTAGATAATTCATCAACTGGTACGAGATCAATTGGTTCAAATAATTAATAACGTTCTAGTGGTTATCGGATTCGAATAATGCATTATTTATCATGGTAAAGAATCCGCAAGTATGTACACCGAATTTGCTTGTTTGCCATTCGGATTTGCACACTTGAGACCAACCAACCATGTCCATAAAAAGATAAGCCGCCATGTATCAATGAAGTGGGCACTTTTCTCGAAAAATAATTGCCTTCTCAGAAAAAAAAAAAGCAAAAAAAAGGTCATGACATTTTTCTTCATTTTTTTTTCTACAACTGCATGTATGATTTGAAAGCATGATTATTTATGCGTAATTCACCAAAATATGTATTTTCTTTTGTCTGCAATTTTTCCTTGATTTCTCGTCTCAACAATGTATATTTTTATCAGTTGCCAAACGCTTTGAAATAGCATGATTGGAAGAAGTTCTTTGTCGGTACATCTTTATCAACGTCATATATGATCTATAAAAAACAAATAACTGATTACATATGTATTTGGGTTTATGTGCTTGGCATGGTCTTCAGTCCTTCTCACCCATTTTTTCCATTTTGTTTAATGCTCCTTCCATAAAGACAAACCCGCAATTCGACCCGCTCGCCGCTTGACGTAAGCATCATTTCTTGTATGGAGACGAATGAAAAAAGGAAGAAATGATTCAATTCAAAATAAAATACAAAAATGGAGGAGGTGGTGCCGGAGAGGCAGTGTCGCATCAATATAAATACAATGCCTTTCTTGTTATTATTAATCATGATAATATGTGTTGTGCTTTTTTGGTGTACCTTGTGCTTCAACATCATTTTTATCATCAAATAGACGACGCGAATTAAAGTAGAATGCAAGTCAAAATGGCACACTTATCAAAATGGGGACCAATTCGTGAGAAACGATTCAAAAACCCAAATATTTCTGCAATAATTTTGTTTCATCTTTTTGCTAACTGGCTTTTTTCTCTTTATGTAATCGTTATGGTTGTCAAAGTAACTGGACGCTTTTTGTTCTAATTGGCTTCATATCAAAATAGTTAAGCTATACATATATATTAACATATTTGTTATCTTCAAACATTTTAAACGTACTCAATTTTATTGATCTAGTGTAAACCTTGTGTCGTCACTTCATAAGCACTTCAATATTGTTCGATCGATAGATTTGATCTTGATAAAAACAATACGATATTTAAAAGCCTTTCGATGGAAATCTGCATCTATACATACGATGAGTTAAATGCAACGATTCAAAAGTTGTTTCTTTTTCCGTTCCAGTTTTATTAGTTTTGTTATAACAAGTTTTGAGTTCAATGTTATGATACAAAATACTTCAATTTGTTTCAATGAATCACTAGTTTGGGTCGCCATAAAGCGACGAAGAAATTCAATTTTAAATTCGTTACTAAAACTTCTTTTATTCTTCTTCATCGCCTTTGAATTTTTTCTGTTCATCTTATGATTCTTTTTTATAGCTTTTATGGTTACGAAAATTTGACAAACATTTTCTGGGAAAATGCTCGAGAAATCAGTAGCAATTTAAATGAACTGCTATCATTAGTTCATTTTATCTCAAGCATTTCATCATCATCACACCGATAGCGTTAATAGACATACAATTTTCCATTGTAATTGATTTTTTCTTCCTCTCAATCCCCGATTCAATTGTGGAACCAGTTTTTTTTGTTTCATACTCCATTAAGTTCGATGAAATCTGACCGAGAAGACTTGAAAGATATTGAACAAGAGAAAGAAAAGAAGCTAGATGCAAATGTTCCGTATGGAAAATGGAAAATTATTTACTAGAATGAAAGAGATCTAAATTAGAGATATTATACGTTTTTCTTTTACGTCGGAATACATGGTGGTTCTCATCGAATAGCCTCGAGGACGATTCTATTTCCTCTTTTACATTTACGATTTTTTTTCAATTTTTTATTATATTCGTAGTCATCATCCTCTTCGTATGTTTTTTTCACAATGTGTAAAAATATACATATTTGGCGATAATTACTCTTATTCAAAGTTTTTTCCTGCATGAAACCTTTTGATTAGATTTTCGTCTCTTGATTGAACACGTCTGAGTCACTTGAAAATTGGTTGTATGTATACGCTTTCAATTATCCCTCTTTACGTTTTTTTTTAACGATTTTTCTTCTTTTCCTTCACTTCGCTCTTGCCGAGTTGTAGTATTTCATGGATAACACGTGGGTGGTGACACTCAAAAGTTTTAACAATTTTTGTGTGTTCACACGCAAAACGATCAATGGGACGATCAAAATTCACCAAAGGCGATTTGGCGCATCAATATTCTATCAATCAACATATTCTTTCGGTCTCACTGTATCGATGATTCTGACGCTGAATATCGTTGAGAGCGAGGCAAACAAGTTCTCTTCGCAAAAATTCATTTTCAAGAGTTGATACCTATGGCGGCAAGTTGTCAGTTTTCATCAAATTGCGAACAAAAATTGATTGAACCGACATAAAGGTGACTTTCTCATTTCCTTCGGCCCCCATTGACCTTGATGTTTGTTGCTACCGTATAACTTTGCGTTACAAAAGTAAATGACTAAAAACCGCTTCGCTCTAATGATACCTTCTTCTCGCTACCAGTACGTTTCAAAATTCTGTCCTGTTTTTCCTTTAGGATAGACACTTCCTTTTAGACGGATTTATTGCATAATCTGAAACCATAAAAAGATTTCTAATCTCATAAAAAGCTTTATAAATCTATAGCTTTGTTATTTTCAAGCAACATTTTAAGCACTTCCGCGAATTTGGCAAGCTTATAATTATCTACATGCGTACACAAAACAACTGATTGAAACACGCCGAGCAGTTTATTTCATTTTTTTTCTTCTGTGTGTGTGTTCTGGATTTTTTAGTCTGTCTGCGACTCTCGGAAACTTCAAGTGTATAAATTTGTCGCGTCTTCTTACTCACGATGCTCCGTGCTGGCAATATTTCTGCTCTCCGAGTTTCTCGTGGAATGAATATCTTGACTCTCGCCGATTAGCTTCGCTAGAAGCAAGCATTCTCAAAATCTTGTTTCAGCAGCGATGGCCCAATTTCTCTTAATTACTGCGAATGTCGGCTCCCTATTCGAACCTGATGGTAGATTACACAGCTCGTGGATTAAAACTATTACGGAGGTTTGTCTATTTTCATTACTCAGCGCAAGTTAAATTTTTAAAAAATTAAAAAAAAGGATTTTAAAATTAGTGCATCTGAATCTGGGAAAATATCAAAGCTATACTTGTTGCTACGTATAATGACGAACATGGATAAAATTATTTACAAATACTCGAAAATTCTTTGAAAAAACATTGCAATAGACGATAAATACAAAAAATGGAGCTCATTGAAATAAAATGTAACTTCATAAATGAATGCTACTTCCAGAAAATCGAAAATGTAGACCCGTCATTCCTCATTATCCACATGCAAGAAACCGGTGGAAAGAAGTATGCGGAATGTTCGAAACAGGTGCCAGTGATCATTAGCAAATTGACCAGTGTTCTCACGAAATTCGATCTTCTTCGCGCCTATGTCGATATCGAATACGAGGCTGTCGAATATACGGTTGAAAACATTTGGAATTCCTTAGTAATCAGGAAATTCAGGCATTGGGAATTTTGTGTTATATAAAGAAAAGCCTATGGACCCAAGTTTATCAATACAATTTCGCTACACAGAAATATGAACAATTAACGAAGCCCACTGAAGTTGTAACAAAAGGATTGGAAAACTATCCATATGTAGTCAAGCATAAATTCCCAAAAGAATTCTGGCCATCTATTAAATGGGGTCGCAAGGGATACATGCAGACTAGGTGGAGGATAAACAACAGGTTGTTGACTATAAGGCGTTAATATCTGATATAACATTAAATATGATTCAGGGTGTTTGATTTCGTCAATGCACATCTATTTCACGATGAGTCCAACCTAGCCCTTATTCATGAAGTTTGAGATGTCCTCAAGAAACGTCGTATTTTTTTCTTCTAGAACCCGGAACTCTACAGCCAAAATCGCAAAAGAGCTATGGAATACATTCTGGAGAAAATGATTGTTTCCGAGAATGGGAACGCTCCAATGCTGTTCATTTTTGGAGATCTGAACTTCAGACTTGATTCTAGAAGTTTCTTAAATGTTTTCACGCCCTTTCCAATACAGGATATTCTTAGTTGATTTATTTTCAGCGTATTACTGAGCGCACTCAAACTCATCATGTGGATGACGAAGAGCAAATGGGCTCTCTTGCCGATGGACTAGAGGATAAACAAAAATCGGGAAGTCTTCACCCGTCAGACAATTTAAGAAGAACTGTGTCCGCTATCGAGTTCCGCCGTGAATCTCTTAACGATGATAACAAAAGGTTATCTTAAATAATCTTTAATCAGAATGTTAATTATTGGTATCCAGCTGCATTCTTCGCATAGAGAAAAAAAAGTTTGACTACTTTAACCACAAGAAACTTCTTGATGATTGGCGTTCGTATCGCGATGACGACAAGGAAGCACAAAGCTTCAAGGGCATCTATGAGATGCCAATTGATTTTCCACCAACGTAGGAGGAAAACCAGAAAACTTAGACAGATTTAATTTCCTCAGATACCCATGGAGCGAGGACCCGAAAGATTCGGAGACGTTGATGAAAACTCGTGCTCCGGCATGGTGCGATCGCGTCCTTATGAATTCCGCAGCTTTCGCTATGGTCCAAAAAGGAAATCCCGTATATCAATCATTTGGAATGGAGACTTGTACTGGTGATCACAAAGTAAGCGAGATCAGAGTTCCCTCTGAGATTACGCATACTATTGTACCGTATGTTCGCAAATCATATATGGGATTTCAAATTGAACAAATTAAAAGAATTTGCATAATTTTGAATACAACGAGCCCCCCTCCCTTCCCAATTTTAATCCTCTTATTTTTACATTCGTTTTTAACCAAAGTTTTTTGCTGTTTAGATTAGTCATCCGCATATATTTATTTATCATTGCTGAATATTCAGATGATGGGGGAAATGACGTAAAAAAATATTTGGCATATTTTGACTAAACAAAAATAAGACCCCAGCCCTGGACAAATTAAATATAGAAATCACGATATGGTTGAAACAGCTCAGATATATCAAACATATATCTTGCGAAAAGGCAGATGTTTAGGAAAAAGCAAAAACAACTAACTTATGTATTTGAGTGTGTGTGTGTATGTATGAGTGTGCAACTTATAGAAGAGCTCAAAAAAATGCGGAAGCTGATTTAAAGAATATATCCGTTAGCAGAGGAAAAATAATGATTAGTGGCAATCATATCTCTGTTGATTATGAAAACGATTCTTACATTTTGAGTAATATGGTATAATATCCATAATTCATATTTATTTCAGCCGGTCATGTTGTCGTTCGTCTTATAATTGAAAGAATAGCCAGTGTCGAAACAATCATGCACCATCTCATTCGATATACGGATAATTCTTTATTCTCCCGACCACAAAATTGCTTGCATCCGCTTTTTTATTTTCTATCATCATTTCTCATCTTTACTTTTTTCTTTGCCATTTGTTTTTCCTCTGCTAGTTATTAGATTTAACGGGAATATTCCGTGATTGCTCCATAATCGTTGTTAGGTAAACTTTATGAAGTTCCCATGGGCCACTTTGCTATGACAGAAAACCCGTGATCCGTAATAGTATAAACCATTCTCAAAATTTCCGTAAAATTCTGAAATTGCAAAGAGAATAAATTGTAAAGAGTGTATCCCATTGATTCGTTTAAAGAGAATTTAATGAAGTTTTATTCGAAGCTGATGTAATTGTTTTACCATTTGATATGAAGATTGCAAACGTCTAAATGAATTATGAAGGGATATTATTATACTACCGTACCAAAAAATAATAGTTTGCAAATTAAAATGAAAATATTAGTTTCAGATGAGTGTCATAAAACATCTCTACAATGCTATGCAAGCGGTAAACCAGATTACAAATACTTGTTAGCATCAATTTAGTGTTGGATGGCGAGTTGAGGAAGTGGAGCCTCAACAGTCAAAATTCCGTCGGTGGAAAGAGTCGAAGAGATTTGCTCCGGGTTGGTTCCACGTGGAAGCATGAACTCCTGAAATTATTTTAATAGCAATCATTTATTTTTGTTCATTAATAATGTAAAAGTCGATTGATGAGATTGATATGTCAAAAATCATCGAAAAAAAGAGTACCTGGTTGTACTCTCTGAAAACAGTACGTTGAGGAGTTTTCTCCTCATGTCTCGCGTGAACTAAGAGACGATTGTCAATAGTCTTAACAGTGACTTCCTCCGGCTTGTATTGAGCCACATCAAATCTGAAAAAAAAGTGGTGCATGTTTGAGGAGATGTTAGAAAATTCAAAGTACCTCAATCTGAGAGTTTTTCCATCACTCTCATCCTTGATGAGTGGGCTCTTCAAGTTGTCCAAGTATGGATCGTAAGTTGGTCTATGAGCCATCAAATCGCTACCTGCAAAATGGCAATATATGTATAAACAACACACTGAAGCAAGTCAGCAAGAATTCGAGAGCATCTAAATAGTTGCTAGGCAGGTTCAAAGGGTGCATAAAATGCACGGTGTAATAATTCAAATGTTGCCCGGACAATGTCAATGGGATCGAATGAATAAACACAAAAACGCGTGAGAATAGCCGTATGAAAACGTTTCTTTAAGAACAAAAATATTAAAAAAGGGAATATTTCGAAAACTGCTCTCAAGAAGCGATGAAAAACTTGTTTTCATTCAATTTGGGAGATGTGTCTCCCCTTTTTTTCATTTTTTTTCTTCTGAACACATAAAGATGAACAAAGTTGTTGCGAAAACGAATCTTTATGAAAAAAAATTGCCGGAAGTGAATATTAATTTTGAAAAACGAATTTTACGGCATGTGGAATTGAGCAAAAAACGAATGAACGCATTTCTTTGGCTTGACTTAAACTTTTTTTCTTTATTTCAAAGCTAAAACACGGTCGGAAAAAGACAAATAAGTGAAAAGACTTTTACATAATTACTGGCTAGCGAATTCACCGCCGTAACACAATTTCATTTTTCTTTCGAATCCAAATGAAATGGTATTCTATAGGAAAATCTATTGTATTCATTCTAGTTTTTGAAATCAAGAATGCAAATAGTAAAAAATATCGAAAGTTATGACAACAATTTTTTTCAAACTCGCAGGGGAAAAAGAAAAAAACACACATTTGCTTCCTGGAAAAATATACTTGAAGAATATGCCTTAGAGAGTATGTTTACTCATTATCAACGGATTCAGTTACTTCAATGTTAAACTTCAGATTTATAGTTGTATTATGTGTTTCGACTGATCTTATGCAAAAATTTTGTATCAGTATTGTTATGGTTTTTCAAAATGTTCATTTGGATGTTGTTAACAAATATGCTAGTTCCTTTATTTTGTATAAAGTTGTTCTACGATTCTTTTACGTGAATTCACGCCTCATAAAAACACGTTTTTAATAGCGTTTCTTCGTATAATCGTAAAATATTCGCCACATTTTTTTAAAAGAATGGACAAATACATAAAATCACGCGTTTTTGTTGTCGAATGAATAATGTAAAAGGAAGACAGGCAAAAGGAAGCGAAACAAACCGTGGAATGGTGGTGGCGGAGCCCCAAAACCACCACGCGACGATTCGTGATGCGACGACGTTGTTGAATAGGCGTTGTAGGGCTGGTTGGAAATTGCCGCTGGCGCTGGGCCACCGTTTGGACGATAGCCTACAACGAGAAATTCCGCATTGAACCGTAAAAAGTGTTTAAATATAAAAGGTGAGAGGTTGAGAGAAAATTGATTCAAAGAGATTTTTTGGCAGGACATTTGTGTAATTGAAATATATAATAGTTGACAACGCTCAGCATATGTATTTGTCATATATTTGAAAGAAAAATGTATGTGCATAGTTGAAAAGCAAGGTGAAGAATAGTTTTTCGTTTGAAGAATAGGAGCCCTTTTCCGTATAAAATAGTTTTACTTTTTTGAAGCGATAGAACGCAGAATAACAAAAAAAGAATAAGAGCATTTTTCGTGGGCTGTTTTCGCTTCATTGAAAATTGATCCTCATCATTTGGGCACAGGAGGACGTCTCTTAATGCTCGGCAGCTTCCGATAACAATCTTTGTTCTTAGAATAAAATATAAGGCCATTCTCATTTCCCGCGAAATAAAATCGAACCTCTCGAATGTTGCAAATGAATGAAAGAAGTAGCGTTATGATATCTATGGAATTTATTGCCAGCGTTCATTAATATTTAACAAGCATACAAAATTTCTTTCATTCAATAAGTAACATTTCAAGAATCGGCCCAATCCAAAAATATCATTTTGATAAAAAAAATTAAAAATCCTTTAAAAATATTCTTATTGAATTTAGAGTTAAATCCGAATGATATAAGATATTTTAACTAAATATTGAATTGTTTAAAAAATTGTTTATTGATAAGCTCTTTCTGTAGTTTCTAACATTCATCCCGAATCGATTATTATTATTTTAAACAGACCCTAAAAAAATGTTTGCCTCGTTCGCATTGTTCAACCTTCCCTCTCCGTTTCTGTCTTGCATCTCCTCGCTCACTCTAATGTTTTGTGAGTTTGCCTGCGTTTCGAAATACTGTTAACGCGTACAATGGAGAATTTTCTAGAAATTTGCCCGTGAAATGACCGCATAAAATAAATAACTCGATTAATTCAATTTTCTCTCGTTGAGGTTAGATGGTGGGGAATAAGGCAACTGAAGAAAGGAAAATCGGCCTTACTTTGCTCACCTTCAAACTCCGAGCGGAGTCTTCTCATTTCATCCTCAACACGTCGCATTTCCTGCTCGAAACGATCGCGCATGTTTCCGAATTCATTCTCAATAACCGAATAGTTGCTGTGGTTGACGTCGATGCGGCGCTCGGACATTTTTTTGATTCTAAAAAAATTTGTAGGTGATGAGTTTGAAAGTGAGAAAATCTGCGATTGCGGAAACTTGAGATTCCTTTTAATGGTTTGTTTGTCGTCATAAAAAACTATGATTGCTATAAAAGCAATATATAAATTTTTTATAAGCAAAAAAAACAATACTTTGGTAGAAACAAAAATAACAAACAAGGAAGAGGAACTATTTCATTGGTATAGTTTTTCACGTATTGAAACCCTACAATTTCCGAACCTGCTAATTTTATAAAAATACATATTTGAGACTATAGAATGAGAAACGAAATTGCTCGAAATATATGATTTATAATGTTTATTTTGGACAATCAACGCCCTCGTCATTCCGCATGACTCTGAAAACAGGCGAAAAAAATGGGAAAAGCAAAAATGACGGTTTGATTTGATTTTCGCGAGCATCCTCGAAAGACAATAATCAATTTTCGTATTAGGAGAACAGAACATGCAAAAGTACCACGAAATGACCTCTAAATCAATATCGGAACACACAATGAATGGTTATATTGAACTAGGCGTTTGCGAGGCGCAGACTAGCGTTCATGCATGCGTGCATGTTGGGTCGCCGAGAATTGAATGCTGACACCGCCGAACTGGTGTAGAAGAAAATATGATACTGAACAAACGAATAAACAAAAACAATTTGCGGCCGATTACTTGGTTCAGCTTTCGAAATTGTGGTGTGATACATTTTGACCAGCTGACAAACAAGCAGCGAAACTCAAAAGTGTGCTTCAAGAGATCATGCTGTAACAACAGCTGTATTCAATCACCATGATTCTGCTGATGAGCCGCTTTTTTGTTTATTTTTGTTTGAGGTTTTGAGGCACATATGTTTCTCGCATTTTCGGTTCGCAGGGAAAAAAAAGTATAAAGTTACACAAGCTGAAGAATTAATTATTGTATGAAATACTGAAAACTTTCCAAAGATTCTAAAAGTAACTTGAATTAAAATGATTTTCGATTATAACTTTGGCATTGTGAAATTAAGGTATTAGTTTTATTTGCTTAAAATGCCTTCATATGATAATGAAGTTTTCCTATTACAAACCTCAAAATATATGTTTATATTTTGATAGACATTCTAACAAAAATTGACATGTTGTGTTTTGAAAATTGAGATCAACTTGAAATGTCAAAAATATTTTGCAGTCTGACAGTATTGGTGATAACAAACAATTAAAACAAACAATGGTTCTAATATAATATATCTATAAAAGACGAATAATTCTGATTTACGAAAATAGGTCGAAAAAATGAAATTAGTAAATAATTCGAAAGTTGAGACTGAGACACGCGAAAGAACAACGGATTGGCGCGAAGGTTCACAAAGGTTGTCCGTCGGACCGACACCGTTTCCACAGGCGTTTATCTCTACGGCCTTTTCTCTCGTGCACCCTCCGACATTTGAATGTTGCTATATGTACCCGTGTGGGAGCGACTCGAACACGGGTAAACAGCGCAAGACGAAAAACGATGGCGTCTCATCGAAGACGAATGGCGAGACGGCGGCAGCGACTGGCAGCAGCAGCGCATCATTAAAACATTTGCAAACACTATGGAAATAGTTTATCGTGGAACTTACAAACTGAAAGATAGGTGTCCTGAGGACTGACTGCTGCGTCTTTTTTTTAATTCATATCTATTTGGGGTCATTTTTTCAGGCGAAAGTTTCGCACCTGACCATGAGATGAAGGCCATCTTATAATAAATACAATCAGAATGAAAGGAAAATTTTTACTTCTCTGTATAGTAGAAATAAACTGATTTTTCGAATTTTTACAATACTCTAAAGAAATGTTGTTAAATAATAAATGCGACACTAATGTTCCGGCAATGAAGAAACCTAAATTAGATTAGTATTTTTCTTCTGTTCCACAGAAGAATGTTCAAATACGATGTAGTTAGGATTTTCGCTATTATATGGCATTAGCATAAAGACTCATTGACAGAAAATTGAAAGTTGGAAGCGGCCAAAGTCAAACAAAACGAAAATTGAAATGATGTGCAAACAAAAAAATGTGAAACAAATATGCACGCAGATGGAATTATAAATAACGCTTAGTTGAGGGAAACACAAAAAGAATGGAGATTTAATTTCGCATTCCCCAAATATTTTATATTTTTCTAGTCTGGACATCACATTATTATCGCATTATTCCGTTTATATCGATGACGAAAACTGACGAATATGCTGTGTACACCCGAGATCATTAATATTGTTGGTTAATTTACCGACTTTCGTACATAGAGACAGTTTTGTTTATTTGGGGCAGTTTTTGGCGAAGCTGTTAACATGTAATACAAAAAGCAAATGATGGAGGAAAACGAAATTTCGGAACTGTCAAAAAACAATTTTTAGAAGAAATTTGTGTCAAGGAATGCAATTGGAATGATTCATGATTCTTTTGATTAGTTATGTTCTCCCGGAGAATGAATAATTACACGTAGACAAGTGGAAAGTGGAATTGTATTGTGAATGATATGGTTGGAAACTAATTTGATGGGACATCAGCAGAATTGCAATGACAGAATGCTATGAGAAATTAAGTATTCTAAATAAACTAACATCTCATAGAACGGCATTGCAATTTTTGTTCCGCAATGTAGACCGGAATGCACGAATCAAAATATCTGATGGTTGAAACTGATGGTATAAATCATGTACGACATCGAATATTAATTGTACTGGTATGGGGATGTTTTTCTTCAATCCGCGTTGCTCCTCCGCGCAGAATCGAAGGTATTATGAACAAGAATTTGTACAAATACATCAGAGAGAACCATATGCTGCCATTTGGACGTTCACAATTTGGGTCTGGTTGGATTTTTCAACAGGACAACAATCCAAAACGCTTATCACACTTGTTCAGGAATTGGATTGCGCAGTTTCGGGTGAACTCTATGGCCGAGCCAATCTCCCGACACAAATCCTATCGAACATCGTTGCAAAGGGTTCGAACGTTGCTTAAATGAAAAAACCTTTTTAAATTGCAGTGTAAAATTCTACCAAGGCTGCGACCCTCAACCATTTAGTACCTTCTATGCCTGAATGATGCTCTGCTGCTATTGAAGCAAATGGTATGGCGACTAAGTAATTATCAAGTGACGATCTAATTTTGTTTCTACAGCCATTTGAATTTATTTATTGATTTTTATGATTTTGTGAAATTTTTGTTTTTTTGCTATATATACTTGAAAATTTTTTTCCATGACATGAACTTGTTTTTAAACATTTAAATCTATAAAAAAAGTGCTAAAAATTTCACACCCGATTTGACCACTCGTTCAAATTTTATGAAGAAAATTTATTATTTCGTATCTTTTTCTGTGGTACTGTATATATATAGTATCAGTGAAGTTACGCTGCTTACGTTTTGATGAATTTCTATTAAATTTATTGATAAACATGAGAGATACCCCTCCCCCTTAAAGCGGAAGAGTTTGAACGTGATTTGATGAAAGGCAACTAACAAATGTGAAAAAGTTTTAAATAAATGTATACTGTTCACACCCGGACTTGAACATTCAAGAAGCATTTGACTGATTTATTCCAAAGATTTTTTTCATTTATAGAACATAGCATGTTAATTGCCGTTTCCAAAAATCAATGTTTCGTCCTTCTTACATGGCATATTGAAAATACAAATTATGTTTTCTATCCAGCATTTATATTCCGAAAAGGCAAATTGTTAAATGAATAACACGAGCGATATCAAAGGATAAATAAAAAAGAACAAAAAGTACGTATCGTCATTCCAATCAATTTCTTATAGTTCATAGTGACTTCTCTCCTTAAAATTTACAATAAATAAAAAACATTAAAATAAGTGAAAATAAAAATAAAACATTAACAAGAAAAAAGGGGCAAAAGGCTTTAATCATATTCACTTACTCGTTGATTTTCCAAATTAAGCAAAATATAGAATGAAAATAGGCAAAACACGCAGAAAAAAACTAGAATTCAATTGAAAATAGAATTGTCATTTTAACAACTGAAAAAGCACACCGAAATAGCAAGAAGACAGATTGAAAATATGATCAATTAATGGAAGGAATGCTCAAAAATGTATTAAAAAAAACAACTAGTGAGGTTATCCGGCAGCCTCAGCAATGCTTCTTTTAGCAGCTACAATTAGATAATAAAGTGTGGCAAGTGGCTTTGCACATCGAAGGAATGGATGAGTCAGAAGTTGACTAGCGGACCAGCGATTATCAACACAAACTTCTAATGCCGAGTCAATAAAGTCCTGAAATACAATAATTTAAAAATCCTTTTTCATGCATATACACCTTGAACATGGGAGTGAGGGTGTCGCGTCCCGGAAAATCAGGCTTTCCATTAGTAGCAATGAGATAAATTGCCTAAATTTGATTGAAAATGTTAAAATGCGTATTGTTCATTTTTGGCCTTACTCTCAGCGGATTCTCATTCAAATAAGGAGGTTCGCCTTCAACCATTTCAATTGCCATGATTCCGAGCGACCAAACATCAACCTTCGGACCGTATTGTTTGCGAGTAACAACTTCTGGCGCCATCTAAACGAGAAAACATTTTTCTATATTAAAATCATTAATTCTCACCCAATACGGTGTTCCAACCATAGTTGTTCTCTTTCGTTGCTCCGGAGAGAGTTGGGCACAAAAGCCGAAGTCAGCTGAAAGAGATAATGTTAATTGAATGGAACAATGTTTATTGAATTTGTCTTACTCAATTTGACCGATCCGTCCATTCCAAGGAGGATATTGTCGGATTTAATATCGCGATGAATGACATGACGGCTGTGCAGGAATTCGAGGGCTTGGAGGACCTAAATCGAGAATTATTATTAAGATATGACCGCTTGTTTTTTCTAGATATACCTCTCGGCAGACAGCGGCGATCATTCCTTCTTCCATCTGACATTCAGTGACCACATCAGTCAATGATCCTCCAGCCAAGTATTCCATAACTACCCATAATTCTTCTCCAACGAGATACGAATCCAAGTAGTTCACAATATTCGCATGCTTATTTTCACGCATAACCAGAATCTCATTAATAATCAATTCCTTTTTAGGCTGATCTTTTAGATTCATTTGTTTAATGGCGACTTCTGCCTCGGTGCTAATCTCAATAGCAGTGTATACAGATCCAGAAGCGCTGAAAATAAACCATTTCGCCAATGTGTCATCTTGTCATATTAATACCCAGAACCAATTTTATCGACTTTTTTATATTTTCTGTCCGGGTTTCCAATTGATACAATTGTTCGAAGCTTCGCAAGAACTTCCGCGTCAGACATTTTTCGTTTCGATTTGGCGCCACGAGATTGAACGCCGAAATGTCCCTTCGAGAGATCTGGTACCTTGTCTTCCTCTTCTTCTTTTGGTTTCGTGTACTAAATCTTTCAATTCATAATACAAATCATTTTGATAATTTTACAATGCTCATAGTTCGAGCAGGTCTATCTGGAATTGGAGGTGGCAACACATCAGCAGGTTCCTCGTTCTCCGGAACTGGCGGTGGTGCATAGTTCTAAACAATGAAAAATTGAATACTACGACTAATTGATATTACCGGAGGCATGCTTGATCTATTGTCGTTTAAACTTGATGTTTGTTGGGAATTTAGTGAATAAGGCAAGCTTGAGCCAGACTGAGCTTGTTTAGCGTATGATTTGTCTTAAAAAATAATTACAATTACTATTGAAATAAATAAAACGTAGAAAATTAAACCAACCAAAAAAAGGTTTGGAATGGTATGGCAGTGAAGACGTACTGTACGGTTGCGGCTTGATTAGCGAAGGCCCTATTCGCGTCGGTGCATCATCTATAAACACTGTAACACAATTCAAGACATGAGAAATAATTAAACGTACTCATATCATATTGCAACCACTTCTGACCACTTTGCTCGCCTTGCGTATAATACTTGAGAGCGTCTAAAACAGCTTGCGGATTTTGCTGCTGCTCTTGCTTCGAGATTTGTGAATCCGTTAGCAGGCGAGCCCATGCTTCTGGCATTCCCTGCAAATTTAACCAAATTGGTGTATAAAAATTGGAAAATTTTTTGAAAAAGTCGATTTGACATATGAACTTGTTTGCTTTTAAATGTTGAAATACAACACTTATCGAAAAAAATTTCGCCTTGGCTAACTCAAAAGTTTTTAGAATGCTTGAAAGCGGTTTATCTGTTGAGTAGACCATTGAAGTGTTAAACAAAAACTACTTGGTTTCGCAAAATATGTATCGACTTTCTCTGTAAAGTGAGTCAACAAAAACGGCTTTCCGATTTTTGAAAGACCCTTCACTACGAGAGTTCGTTTTTTTAATAATAGAAACACTCACATTTTGTCGCTGTCAAAAAAACAGAACGAACGAATGTGAAAATTTTCTTCACAACAAACCCTCCCCATTTGAGGAAAAACACAAATTTATGCCAATTATATGAAATTATTTGCCCCAATTGTCGTCAATATTTCGTGAGACACAAAAAAGAAAACAAGAGAAATTTTATATGAAACCAACATTGTTGGAATTTCAAGAAGAAAAATGGCATCAAATGGTCTACCCGGCAAATACTATATGGAACGAAAATGTGCGAGTCGTCGTTCTATGCAAAACTATATTTGTGTTAATCTGGTATTACTATACCGAATGATTTTTTTATTAAAAGAAAAGAAGAACTAACGGTGAATTCTCCTGTTGTTGGGTCGTATCCAACATGAATTGTGTGCTCGAAGTTACTCGGACGCGAAATAACCGGCTTTTCGGCAATTTCCTTTTTTTCCTTATTTTCTAAAATGTTGCGTATATATTTTTTTGTAAATTTCGCAAAAATAACTCACTTTTCAAAAATGGATTCGACATTTTCTTTTTTTTAGCAACCTCTGTTGGCTCCTTTGGAAGTGGTTTAAGACCGACAACCTGATAAAACATATTGTATGATGAATATTTTGAAATGATATTATTGATTTACCTGACTATTCTGGTTAGTGGAGCTGCTGAACCGAATAGGCGGCGCCGGAGGTTTTTCATCATACGATGAGATACCCTTCATTCTCCTGAACATTTAAAAATGAGACAAAAACAAAAAAAACTGTGAAGAAAAAGGGGGCGAGAAACGGCGTTTGGGATGAAAATTGGCTGCAATATAGAGGAAAAATTGAATGTTGATAGAAGGCAATAAGCATAAACTGTTGACAGAAAGGCTCAACACTGAATAAAACGTTTTCTTAAAAATTTCAATTGTTATGTAACATTGATTATCGAATGTCCGTTGGGCGGCGGAGAATGAAAAACAAACAAGTGAGCGGATGGTAGCGTGGGGTGTTATTCAACTGCTTTGCCTTTTTTCATGCATATGAAAAATAGATATGAAAAGAATGAAGAAATATGAAAAGAAATAAATAGTCAGGTAAGTGCGATAAGAAATTATTGAGTGAGTCATCGAAAACATATAAAACAACTTGAGCAAAATATGACACCAGCAGATATAATCAATCGATAGCAATGGGGCGAAGGTAAGAGACCGCAAAGAAACGCACACAACATAAGAGATAGAACACATTGACAACTACTATTAACATCGGGCCACACTTATCATCAGAAGAGTTCGCTTACTGAAATTTGGACGAGTATTGGCAACTAGTCCATGCTGAAGGAGCGCGACATCTAAAGATTGCGAAATACACTGTTCTATTGAAAGCCAATTTAGCAAATTATTGAAAATTTCAAAATTGTAATGTTAGAAATTTTGATGAAAATAGGCATCATTTCGTGTAATCGCACCGCATTCATTTCGCTTTCATTGCCGCGAACAATGTTATTATCATATATCAATTCGGAAAAGCATGCTTCGACGCACAAACTAGTTTTTTTTTATCCGCTCTTTAAACAATGAAGATTTATGGAATTCGTTGAGAAAACTGAACTATGTTGATATTTTCGTCATTTCATTTTTTTTGTATTTTTCTCAACGAAAAAACTACCAAATGTACGAAAACTACTTCAATTCGGAATTCAATTTGACGATGTTTCTCTCCCCTAGGATTCCGGAAACACCAAGCACACACACACAAAATTTCCCGAGAATTGTCAAACTAACGGATTTATGCGCCATTGACACCACCAACACCACCACAAACTTTGCGGATGGTTCAAGAAATGCGCGTAGACGGTTAGACAAAGGAGAGTCGCACTTTTTTCCTGAGAACGACGAGCGACGCGCATCTGCGTTGCGGTCGCGTTTTCACACACGTACAACTTACCTTTGATGAAGATAGTATTCAGGGCAATGCAACGATAACGAAAAAACAGTGCACAAACAATAAATGTGAAAAAATATGAAAAAAAAAAAGTTTAAAAAAAAACGCCGTAAAGTTTTTGACAGTGTTCAATTTTTTAACAAAAGCTTACTACGAAGATCTTTTTTGAACTCTCAACCGCGTAGTTAAAAAAACCATAATATATATAAACGTTTCTTCACGTAAAGTGGTTCAGTTTTATTCATTTAAATATGAATTCACGCATAAAAATAAAAATAAGTAATCATAAGAATAAAAAGATAAAAATACATTTTATTTCACTTATTTAAACTATGTCGAGAAATATTTAAATACGCCTACCCATCCTGAAAAAAAAAAGTTCATAAGAAGGGAAATAGGATCAGTAAGTCGAGGCTAAACAAAATAGTTTTTTTTAGTTTATGGGCTTGGATCACACCATTCGAAATTGAGTAGCATTCGAATAATGCGGAATTTTGGGTCTCAAATGTCTTAAAAAGAATCTTTGAACATTCATGACTAATTTCTTATAAAAATGAACATTATTATTTTTACAAAATGCAATATCTTTCACAAACGGTAAACTCATCAATTATTCAGAGTTAGACTGTTTTAGGTAAATAATATCACTTTCGCTTAAACAACATTCATAAAATTTTGAGCGTGATTCCTCATTATTTTTCTGGGTAATTGCGATAAAAGGCTACTTCTAATTATACCGTGATGCAAGTGCGCTCCACCGAATAAAAACGTTCATGGTGATTTTTTCAGGAAACAAATATTTGTAGTACATTTTTACACATTCGAATGTGCCGGATTAATAAATTTTAAGGAATCTATTAAAGGTAATTATTTTTCAGGGTATTCAATGAACCTTTTAAAATTTGCAACTTCAAAGGAAGGATTGCAATTGTTCAACACTGTAAAAGAACAATTTACTCAATACACAGAAAAACCAAAAGAGGAGAAGGTTGAAAATCTATTTGAACTAAAAATATGATTGACTTCAGTGGCCTTGTATTTTCGAGATCAAACGACAGAAATCAATTATAAAGGAGCATACAGAGGATTGGAAAACTATATTAACTACAGACAATGTCTATGCATTGATTTATAAGCCAAAAACATGGGTACCTTTTATTTTTCTTAATCTTTCGCAAAATATTATTTTGGATTGCATTCATGAGTTGCAAGGAAGAAGATTTGAAAAAGTTAGAACGATTGTATACAGAATTTGAAGAAATTCGTGGAAGATCCGGTATAATAAACAAAACGTATTTGGAACGAATAAACTGTCTGCAGATGATGTGGAAACAATCAATTTGGCAGTGAAATTGATGCTAAAGGAAGAATCTTGTAAGACGATTAATCTTGCTGCCGCTTTAGGACTACAAGAATGTTTCAACAGATGTGCAACTCGAATCAATTATAAGTACAGTCAAAAGTGTGAAATATGCAACAGACAAAAATTTGCAGGTTTTTTGACCACAAGTCTGCCGATGGGACGGCAGCACATTACGGAATTGGTCATAAATGCATTATTGAGGTATACAAAAATCGTGCTAAAAGATGGCCTGTGTTTGAGTTATAGACAATCGAAAAAATGGTGAGCAAAAAAGATTTCGCAGAGTTGATGCAGCATCCAAATGACTTTAAAATCACGCCAATTCATCTTTCTTTAAAATATGAGGAAGTTCTTCATTATTTACTGAGTAAGAAGCTAATTGTGTGTATATCAATGCGAACGATGGTATTTCCAGTGAATTATCCGCAATTTTATGCATCTGCATACGCATTCCCGCTTATAAAAACGCTGTGTAACTTGAACAAAGATGATGCCGATCGATTTTCAAGGTATCGATTCCTTCGGAAATTATTTATCATCGCTTTTAGAGTTTGCAAAATGATGACAGCAGCGAATCTTGGATTTTGGTCTCAATCGATAGATGTCTTGGAGAGAACAATTATTTTCGAAAAATTGGATATGAAAGTAAAGAGCTGTTATTTTCGCTGTTTAATAATCAATTCTGAAGGCAATGAAGACAATTCTTAATTGTTTACCCACTGAGCTTATCAACAAGAAAGACAAAACGGGAAAAACGGCTCTGCATGAAGCAGGTTTGAAAACATATATGTTTCAATTTAACTACTCTCGATATTGCAGTTATAAGAAACGATATAGAAGCTGTAGTCGCACTGATATCGTATGAAGCAGATGTTAACGTTGTTGATAATACCGGTAATCCGCCGTTGGGTTATGCCATTAAGGTATATTTTGTTATTTTCAAGCAGGCTAGTAACGTTGACAAATTTAGTTATCCGAAATGTCCTGCGCAAAAGCACTCTTACTGTTTAATGCAGACCCTTTTCTTATCAAAGGGGCTTGTACAAATAGGTACATTCTTGGTCAACTTACATATCAGAAAAAATGTTATTTATTCAGTAAAATGAAAGATTTAATTACTATTGGATCGCATGCCCAACTTCAACAGGAAACTCGCGAATTCAAATGGAATGAAAGTAAGCAGTCGGATTTTGTAATAAACTGTAAATACTGATAATTTTTCAGGTTTTGTTGATCATATTTCTTTAAAGAACAGCCTATCGAACTGTTCATCTAAAAGTGCGCATGAGAATTATCACGGTCTTTCATTTGATGGTGGAGGCATGCGGGGATTGGTTTCCCTCCAAATTCTTCGCGAACTGAATAACCGTCTTCCTAATATAAATCTGCTTGACAACTTCAAAACTCTTTGTGGAACATCGACAGGCAAATTTGAGGTTGAGATCGATTTGATTTGTTCGTGCTCTAGGCTCAATATTGTTGCTTGCTTTGGCCAAATACAACGATTTGGAAAAAGTCACTCGATTGTATCTTCGGCTGAAAGTTGCTTTGAGTTTTAGTGTTATAATAAAATATTAGTTCAGGATGATATTTTCAATGGAAGCCGTCCCTACGATGGAGCAGTTCTCGAGAAACGCCTGGTGGATGAAATAGGTACATCGACATTGGCAGAGATCGCAAAAGAAAAGGAATTTCGTTTGGCTATTGCTGTTACAAGAGTTGACATCAGTCCACCAAAACTGGAAATCTTCCGTAGCTACAAACCTCCGGCCAACATAAAGGACGACCGTTTCAATTCCCTCGAAGACTGGCCTGCCGCCAAAATATGTCGATGTTCGTGGTAAGAAATCATCATAACGATGAATACATGTATTGCCCTCAATTGATAGTGCTGCGCCAACATATTTCCCAGCTGTTGAAGGAAAATACATGGATGGTGGAATAACAGCAAACAATCCATCTTGCGAAATTTTATGTGATGAGCAAACCATTCGCCTTCTTGCGGTAAAATTGTTTAGTTTAATAAGGAAATATTTAAAAAATCTTAGCCGAGCACTGGGCGTCACATGAAGATACTTTTATCAATAGGAACAGGAAAAACACCAACGAAAAGAGCTGAAAACGTCGATATTGCTCTGCCGAGTTCATCAACTGCGGTTGCAAAGTGTGTTGATCTATGGCACTCTCTAAATTCAATCGTTCATATGAAAGATGTTTTCATTGATCAGGTAAAATAATGAAGTTGTGAAATTCGTAGAATATGCTTCCAGCTCACTGCTGCCGATGGAGTAAATTTACACCGAGCAAAAATGATGGCATCTGCGATGAATGTTGCATTTTTCAGGCTAGATTATTTTATTTTTCTCACTATGAAACGAATTGCAGATTCTCGCCACAGTTGAGTACTAATTACGAACTTGATGAGATTCGCGCAACTCAACTCATAGAAATGATGTGGGAGACAAAGGTAGAACATTTTGTAGCCGATTTCCAATATATATATATCACATTTACAGGTTGAAATTCAGAAAAACTTAAATGAGGTCAACATTTTCTTGGCTACGTTGAGAGGAGAACTCTAGAGCCTTCGATATTAAATGTTGAGAGCCATAGTTGGATTTGTAAAAATGTTTTCAGTTGTTTGAGAAAACATATTTTCTTGTGATAATGGTTTTAGAGCTTTTGTATCTTATATATCTATAATTTTTTAAATACCATACATGATCAAAGTATTTTCTATGCATAATAAATTACATTATCATATTTTTGATTCTCAATGTTGTTCTGCGCACACATACACACCGAATTCTCTAATTGTTCGCAAGGTTACAAATAGATGAGGGAGATTATTCTCGAGAGTTCAATGCCGGCCAAAACACACTTGTTGGCCTGACGCATTAGCGTCGGATATAAAAATTGTGTTCTCCTTTTGTCGCTTGCTATTTCTTCCATTTTCGCAATAATACTATTAAATAATTGTTATTTTCACTTTTTTTAATTGCTCATTAAATTCTATTTTTATTTGGGTCAAATTTGAAATATTGCTTTCTTTTTGATAGGCCCCATGTGTTGTTAAACACCAATTATAGTTTTAATTTCCATAAAATTGATAATATCAGCAGTTCAAAAACGTTAGCAAAATAAAATTGTTTTGGTCTTTACTGTGTTGAAGGTTTATGCATTTGATCTATGATTTTATGATTGTTTCCGTTTTCACGATAACCATTTTATGAATGCATTGGCAATGTTTGCAACCGGTCACATTCGCAGTTCTTGGGTTCATTACCGATGGTCGCTAACGAATGAGCAAAAAAGTCCTGCTGGTGTTGTATTCTCGTGTAATAGAGCGAACGCGCACTCGTCTCGTTCTGTGCTACCTCTGAGGTAGCGACGCTCTTTATTTCAAGGGCATAGACTACATTCAGTGTGTTTCGTTAGTTCTTTTTATGTATTATTTCTGTTCGTTGTGTCGTCTTTCCTCACGTCTTATTTTTTATTTTGTTGAAACATTTTATTAAAAACCGCATTGTTTCTTTTTAAGATAATTATCAGAATGTCGAAGATGAGCAAGGGATTGAAGCGGAAGTTTGACCGTAAGCCCATTTTTATCACTTTTATATTGATATTTATTGACTTTCAGAAGTGTCTGGCCTACAGGCTTTAAACCAGAAATACGCTTGTTTGGATCAACAGAACATGTTTCAAGTAATGTATATTTGGATCGATGGAACTGGCGAAAATTTGCGCGGAAAAACCAAAACATTCGATTTTGAGCCGAAAGAGGCTAGCGGTAAGTGATGTTTTCAGTCAAGAATAAACATATTTCATTGAAGATTTACCTATATGGAATTTCGACGGCACCTCTACAGGACAACAACTTGGGGATGGTTCTGACGTTTTCATTCGTGTAGTTTATTATTTATGTGGTCATTTGAAAATGCGACAAATTTGTAGCCGGTAGCACTTTTCCGTGATCCATTTCGTCCGGGACCAAACAAAATTGCACTTTGTGAAACACTCGATCATGATTATCTTCCGCATCGTTAGTTTCCGAAATTGTAATCGTCAATCCATAAAAAATTTCAGCTACGAACACTCGACAAATGTGTAAAGAAGTCATGGAGAAGGTCAAAGATCAGGTTCCATGGTATGAAATTTGCAGCGAAAAAAACTAAATCAATTTTATTTGCGTATAATAAAAAAATGATTAAGAAAATTAAAAGAAAAACACAACCCTCTTATAGGTTCGGAATGGAGCAAGAGTACACTCTTCTAGATGTTGACAAACATCCATATGGATGGCCCAAACACGGATATCCGGGACCGCCTGGTAATTTTTTATGAATAGTTTATTCTCAACTTAGAAACAAACATACTCTTATTAACTAAAATAACCCGTGAATGAAATATTAATAATAGTCCAAGTACTGTTAAGTTCAAAAATTTGTTAAATTTTCTAATGATAATTCATAATTCAACAATTTTTCAGGTCCCTACTATTGTGCCATTGGAACCGACCGGATTTATGGACGAGAAATTGTTGAGGCTCATTACAAAGCTTGCATGTATGCTGGGATCAAAATTAGTGGATCAAATGCTGAAAGTGTTCCTTCCCAGGTATACCAATGACTAAAAATGCTCCCTTTGATATTAATTATTTTAGTGGGAGTTTCAAGTCGGCCCATGCGAAGGAATCGAGATGGGAGACCAACTTTGGGTTGCACGGTACATCCTGCATCGCGTTTGTGAAGACTATGGAGTCATATGCAGTCTCGATCCAAAGCCAGTGACTGGAGATTGGAATGGTGCTGGTTGTCATGTTAACTTCTCCACGTTAGTCATGAGAACACCAACTCCTGAAGGAACTGGCTATAAGTATGAGCTAATGGTTATAAACAAATATTACATTGTGTTTTAGAGCAATCCAAGAGGCTATTGTTAAGCTATCAAAGGTTCATTTGGAACATATTGCTTATTACGATCCCCATGGTGGACGGGACAACGAACGACGACTTATCGGCGCGAATGAAACAGAAACCATTATTGCGTTTTCTTCCGGTGTTGCGAATCGTGAATGCAGCATTCGAATTCCGCGTCAAGTTTATGACGATAAGTGTGTAAGTAAAAAAAAACACGATGATACGAGTACACTTGTCTCACCGTTTTATATTTCAATCTATCAAGTTTCTGTTATCAGGGATACTTCGAAGATAGACGTCCGTCCTCAAATTGCGACCCGTACGCAGGTACAAGTTAAAGTTCAAATTAATATGATAAATGTGATTTTTTTCAGTAACGGCTACTGTTGTGAAAACGTGTTGCCTTTCCGGTGAAGATAGCAAATTGACAATGAAATATCTCCCGCGATTCTAGTAAATGATTCAATCTTCTCGTGTTTCCCTGTGATAGTTTTGTACAATAGGAATACAAGAAGGGATGAAAATCGCTATACTTTAATAAAAACTTTTAAAAAAAGTTCAATACATTTTTCGGCTATAAACTCAAAAAAATGGTTAAAGCAAGTTTTTTTTAATAATCTGCTTATGGTTTTAAAAATGCCTTTTCGAGATTTTATTATGCAGTATGCACCATTGTCGTCGAGCCGAAACCCGATCGAACGGTTTTCTACAAAGTCATTGTTTTCATTTTAATTTCCTTATTAATTTTTTCGTTATTTTTCCATGTTCTTTCTTTTTATTTTATATTCAAACAAATGTCTATATTAGAAAATAATGGACGATTCTCGTGAAAACGCAGCAATAAATACAGAAGAAGAAAACAAATTCACAAGCACAATGCAATTAAACCACGAAATTCATTTAATAGTTATCATGAAATCTCAGAAGGAAAAGAATATGGCAGATAGGGTATTTGTTAATTATTTCATATGTCAGAAATTATTTTTGTTTTTTTAGATGAATCAAGTTGACATTCAATAATGTGCACCGTAATGTTTTACTAGCAAAAATAATATAAGACTCCTATGAAAAAAAATTGAACTTACAAGATTCACTGTTTCGCCAAAAACGCAAATTTGCTCTTTCTCATACTCTACTGTTGCTCCAAACATTTGCCACAGTTTAGCAAAAATGCAAATATCCGCGTTTTACTTATTAATTTGTTGAGTTCAAATAAATTATTGTTTTTTGATTAAAAAATTTTTATATATTGTAATATATTTATGTTTTCATAACTATACACATGTCCATCAATGCTTAAGCTGCTGTATTTTGAATAAAATCATATTGCTAATGATTGAATATTATCTTGAGAAAAATAGCAAATTATCTTATGTTATTAGCAATTTTAGTATTAGAAAACCTCAATTTCATTTAAAACAAGCTTACGATATATTTTGAAGTTTTGATTGTTTTTGGTGTTACCTATTTCTATTATTGTGTTTTTGTCAAAGTTAGAATACAATATTTGAGCAATTTTATCTGCCTAAGGTTATTTCAGAAATGATAACTGAAATGTTGATTAATATACGCAAGCATGTTCTGACGGTTTGTCAAGCTGTGAACAATATACATATTAATGACGATAATGTAACATATATTAAAATTATAATATGAGATATTATTATTGAAGAATTCGCGCGTATTAAGGCAAAAACAGCTAAGTTTTTATCAAGGAACATTCAAAAGAATGGATGACTGTGATGACAACAAATAATTGTTATGCATTGATTTACAAACCACAAAATTTGGTATTTATTGTTTTTCTGAAAATATACTACAAATAACATTACAGATCGCCTTTTCAAGCGACAATCATATAGATTTGAACAAGTTTGAACGATTATACACTGAATTTGTAGAAATTTCTGCAATAGAAGGTAAACCAGTTTTAAAAAAGTTTTGATAAAAATTGATTGTTTAGATGATGTGGAAACGGCAGTGAAAATGATGTTAAAGGAAGAATCATGTAAGACGATTAATCTTGCTGCCGCTTTAGGACTACAAGAATGTTTCAACAGATGTGCAACTCGAATCAATTATAAGTACAGTCGAAAGTGTGAAATATGCAACAGACAAAAATTTGCAGGTTTTTTGACCACAAGTCTGCCGATGGGACGGCAGCACATTACGGAATTGGTCATAAATGCATTATTGAGGTATACAAAAATCGTGCTAAAAGATGGCCTGTGTTTGAGTTATAGACAATCGAAAAAATGGTGAGCAAGAAAGATTTCGCAGAGTTGATGCAGCATCCAAATGACTTTAAAATCACGCCAATTCATCTTTCTTTAAAATATGAGGAAGTTCTTCATTATTTACTGAGTAAGAAGCTAATTGTGTGTATATCAATGCGAACGATGGTATTTCCAGTGAATTATCCGCAATTTTATGCATCTGCATACGCATTCCCGCTTATAAAAACGCTGTGTAACTTGAACAAAGATGATGCCGATCGATTTTCAAAGTATCGCTTCCTTCGGAAATTATTTATCATCGCTTTTAGAGTTTGCAAAATGATGACAGCAGCGAACCCTGGATTTGGTCTCAATCGATAGATATCAGAAAAAATGTTATTTATTCAGTAAAATGAAAGATTTAATTACTATTGGATCGCATGCCCAACTTCAACAGGAAACTCGCGAATTCAAATGGAATGAAAGTAAGCAGTCGGATTTTGTAATAAACTGTAAATACTGATAATTTTTCAGGTTTTGTTGATCATATTTCTTTAAAGAACAGCCTATCGAACTGTTTATCTAAAAGTGCGCATGAGAATTATCACGGTCTTTCATTTGATGGTGGAGGAATGCGGGGATTGGTTTTCCTCCAAATTCTTCGCGAACTTAAATAGAGGCATGAAAAATTGTAAATATGAGAAATTATTTTCCAGTTTTAACTGTTTCTATTGATTTTTGATGATGGTTTGTCATCTTAATAACACCGTTGGCGTTTTAAAGAAATAATTACACTGTTGTTTTGTATTATTCTTAAATTTTTTGATTTTTAAAAATCATTTTTAAGATTAGCTTTGTAATTGAGTAAACGTAAAACTGTCAAAGCGAAGCACAGCCAGCCTATCACAATTATAATTATATAAATATGCAAATAGGAATGAATGTGACTATGAAAGTAACAAAGAAAAAACTCGTTGAAAAGAGTTGAAAATGCAAGCACATACATCAATAACATAAACAATATATTCGATAACTATTAATGTACAGAAATTGGTAAAGTCTTTGATGATTGGTCGCGAAGACGAAGAGGAATTCTCTCGCACGGATCCAAGGCTGATATTAATTGAGGCAGCCAAACTAGAGCGTGGAATAGACCTTGAACATTAGAATAAATAAAAATAAATTGTAAATTCCATACCAATGATGTTCACAAGATAAACAGTTTGGAAGAAAACGCGAACAAGGTAAGCAGGAACGAGAATCGTGCAGGCTAATCCGAACAGTGTTGAACTAACCGCTTGAGTAATTGGCCAAGCCACAGATGCAAGAGTATCAGCAACCTGAATATTCAATTATACGCGAAAAGTAAATTAGAACTTTCACTTTTTCATGTGCAGTTGTGTATTCGGAACGATGATATCTGTAGCAAATATGCACTGAATAATCAACAGCCAATCCAATCGCCATCACAATGCAACCCATACTGACGGAATCCAAGTCTGACCCAAGAAGAGCAATTCCACCGCAAACACCCATAGAAATAGAGAGAAGTGACCATGTCATGAGAAATACGGATAACTGCAATATACTATTGAAAAAAAAAAGAATTTTGATATGAATTACGGCATCCGGCAAGAAGAAGAAAGAAATAAGGGCCATCATGGCCAACGCAGATCCGATAGTTTGCATAGAAGATGGGGCGATTGTGTGACGTTGATCAATTAAAAATGGGCTGAAAATCCCGGAAAGGAACATATCAAACTCTGGATATTCCTTGAGAATATTTCTCCAATGAAACAGCTCAGCTTGTCTTTTATCCCAACTGTCAAGACCATAGAATGATGTTTGGAATGTGAATGCGGCAATGCATGGCTCTCCATTTGTGACGTTATCCATAATTTTAACCTTATCTGTAATTAGAAAATTTCACTAGTTGAAGTAAATTGAATATTGCACCTCTGTATTGGGAATAGTCAAGCTGTGTGAAGAAATCTTTCAAATTTTTGCGATCATAAAAGTCAGTTGTATAATTGATATTTGGAAAATCATTAAGATATTGTTGATATTGCCACACCCAGAGATTTGTGGACACCCTTCCGATAGAATAATCAGTATGTTCAAGTCGAAACACTAATTCATTCAATTTTGCGCGGGCCCCAGCATCACGAAGGTCAGGTGGCCTCATGATATGAAAGCTTGGCATGACATTATCCGCCCAAATGTATTTGTCTGTAAAACTTCAACTGTTGCCTTTTCAAATTTAATGTTTCTACCAGCAAGCGCAACAAACGTTTGAATTGGTGAATTGTCGCGAATATATTTGACTGGTGAAATATCAACCTGTAAACAAATGACGTTTATTAAAACTCTGGTCATTAATACTTTAAGCACAGAGCAACCATAAAGTGCAAATGCTGTGTAAATGGGGAACATTGCCATTGAACCGATTCTCACCCACTTCTTCATAACAAATGGCGCAAAGATGTCGCGGAAAAATTTATGCATTCTTGGAACTTAAATTTTTTGTTAATAAAATGTTTTTTTTAACAATATAATTCCTACGGTCTTCAGTTTTTTCATGATGTTGGAAGTCCACATATTCTTCCTTATATTTTGGCTCATTTTGCTCAACCGCGTCATCACCATCTGTTTTCTTGTAACAACACGACGCCAAACCTCCTGTTTCTTCTTTGTCTCCCGAAAATTTGAGAACTGCTGCATAGAAGGTAATTTGCATGAGATAATCGAAGATGACTCCGACAGCGGTGATAATGCAGAAGTCTCCGACAGCTGGTGTGGAGCACATCAGCCATCCAAGCCAGAAGCAGAAGAAGTTGGTGAATGATGTGACAGTAATTGAGGCTCCAGCGTCTCCCATGACCAAGGCAAGCCTTAAAATAATATGAACTTTAGTTTTAATTTTTTTTTCAATTTTACCTTGTCGAAGGTGATAATTTTCGATTACATTCTCTCCAAGCTGCAACCATTAAAAAATCGTCATCGACCCCTAAAGTGTTTTTTATATTGTTTATGATTTGTATAATATTTATACCGATAGCTAAAATTAGGAATGGCATTGTAGACGTGACTGGATTGAACTTGGCACCGAAGAAAAAGAAAAGTCCGAAGGTAATTATCAAAGCAAAGATAATACACCATACTCCTAAATACATTTCAACTGGTTTAGATCTGAAATTTAACATAATTCAAGATATTATAATACATTTATACAAACTTTTTCCTATCCAAACTGAAGTTGGAGGTGACTACAAAAAGCATAAGCATAAGAGTAGCAGGTACAGCAAATGGAACAGTAGTTTTAATAATTTCAAGCATTTCGTCGTCCATAGCTTTGTCGCTGAATATATTCAATTTTTTGAAAAGTCTGTTTAATTTACTTGTGTGGAATGAATTGAAGATCACTGTTATCCGAAATTTCTTGCCAAAAATCGTTCAATTTTAAGCGGTAAGCATAGTAAGCTGCATTGTTTTCAGGAGTGGCTGGATAGTTTACAAACCAATGAAGAGTTAACACACGAGCCCCTTGTATTTCATTCTTTTCTCCCTTAACATCAACTCCATAGATAACCTAAAAAAAAACATGCCTTTAAGTTATTTAAATTTCGAACATTTCCAATATCCTTTGGTCGATTGAAGAGATACAAGACTGGATAAGACAGTTGAAGATTAGGGTTTGCCTTGATTTTTCCATCTTTGAACAAAACATCAGCATGTTTGATCCACAAATTCAAATTGTTATTGCACGTTTGCGCTCCAGCTTCTTTCGTGCAAAAGTCTTCTAATGTCCAAACATCTCCATCAAATTCGTTCTCCACTTTCATCATCTTGATATATAAAGTTTTATTTTCAGTCAGCGTTTTTTAAAAGTACCTGCTGAGTGTATTTGAATAAAGGTCCCAAATATTTCGATTGAAGCAAGTTGTCAAATTTTTTGTGCACAACGTAGAATCGAAGAATATCATTTTTGGCGGGAACTGAAACATTGCAAATAAGATTTCCAAAGTTCAATTAGATGTTTAATTGAATTGAACGTTCTCTTGAATGCTACACATTAATGCCGATTGAAGGATTAGTTTTAATATTCCCGTACCACTAGAGTTTCAATGCACCTCTCATTTCATTCTCATTTTGTTCTAATGACGTCTTTTCATTTCTCAACACAAGTCAATTTCCTTTTTCGGAGGAATCTGATGGTCAAAAGGCCGCAAACCGGGTCATATCGCGTCATTGAAGTCGCGGTTTGTTGCGCGAACAAAAATGAAAAACGCGCACTGACGTGGTTGTAGGTGGTTTTATGGAATCGCAATCGGGAATACTGTGCATTTGATTGGCCGTGAAATTAAGCTGTTTCACATTGAATGCATCGCAAAGTGAAAGTGGCAATTGAGCTGGACAAATACAAATTCTACCCAAACCACTGATTTATTTTTTTTGCTGTAGGTTTTAACTCACCCAGTCCGGCTTTCAAAGCCTTCTTGCCGCTAGCGCCTCTCTTGACCCTTAATGCAGTCGTGTTCCCATCATGAAGATGATTCTCATGTTCTTCTTGAAGCGCCAGTAGATCACGTCTTAATCGTTCCATTTCGACGTCCGGAAACGCGCATTCATCACTGTGACATTCAAATTCTCGTCGGTGTCTTGATGGAATTTTATCAAGATTTCCTAATGGGAGCCTATTGAATTCTTTAGTTCTTTCGAACTCATACCGAACCTATATTGAAACTGTTCTTGGTAATTTGCGCATTTTTAATTTACTGGAGCGTCAAGTGGAACAAAAAGATTATAAAGGTCGAGATTAATTTGTAAATAAAATAATCCGGGTATGCAAGCAATTGTGAGGGCGATTGGAGTTAACAGAAACCACCATTGGTGTTTGGCAATAAATAAACCATAGTTGTAGAATACCTGATCAATGCATATTTCAAAAACATTATCTGCAAAAAAGACATACCTTTACCATCCAGTCTTCAAACTGTTTTCCATAGCTGGAAAGAGAGGGCATTTTTGCCCAACCCGAGAATAGTTTAAAAACTGCAACAATGCTGATATTAACTTGAGAAACATTCAAGGATATTGAAGACACAAGCTATTAATGGATCGAGGCGATGCAACGCTGGCTAATGAAAACTTATGAAAACCGGTTTGCTAAGGATTTTAGAAAAAAAAAACGTTTTGTCAAGTGTTCAAATTCCAAAAACTTTCGATATAAAAATCTAAATAGATTCTTTGCATTTTTAAGTATTTGACCATTTTATAATTAAAAAAATTTATTATTTCACGATATAAGTCCTATCGACGTCTCTTGAAAACTTATTCTAAATTTATAGGAAAAGTTTTAGAATATATTCTGCTTGATAATAAGAGTTTGGTTGCTTTATAGAATGTCACGAAGCTTTAATTCGTAAGTAATAAACATGACAATAAAAAATATATCTGCCGTGTTGTGGATAATGGTGAGACAGCTTGCATCGTCACCGGCGGCGATCGGTTTGATAGGCCATAACCGTCGAGAGGACAATCGGTGACCCATATTCGGGAAAACGAGAGAGATGAAGGAGAGAGAACATTTTGTTTTCTGGTGGTCGCATTCTAAGGAGACACCAGTCACCGTAGGCCGATTTGCATGCTATCATAGAGACAAATAAAGTCGCATCTCGACTACCATTCGATTCCACTCTGTCGGCACACACACAGCCAATTTACGCTTTTGCGAAACTTGGTACGCGATCATCGATGATATCAATAAAATGGATTCGGAAAAAAATTTGTCGGACGGTTGGATTACTCTTATCTAATCAGAAAGAAATGTACAATATGAAACTGCTGAAAAGAAACAGTATATTTCAGTTCTTAAATTTTGTTTGCAAGTGGTTTCTGAATACACAAATTCGCAAAAACTTGGCATCACACGAGAAGACGGAAACGTTCATAAAAAGGTGTGAAAATAGTATCTTTATTACTAATTACTACTTGTCGTTTTTTGATTGCATAAGGAAAAATATGATACGCTGAAATCCTTAATTAGGCAATCAATATGCGTTTCATTTTATAACATTTAATATGATTTTTTCCCTTACCTTACTATTGTCAGTTAAAAAAAATTATATTTATTTAAAGTGTAAATTTAAATATTTCTCATTTTAACCCTATTTCATTCGAATTTTCAATACTTTTGGTGAAATATTGACGTTTAATTGACTTGATGTCATGAATAATTAGGGTTGGAATGCAATCTTTATTGCTATCCAATATTTGTTTTGGTTGGATGCACCAAAAAAATGTCGGAAGATTCAATTATAGTTGTATAGTGAATTAAATTGGAGCAGAATGATTTGTGAATCCTGTCGAATTGCATTGTATTGCATGCGAGCATGTGTCTTCGGATTCACAGCGAATTGCTCATTCCAGCGATTCATTTCTGAGGAACAAAGGATTATGCAAAATGAACTTCTATTCGAACTACCAACATCAACACTGCTCACACCACACTATCTCGCATCACTCGCGTCCGGGTGCGGCCAACAATTCCCCGAATTTTGGATTTCATGAAGAATAGGCAATGCATATCCTCAAGCTCATTAAAATTGTTCTTCCTAAATAAGTTTGTAGATATGAATAGAAAAGTGTTGCCGCCCCTTATCCATCTTTGATGAAAAATAAAACACATGCCGCATATTTTTGACAACAAGCACTTTATGCGGGTGATTGATAGGAGATCAACGTTTTCAAAATATGAACACTGAATTATTCATGTATCCCAACAAATGTTTGCTCTTTTAATTTAATGATCTTATGAAATAATTGTTTTCTAATTATTATTGATAGTAATTATAAAAAGTAATTTAAAACTTTTAAACGAAATACAATACCTTTTATAATGATGCGAAAAATAGAAATATTTTCAAGTTTTCTTAATACTTGGGTTAGCAAATTTTCAACTCGATTTTATTTTCTTTCAATTTGCCATATTTACATAATCAAAACTAAAGCGATATTTCGTTATTCTTGGCAACTTTCGCATTTCTATGTTAACAAATTTTATCATATTTTATAATTCTCTTTGAACTTACACGGTGTTAAAAAATTTCACAAAATTTGTACAATTTTGACTATTTTCATTGTATGAAAATTTCAAAAATAATTATTGCTACGCTTGTGGTTTTGGATGTATGACACCATACTTGACGTACCCATTTTGACCTTGCCCATTGAACCAAAAGTTATTCTTTGTTTAACCTCATCCGACAAACACCCTATAGAGAATTATTCATCGTTTTACGTAAGTTTTAACTTTTTCACAACTGTTCATTCCGTTTGCTTCAAATTTGCCGTGTCCAATTGATTCTACCAATTTCACTTTCTTCTCTGGGAAGTCGCATATGATTTATAAGGTTTAAATGCTGTTCTGTTTATAAAATATTTTCAAAAATTTTAAAGAAAGGTCAAACTTCCGTTTTTTTTTGGTACCATCCAACAATAGCCAACTTTCGAAAAAGTAGGAGATTCAGGCAACCGAGTGTATTTCATTGTTTCTTCTTTTGACTTGGTTTTTGATGTCCCTCCATCACTTATATTCCGAGCGAAGATTAGAATTTTTGAAAATGGAACCCCGTACCAGAAAAGATGATTTGTTGCTTATTTCTTTTCAAGCGCCTTTCGTCTTTTATTTTGCAAGTCATGTTCAATGTGTACCAAACAATAAAAAACAAAATGAAACCAGCAGTATAATCTGTATAAATAAAAAATGTCAAGAAAATTGAATTCTTCTTTTTTTTGAGAATAATACAATAAACTTAAGAGGAGTACCTATAAAACTTCCCGTAGAATCGCAATACTTGCCCCTTTTATAACCATCAACTTCCGGATACATCCAATGTGGTTCTCAATATGGATATAGCGTCGAGAAAGGAGCAATAAATATTTGCTACATTTTCGTAGTGAGTGTAAAATGCGACATTTTTTCAACCGCTATAATGGACCTTAATTATTTTTAGTGACCGGTATCTATTTTTTATTCCTAACACGTTTTGCACTTTTCAATTTATTTCGGACTGTTCGGCAAAACAAAAAATGTGCACATCATTTTACAAAAAGCGTATTTCGTAAAGATGAGCAGTATTTTTTTGCGCTTTTTCTCGCAAACCTAAATAAAACAAAAACAGAGAAACGACAAAACAAAATCAACTTGAATATTTCAAGATTCTAAAAACAACGACGAGTTTAACAACTTTTTCTGAAAAAAATCGTGTCGAAAATATGTTTTGATTGATTCTCAGAAAGTCCGCCATTCTCAATTTTCTTTCTTTTGATGAAGTTCATGACAGTACTTTAATAACTTTATATAAATAAAATTATTGCTTGAAATCATAGTTATTATTTTGACGATTTTCAATTTTTTAATATCTTGTTTGGTGATTCATTTCATTTCTCTAAAAACTAATATCTTCAAAAAAAAGTATTTACTCGGAATGTGTATATGATCATGAAAAGTTCATATGTGAAAAAAAGAGATGTTTAGTTCCGGTTGGCAAAGTTTTATCTCCCAATTCTTAAAATTAGACAACAATTTTTCATTAAAAATGAAACATTATTAAATAGGATCTTTTGTAGCTTACGATAATAAATAACTAATTCTTCAAATTAATCTTTATTTCTCGTTGGGGTTACGTGCTTTGTTTAACAATTTTATTTTCGGCAAATTTGTTATGCATAATTCAGATCTCATTTTTGTTGCCAAAAAATGTCCCTCATCTCAACGTTTCACTATTTTGAAGCTTCTGATATCACATTTTTATTTGATTCATCTTCATACGTAGGTTTGAAAGAGGTTAGGCTCATGGCGAGCCGCAATTTTGCCCCGCCCACATTTTACGCTCTCTTCAAGCGTGTTTATTCTAGGTTTTGTGTGTCACAATCACCATCATATATATGAAATGAGCACGAATATTTCAGGCTTGCGCTTTTCAACAATGCTTCTCTTCTATTCAATATTCCTATTAGTATACAGGTATTTGAAAAAGACTAATAAAAGTTTGCATTTTAATATTTTTAGGCCTAGTTTCTCGAGTAGAAGTGAGCCAGTTCCAATATACTTGGATAATCTTCTGAATGCTGGCAGAACCGTGTATGACAATCAATCACCTCCGATTCAAGACAAAGGTAAAATTTATAAATAACGCCAATAATTTTGGTTCCAATATTGACACCTTTCGGAATGCTGATGTCATAATACATCAAAAATCTCAAAAAAAAGTAGACGAAGTCCGGCGCCCTCGAACAGGACGCCGGAAATATGCTCAATTGAACATCGAAAATTGAACACGTTTTGAACGAGAAATGCATCCTCATTTCGACGACGAATTTATGAGGCAGGCTTGTCGCCGTTATTTTTTGCATTCATTCGTTCACAAAAACAAAACCAATAATACCGCTTGGTGCCGAAATTGGACAAATTATTCGGTGACAAATGATTCCCATTTAAGTCGTTTTCGTGTGATTAAAAAGAGGAATATCGTGTAGTGGGTGGGAAGAGAAAATTAGTTTTTTTTCGAGTGATTTATGAGAAGGCTGTAGATAATTCACTCAATGAATTTGAATGCCAAATATCTGTGGGATCAAACAACGATGACGGGAAAATCCTATTTGAGGCCCGGCACTATACCGATATATATAATAAACTCGAACTATTTTCACATTAATTTCCTAATCCAGTTCTTCACGTTTTTATCAAAGACAATGAATAGTTTTGGTCACTAATCATCACGTCAGCAGACACTGCTCCAAATTCAATTGAAGCCCTTCTACAACAAGGAGTTGTCTATTTCAAAATTCGAAAAAGAAGCAAAAAAAAAGAAGATATGGGGAACGAGATCTTAAACGATGGCATGTCTTATTCAAATAAAGAAAAGTAGATTTAACCAGAGAGAAACATTTTTATATTGTTTTTGATGATGCTATTCGAATAAAATTTACGTATCAAGAAAACAAGTTAAGCAGAAAATAATCCTGCAAAAATAATTCAACACGTTATATGCTATAATTTTGATAAGCATAATATCGACTTTTAATTAAATTTTAGTAAATTAATAAATAAATTTGTATATCACTTTACAAAAATACAAATAAATGCAGATGAAGTGACTGTCGTGGAATTGGCAATGTATATCGAAGGAATGTCATCCTTTCGTACACAAACTATGGTAATCCCTAGAATATGTGGTCGATCATAATCAAATTTAAGGATTTTCAACTTGATGTTTATTTTCAACAGTTCTGGAAAGATCCAAGGCTAGCTCATAATGAATCAAGGTTTATTATCAAATTAAATTATTTAACTAATTACGATAGTTCAGAAGAGTTCTTGTCAAAGACAAAGCTGTTTTGCATAAGATGTGGCATCCTGACGTGTATTTTGCAAATGCCCGCATTGCGGAATTTCATGAAGTAATTGGCTAAACAGAAACGACCCTATAATTTTTTCATTAAGGTAACTCAGCCAAATTTTCTCGTATGGATTCAACCAGACGGTTCAATTTTATATGACACCCGCATTTCAATGGTCGTCGTTTGCACGCTGAATTTGGAAAAATGGCCGCTTGATTCGCAGAGATGTCATTTACGCATTCTTAGCTGTTAGCACAAAAAAAAACAACCATTTAATTTGGTTGTAAATAATTTATATCAATTCTAGACGCTTATACAACGGAACAGTTGATAATTAGATGGAAGCAAGACGAGCCAATAACGAGAAACCCAAACATTGCCATGTCTGACATGCATATTGTTGATTTATACCCGGGCTCATGCGATGGAAATTACTCTACTGGTAAGTTTATGTTTTTTTCAAGTTATTTCCCACTATATTGCGCTAGAGCATCACGTGTGAGTAACTCTGAAAAAATTCATGGTCCCATTGTCGTAATGGCGGCAGCAATCAGGTTGAGTCGCACATTTTTTTTCAATTGAAAAACTTCGACAACAAAGCCGTCATGTTGTGAGTGCAATTTGCGATGATGGAAAGAAATTCCTTGTAGGGATTAGAATTGCTGTTTTGAACATAGGAAATGCGCAAATTGAAAGTTATTATGGGTATTTGGTAAAGGATTGGCAAAAAAAAATGAGAAATAATTTTTCTAACTCAACAACTGCAATTACTTGAATCAAACTTCCAGGAATATGGAGTTGCGTAACAGCTGAATTTTTCGTGAAACGAGAAATCACGCACCATGTAATGCAATCATATGTGCCAACGACATTAATCGTAGTTATATCATGGTATCGACCAGAACAAATGTGCAATTTTACGAATTGTAAACTGGTTCAGGTTCAGCTTCTGGCTCGATGTAGAGGCTGTACCAGCAAGAGTTTCTCTTGCTATTACAACTCTTTTAACATTATCAACTCAAGCAAGTGCGGCCAGAATGGCACTTCCCGAAGTTAGTTATATGAAAGCAATTGATGTTTGGATGGGAGCTTGCATGATGTAAGAATTTAACTTATTTCATTTGAAGACTTTTTTTAATTTGAAGGTTCGTTTTCGGAGTAATGATTGAATTTACAATTGTAAACTATGCGCAAAGACAAGGTAATGCTGTTTCCTAAACATTCACATTATAAAATTAGTGGTCATTATAACATTGTACCTTTATTCACACAATTTGTCACTATTTATTTCTCAATTCACATTTGATACACTTATTTCCCATATATAGGACGAAAATGGCACCGCACAGATGCAGAACTAGGTAGGTATTATGCACTGTACAATTGTAATTATCCGAATATTGTTTCAATTTTATTTTTTTATTCTTGTATGTATATTGTGCCAATATATATATATATATAATCGCGTTGAGACGCTTTAGATCGAGTTGTGCACGTTCAATTCAAATCGTTCTTTTACAAAAATGCGTAATTTTAAGTTTCTCAGTTTTTTTTGTTATTGTGTTTAAGCAAAAGAAAATTTAATGTTTACTAATTTTTGCAGGGTAGAAAGAAAAAACCCACATAATTTTTTAAGAACCATCCCAAAAAAATATACGCATGCATTCTCTTGTCTGTACTTCGATTTTCAAACCACTTCTCAATTCCCGGCAATTTCTGATGAGCAAAAATTCAATTAGATAGGACTATTTGCTTTTAACATAAAATTCCATGCATAAATTTTAGCTTGCCGTTGCTCAAAAAAATATACATTGTCACTTCTGAGAATTTTAGTTTATTTATTAAACTGTTTGCAGTAATGGCATCATCTTTGGAATCGGTTAAAAGTGAGAAGAAGAATTCACGTGCAGAAAATATTAGCGCTCAAGCACGGCAACTCTTTAATCGGATGAAGCCTAGCGAACGACTAGAACTTGATGAGGTAATAACACATTTTCTTTCAAAATTTGAAGGATGTAAATTGCAATATAGCTATCTTGAATTCACATCCTTCAATTTTATCTATGTGCTTCAGCCTTCACAGTAGTTTATTTTATTTTGTCCGCGACTTCATGTTTCAATCACAAAATATTTAGAAAATGTAAATATGCAGTTTGATGTGACTTATAGGTAACTACTGTTCAAAAAGCGATGAAAGACCCTGCCTATGATACGGTCAGCCAGGCATACAGTAATAGTTTTTCCGATGAAGAGGTAGGACAAATTCCTTCCACGTGTCCCCATATGTCATTGTTCTGGATAAAAATGTCATAAGCATGTCTGCGTGAGATGTGGTGTTTTAGATCACCTTAGTAATTGAACACATGATGTATGCAATTTAGGTCATTACTACTCAGAATAAGAATAAGAATTTGCAACATTCACCTGAGCCTCACGATGTTTGGGGTGAAAAGGAAACAAACTTGAACGAGGTGTGGAAAGATCGCGATGCGGACACAGCAGAAAGATTGGCGAAGTGGAATGATAGGGATTGCGAAGCGAGCTCACCTTTAGTTCCAAACGGTATATCATCAGGTCCAAATGAGTTTTCGAAAATTGTTATCAAGCTTTTATTGCAGGTCCAACAATCCGATATGGTGCAACAACGGAGTTTCGAATTAGAAAAAGAAAAAGCAATGAAAGTCGCAAAAAGGATAAGTGGAATACGACCATTAAGCAAATTCAAAAACACAAGTATGTCTTGCAACCAAATTGAATTCACGAGGAATCCTATTATTGACATTAAAATTTTTAAACCAAGACGAATTTTCTTATTTAGAATGAATATCTATAATAAGGAATGATCATATTTCAGGAGAAGCAGTTCTATATTTGGGTAATGTGTGATTTTCCCTACTATACATTAAAACTAGTTCATTATGATTTCCAGTTCCCTTCATAGCGTTATGTCTTACTAATCCCAATACGCGAATTTTCAGTTCTCTTCCTTTATTTCAAAGCAATTTTATGTCTTGTAAGAATAATTTTCAGGAAAATCGCTGGAAGAAATCGAGCCAAGAAAATTGATCAAACAAGTCGTTGGCTTTTCCCTGTGCTATTCCTCATTTTCAACATGTCCTACTGGTCATATTATTTATATTTCAAAGAATAATTATTTTTAATTATATTAAAATGAATAACATTTTCCATTTTCCCAAGTTTTGCATGGGTATAAGTAATCTCATTTTTCTTTTTCACTCTAACTCCTATCATTACTGTTTGCATATTCTGCCCACGTGTGCGCAATTAATATTCTACTTTTCGAATTTCAATAAACGAACACGAAAACGTGATAAACAAGAGAGCGTTTCAAGTGTTATCACTCATTGGTCGTGATCTTTCGAATTGGACACATTTCGGTAATAGCTGTTTTGACCGATAACGGAAATAAAATGTTGCAGCCAGTGTTAAAAAAAAGCATCGGTAATCAGAAATCTCGAAAAAGATTGATTATTGCAAATTTCAAAGAGAATTGTTAACATTAAAAAAAAAAGTAGTTTGTAGTTAACATGCTGAGGTAAGATTCAATGGATGACAATTTTTTGAAATTAATACTAGTCGAGACAAATTTAAAAAAAAAAAACAAAAAATGTTGTGTGGTTTTTTTAAATTTCAGTAGAAATATGGTCATATTCAAATACACACGAAGTCTAACAAATTAACGACGAACATCACATCTTCCAGCGAATCAAACAACAATCTTTCCAAAAATTGGACATGATCTTTGTGAATGATTCCAAAATGATCTATGAAATATTAATTGGTGGAAGTCAGTAGCCAAAAGTGGCTTTCGCTAGGGGCTATATAAACCTCATCCATTTTCTGAAGTCACCACATTGATTGGAATGAACGTTTTCATACTAATTTTTGCTACGGCTCTTCTTGTCGCTACCAGCATGGCAGGACCGCGCAACCGTTTCGACTGGCCCGATTCCTATGAAAAGATCCTTGAAAGAGTAGGTTAATACATAAATGGTTATGCAATTCGTTATTTCAGCAAGGAGTTTGGGATTATAAACGACACGAAGTAAAGGAAATCTACAGGAAACGTCCAAGTTATGAGCGTGATCTTCGCAATTTGTACGATGACTGGAAAAAACAGACCCACTGGGGACAGAAGGACTACAAATCTAGCAGATACAAAATCCCATCTTCAGGATTTGGGCGCTATGGATTTCCTGGAAAATAAATAATAATATGAGATTGTTCCTAACAATTACATTCATAAATATATTCCTTTAATTTTTTTGTACAAGCGTCGAAAAAAACAGTGAAATGAGACATCACAGTATTGATGATCACCTTTCGAATTTTCAGGTTTACAGAAGAGAAATCATACTAATTAAAATTCAAATACTCCGAATTTCAGCCATGAGAGTTTTTCTTTCACTTGCAAGGCAATAATGTATTAGAAAATTAATTATATTAAACAAATAGCCATTCATTTATTTATTTTTTTAATAATTCGTTGTGTACCTGTTTAATCTGTGTGTATGAAAAAAACATTATTTTTGTTCAATCTGTATTATATATTTTTTTCTCGGACAAGCGAAACCCAATATAATAAATACGTCAAAAGGTGCCTGCTTATTTAAAATATACTTTGTAAAAATTTCAAGTTTCAGTCAGCATCTATATTCTTCTCGCCAAACGTTGAAAGAAGAATTGTGTAGGGTTCTTTAAGGTTAAAGTCAAAGTTGGATGAATTTTTACTTCACATATATACATATATACCAAAACTCTCCGGTGCTTCGTTACAAATGAGAATTGAAATCAAAAATCTGAACAAAAAAATGCTAAATCTTATTCGAAATAGTCTCAATAAACATTCCTTGCCAGTTTTTACTATTCGTGAAAAATATATATTTGTGTTTTTAAGTAAGTAAAGTTTTAAAAAAATGTAGATAAGTTCCTGACATTTTGTTATTTTCGAAATTTATCAATTGCACAATCATTTTTTCAAACCCTTATTTTTGATCAAATTAAATTTTTTACTTTTTTTATATAGCTAAACTAAGCATGAATCACCATTAGATTCGCCAACTTCAGAACTCATGATGTCATTTCAATTATTTTATTGTACAGTTTGCTGAACAAAACCATAATATGGATATCTTGTTTGATGAAAAAAGTCCAGATGTTTCATCATAATATTTTTTTAAGATAATTCTTTACCTACGCAGTGTAAAAATTTGTCTATTCTAACTTATCATTCTTTGAGAGTAGCAGACGGTTGAAGATAATGGGAGGTGTCAATTGCAAAAGTATAAAATGCGTGACTGAATCACTTCATTTAACAAAACATGAACGCTTTGTGTCTTTTCCTTGCCTTCGCTCTCCTCATCAATTCCAGCATCGCTGGACCATCAAACCGTTATGGATGGCCAAGCTCTTATGAGCGATTCTTGGAAAAGGTTTTGGATTCGCATTTCTTTTTCAAATTACACGACAGTTTTTTTAGCAAGGTGTTTGGGACTACAATCGTCATGACGTTAGAGACTCCTACAGACGTCGTGGAAACTATGAAAGCGACCTCCGTGATTTGTACGATGACTGGAAGAGACAAACCCACTGGGGACAGAAGGACTATCGATCTAACAGATTCCAGAAGCCATCTCGTGGTTACGGACGTTATGGATTCCCAGGAAAGTAATTTCACAATACGAGTATGTCATGGAATAAATATCATTTTAATCAATTTTTCCAAAATTCCTTATGTTTAAAAATGAAAATTCGAAACATACAAATCTCTGGGCTTCATCACTATATACAAAATGTGTCATAATTACAAATCATTATTCGGAACTTTTAAATAGTTCCGCTTCGGCAACGTTCATCGGAACAACTAAGAGAACTTCCGCATCCGATGATCGTAGAACGTTATCCATGTACTCTTCTACATTCTCGATTTTCTCAGGACTGCTTATTTTGGAATCGAGGTTGAAGAACCTGCAAAAAATCTACGATTAAATTGTCAGCAAATTTATTTACTTATTATTGAAATTTACAAGAGGATACCAGTGACGATTTCTCACAAATGGAATGAACAATCTGGATGGAATATTGACCACAACTGCCCTGAGAAGATCAAAGTTGATCGTGCTCGGCTTATTACGTTTATCAAACCAGACGACCTGAAAAAAAAGCGTACAACAGTACTATGCAAAAATATACGAACTCGTGATTTTTCGAACATAACGTTCATCAAAGTACATGAATATATTTATTATTATTAATTATTAATACACAACCTAAAAAATGATAATAGAAATTATTTACAAACTTGAAATCGAGTTTGAAATCAGTTTTTTTTCAGCATTTCAAAATTACTGTTTTTTCAAGTTTTCGACTTTTTTTTACAATTTTTTTACAAAATTTTAATTTTTAAATAATTTCCTGTAATTTGAATATTTTTCGGTTTTCTAAAATCCTTTCCGTCAGCATATTGGAACATTAAAAAATTTTTACTTCCACGTAGCAAACCGAAACACAGGGTACAATAAAGATTGAGAAAAATTATATACACCAAACCACTGAGTTATATTTATATACGGTACTCTATATGCAAAGAAAATCTTTTTAAAATACCTTGAAATTGTGTTGTTGCAATGCAGCCATTAAAATGTTCGCGTCATAGTTCCCCAATCCAATCCAGGATCTCAAATTCACATATTAGATCGGGTGGAAACACTTCGTGATTTTTTAATATCAAAAGCAATAAAAATGTTGAGTTGTTTTCCTATAAAGCTTTGAAATTCAATCTATTTCATTACCATCTAATTAAACACTGAAAGCTATAAACTCGAAGCATCTTCTCTTACTCTTAGGTTGACTTACTTATGCGGATTAAACCATTTGCTTTCATTTAAAGCGTAGCATATCTCATCCATCGTTTCAGGTGTAAATTCCTTTCTTTGAAGAATATTATTGACCGTATGAATCAAGCAAAACTGCCATCTTTGTTTTTCATGATACACTCTCTGGCTTTCTTCCGATTCCATCTGAAATTCATTCATTTGCTGCTTAATACAATAAAGACAGACATTTAGAAGACTTTAGAACTGTTACGGTATTCTAAAAATTACTTCATCAAAATAAGTGTTTATTGAATCGCGAAAAACTGTTAAACATATCGAAATACAACACCTGCTGAAACGGATTAAAAACATCTGAAGACCAGTAGATTCTTAATGCTAAAAGTAGACAAATAAATAGTCGATCCGCAATTCCACCAAAAAGAATTTTGCTGATGTCAGACATAATTCCAAGATGACCGCGTTTTGGAAATGAGAAATTAACTTATAACAGGAAATAAAAACGATTGGAATAAAAATCGAAGTCCCAATATTTGAAACAACGTGAGAAATAACAAAAAATAAGTTATTAAGTTAGAACTGCGACTTAAAGCTCGTCTTTCTCGTCGGTTCCCTCGTCAGCTCCAGCTTCACCTCCAGCACCACCGGCATCTTTGTAGAGCTTGCTGATGATTGGTTGAACCTTTCCTTCAAGATCTTTCTTCTGCTCTTTGAGTTCTTCAGCAGAGGCTTCGGCGTTGCTTCCCAACCAGGAAATGGCCTCCTCAACAGCTTCCTCAATAGTCTTCTTGTCGTCAGCATCAAGCTTTCCTCCGAGCTTCTCCTTATCCTCAATTTGATTTTTGAGCGAATAAGCGTAAGACTCAAGTTCGTTGCGAGCCTCAGCCTGAAAATTAAAAACTCAAATCGTCTTTTAGACAATTTCAATAACTAACCTTCTCTTTAACCTTCTTGTCATCTTCAGCGAATTTCTCAGCATCATTAATCATTCGTTCGATATCTTCGGGGCTGAGTCTGTTCTGATCGTTGGTGATAGTGATCTTGTTTTTGTTTCCAGTTCCCTTATCTTCAGCAGTAACATGAAGGATACCATTGACGTCAATTTCGAAAGTGACCTAAATACAGAGAATTGAGCGGTTTTGCGATGTCGGCGTTGAACCTCAATTTGAGGAACTCCTCTTGGGGCTGGTGGGATTCCAGTAAGGTCAAACTTTCCGAGTTGATGGTTATCCTTAGTCATTGGTCGTTCTCCTTCGAAGACCTAAAAATACGCTTTTACATACAATGTTGTTTGAAGCAAATGTACCTGGATGGTAACAGTTGGCTGGTTATCGGCAGCGGTAGAGAAGACTTGAGACTTCTTGGTTGGGATGACGGTGTTTCTTGCGATAAGCTTAGTCATGACTCCTCCAACTGTCTCAATACCGAGGGTCAATGGATTGACATCAAGAAGAACTATCTCTCCAGTATCTTCTTCTCCAGAGATGACTCCTCCTTGGACGGCGGCTCCGTAAGCGACGGCCTCATCAGGGTTAATTCCGCGGGATGGTTCCTTGCCGTTGAAGAACTCCTTGATAAGCTGTTGAACCTTTGGAATTCTAGTGGATCCTCCGACAAGAACGATTTCGTGAACATCTTCCTTCTTCAAGTCAGAATCTTCGAGAACCTTCTGGACTGGCTTAAGGGTAGCACGGAAAAGGTCCATGTTGAGCTCCTCGAATTTGGCACGGGTAAGAGTCTCAGAGAAGTCTTCTCCTTCGAAGAGAGATTCAACCTCGACCTTAACTTGATGTTGGGTTGAGAGAGCTCTCTTAGCCTTTTCGCATTCACGACGAAGCTTCTGAACAGCACGCTTGTCCTTGCGAATGTCCTTTCCGGTCTTCTTCTTGTAAAGCTTGATGAAGTATTCCATAACCCTCTGGTCGAAGTCCTCTCCTCCCAAGTGAGTATCTCCGTTGGTGGCCAAAACTTCGAAAACTCCATTGTCAATGGTGAGCATGGACACATCGAAAGTACCACCTCCAAGATCGAAGACGAGGATGTTGCGTTCTCCTGAATTGCAATCAATTAGTCAATGCCGACCGCTATTGTGTAAATAACACATCCGACAGGTACCAGTCAGTGACCCGAATTATGTTTGCACAGTTCGGTCACTCAGTCCGATTCAAAACGAAGAAAGTAAATAGTGAACTTTTTTCCTTACCCTCTTTCTTGTCAAGTCCGTAGGCGATGGCAGCGGCGGTTGGTTCATTGATAATACGGACAACGTTTAATCCAGCAATAGTTCCGGCATCCTTAGTAGCTTGACGTTGAGCATCATTGAAGTAAGCTGGAACAGTGACGACAGCGTTCTTGACCTCCTTTCCCAAATAAGCTTCGGCGATTTCCTTCATCTTGGTAAGGACCATAGCAGAAACTTCCTCTGGGGTGAATTGCTTCTGCTCGCTTCCAACCTTAACCTGGACATGTGGCTTGTTAGCTTTGTCGACGACGCGGAATGGCCAGAGTTTGACATCAGCTTGAACTGTCTTATCGTTGAAATCTCTTCCAATAAGACGTTTGGCATCGAAGATAGTGTTTTCTGGATTGATGGTGAGCTGATTTTTGGCGGCGTCTCCAATCAAACGCTCTCCTTGATCTCCAGAGAAGGCGACATACGATGGGGTGATGCGGTTTCCTTGGTCGTTGGCAATGATTTCAACACGACCATTCTTGAAAACTCCGACGCACGAATAGGTGGTTCCGAGATCAATTCCGATAATAGTTCCATACTTGGTTTCCTAAAATGTGACAAATTCAAATTGATTTCGTTTAAAATTCTGCAAACCTTCTTTTCAGCTTCTTCACAGAAAACGCTGACCGCAAAAAGGGCTGCAAGCCCGAGAATTAGGAGATTTCTCATTTTGTTACCTTGATTTGATTACTACCTGGAAAAAATTGCGCTAAATGAACGATAAAAATTCGCCGTCAAAATGATCACGGACGAAAAAGAAGAAGGATATATTAGTGTTTGTAGGTCGCACGAATGGTATACTCAAGGTCGTTTACCAACGAGGCGAATGAAATGCAAGAGACGGAGAGCCAACCATTATGGGGAGGTCCACGTGTACCAGCACGGCCGATCTAGTGCAACGTCAGCACATTTCTTGACGCTGGCTCTATCTCTGGGTGGGTCAGAGACGCAGAGTTTTTCATAGCAGTTTGGAGCGAATGTTCTAGTTACGCGTCTTTTATCGCTCAATGCGCTCGCCCGCTTCCCAAACGCGGGAGAAGAGAAGGAAAAATCAATAACGTAACTGCATTTGTCAAAGACACATGCAATATTAGAGCGAACGCATTAAAGGAGCCGAAATAATTGAATAGGAATAAATGAGCATCTTTCCAAAAACAAACGTACTGAAGGAAATCAGCGGACATATCGAAATTATTCATGATGAACCTATCTACACGGTATCATCATAAAGGATGAAATCGTAATTCATTAATTGACGAGTATATTGTTCACATAATTATACTTGAATTATATAATTTTGAAAGATAAAAATTGTACTTTTCCTATGAAATTAGATAAGAAAAGTACATGGTGAAATAAGTGCATTTCAACAATATGTACTTGATCATAGATTCCGTTTATACATGATTACACAGGTAAAAGTGCAATTATTTAAGCGTTTCTATTTAATTTTGAGCGGAACTTAATATATCAATGAGTAGAATATACATACTTGCCTAAAAATTGGTTGAAATTAAATGAAAAAAAAATTGCATTTGTTTGATTTTATCATGACATTACTCAATTTTCCGCGTAAAAATCGTATGTTATTCAGTTTTTCCTGCCTTAAAAAAAAAACTAAAATTTGTGGTTCAATTCTTCAAGATATTAATCTGCTCGTACGATGTGTACGTGGAATTTTCAAGAACATCCCCACTAACTTCATTGTGATTGATGATTAGTTTGAAAATGCCGGTTGATGAAATAGTGCGCATCTTGCAGAGAGATGCAAGAAATTTACGTTTCTGTTGAGCGTGTTTCCCTCTATACATAAAAATCTGTTCGTATTTATGAACGGACATTTCATCTCGTTTGATTAACATTTAGATTATGAGAAAGTGATACTCGAAATGCTGCTAAGGATTTTGTTATTGTTTATAATCGGCGTGGAATCAAAATTTCATCATCTCAGTTTACTTGTAAGTGATTAGCATGTTGATTGATTACATTGTTGAGAAAATTTTCAGTCGGATTCGCGTAGAAATGTTATAATCAGTTATTTTGGATATGGATCGAATGGAACGCTGGATATCGGAATCAGTAACTTCACCGTTCCTGATAAAATCAAAGATTCTGTTGATTCGACGGAAAATGCTGACAAATTAGTGAGTATTTGGTATTTTATAAGTTAACGAGATGATTTACTTTATATGTATGTGCGATTTAAAAAAAAAACAACAAGTTTCTGCACACAATTAATGGCCTTGGAATTATAGTGACAATTTTTGCAGGGAGTGATTGGCTTTTCGTTATCTCGAGGAACACAAATCACCCATGGTGTCGGAAATAATCCTCATCTTTGCCAGCTGCAGGTTATCATCATCATCGAAACAACAATTTAAAATGACTTTTAAGCAAACTGATCAAGGATTCGATGCTATTTTCTTTTTTGCCGATTTGCCAAATAAAAGATTGCGAATTTATAGAAGCGGCATTGGCAAATATATAAAAATATGTGCAACTAATGCAGAGTAAGTTTGTTTTCCTTTTGTTAATGATCTATTCAATAATCTTGAATCACACTTAATTGTATTTTATTGCAGATGCCAAGAGTCTGACGCGATTCGTATACCTAAACCTGAAGAGCTAATCGAAGAGAAGAAAAAGAAACCAGTAGAGAGTCAAGGATGGTTCAAGAATATCTTTGGACGGTTTTTGTCTCCGGGGGCGGAAGAAATTGCCTATGAGAATTATGTTCCACTTCGACTCGAACATGAAAATCAATACTCAACAAATGTAAGTGGATTTGACGTTATCAGATTGTTGTTCTTTTAGATCTCATTTCGCTTTGATGGAAAAATTACTGGAGACTATTTCTTCATGTTCCACAACTGCTATAACTATCGTGCTCATGGATACAGGCAAGAGGAGAAACCTCAACAACGATTAATGAAGAGAGCATTTTAGTGATCGTGTTGCTGTCGATTTGACCGTCGATCTTGTTGAAAGGAATGTCCATTCATATCTGTCCGATGGAGATATTGCCAAGCCATACGTGCTTCTCTACATTTCGATTATGTTCTTCTCTTTGGGAATCTACTGGTGTCATATTCTATGCCGTTCAGAGTAACGAAGAATGTCAAAAAAACTAAATGAAATGTTGATTTCAGGCCTAACAACATTTATCGTATGCATAAGTTTATGGCGGTACTTGTATTTTTGAAGGCGTTGTCTTTATTCTTCCATGGATTCAATTACTATTTTCTTAGTAAATATGGAATGCAGAAGCAATTTTGGGCAGTTCTATTCTATATTACTCATTTGTAATTTACATTCCTACTTCTTTAAAGAAAACTATGTGTTTCTTCCAGAATTAAAGGCTCGCTTCTCTTCGGTACGATCATATTGATAGGAACTGGATACACCTTCATCAAACAATTCTTGACCAACCGAGATCGTAGAATTTTTATGACTGTCTTGCCAATTCAGGTAAATTTGATAAGTAAACTTATACTAACATCAATCTTTCTTAGGTTCTCGACAATATTTTCTTGATAATTCTTAGTGAAAGCGAAGTTGGAGCTGAGAGTCACGATTTCTGGCTGAAGCTCTTCATTTTCATGGACTTCATCTGTTGTATATTGGTTGCATCACCAATTGTTTCGTAAATACTGCGATGCATGTTCTGATCATCGTAAGTGGTTTACAGGTCGATCCAACATCTTAAGGAAGGTGCTGCGACAGACGGAAAAGCGGCAGAAAACTTGAACAGACTGAGACTATACAAGGAATTTTACCTTATTGTCGTTATGTACATTTATATCACGCGGCTTATTGGCATCATGGTAAAGGTACTTAAACATCAGATGAACAAGACCAAATTACAACAATTTTCAAAAATCATCTAATTATTTTTATTTTCAGTACTTTATGCCGATTTCGTACGATTGGATTGTTCTTTCTGCCCTCGAGAGCATAAATATGTTCTTCTTCGTGATAGTCGGCTACAAGTTCCGTCCCTCAAACACCCATAACTATTTGTTACTCGTTGATGAGGATGACCTTGAGCTTAAAAGAAAGAAAGAAGAAGAAAACGTAAAACATGCCGAAGACGTCGAACAGTATGATAAAAGATTTTTGTGTTACAAAAAATTTATAAATATAACAGATTTCTCGCGAAGGCATATTCCGACCACACGGTGTCTCGTCGACTAGTTTCTGATGAATCTGCTGAAGGTGGACAACAAAAACTTTCCAAGAAAAAGTAAGAGAGCGATCAAATTGATATTGGAAATATGTTTCATTTTTCAGTTCGCAGACACTTCTTGACGACTGAGTCATTATTATTGCTATTATTTGAAGAATCATTTTGTTTTTATTGCTATCATATAATATGTGCTCTCGGGTTTACTTATTAGCTCTAGTCGTATGATTAAATGAATTACTGTATAGAAAACTATTCATATTAACAAATAAATTAGTTTCGTTGTATATTATGATGCCATTCATTGGCTCTCATTATGTGAGTACATAGTATTGTTTCTTTCAATGCAATTTCGGTGGGACGCTGCTACGTGTATGTGTCAGTGTACAGCAGCTAATTTTTCAACAAACCAATGGTCGACAAAATTGTTTATTCTGCTCAATCGTTTGTTATTTTCCGATATTCTATGTTCAGGTGCTCATTTGTGAGCATATTTTCAGCCAAACATTGGCAATCTCCTAGCAACGCAATTCAGGTCGTGTTCTTCAAATGTTTCCTTTCATGACGATTTTCGACGAATGAAAGTCAACTTTTTTCTCTTCATGAAAAATCAACCAAATTGGATGTGTGAAAAACTGTATCAATGCGAAAGTGTTTCCTCTGTTTTTTCGGTTTCTTTTAGAAAAACGAATTACTTAATTACATCTATTCTTATATTTAGTGTTCGATGTTCTACGTAACAATTAGCATTTCTATAAAATCCACTGGACAGTTGATTTCATCGTCTGCGAATAATGTAAAAGAGGAGTATTGACAATTAACGTTTCCAGCATCCTTTATCAGTGTCGAAGCATTATTTCCCTTCTCTCTATGTTTCATCGTTGTTTTAGTTAGTTGTACGAGACGAACAAGACACAAAAAGAATCAATAGCGCAATGAGTAACAGTTATTTTTCACACTCACAAACTATATGTGTTGAGTGCGACGGAGCGCACTTGCCGCACTTGGTGTTCAATGGCCAATTGAACCATTACGTCTGCTTTCCTTATCACTGCTTCTTCTTCGCTGTTCTTTCATAAAAGTTCGCTAATCTCATTTAAGTTTTCCTCCTCGTTCTCTCAACAGTTGCTGATTGTCGGGAGTCTCAATCGATATTTCGCATGTCCTTTTTTGAGCAATTGCCGTTTCGCCGCTTGCGCACACAAACCTTCACGACAAGTGTATTGACACACTCATTCGCTTTCGTTAATGACTTCCATTTTTCGTTTTCAGTGAAGAAGCCCATAAGTTTATTCGAAGTAAATTTGAAAGTTTTGCCCACATTCTTCATATTTTCTACCCGTACACACACCCTTATATATATATCATTCGGCAAATTTCGGAGAAGTGACAGGCGACTGATAAGGGCGAATTGAGTGGAAAATCTTTTAGTCAAAATCAAAATTTCTCATTTTCCGTTTTCATTTGCTCGATTGCTTTTATATTTCGTTTTTTAATCAATTATATAAAAATACCTCATTCCTTAATCATAAATTAATTTCATTTGCAGATGACGGACACAGGTAGTATTCGCTCGTCAGAGGGTGCATGTAGCTCATTAGGAGACGAACGGGAACGGGCAAGAGTTGTGCAAAAAATTACAGAGCTTAAAGACAAATTGAAAGCAAATAATGAGTCAGGCGAAGGTATGTGCTATGCGTATTGTCTTCAAAATTGTATCAAATACAAAGCCCACAGTCTAGTCTGTGGTCTGTTTTTTGCCCTAATTGATTGATAAGGATCGTACGATTATTTCAGCACGGATTGAAAAGTTTTTGGCAGTTACGAGGCAATCCGAAGTAGAAAGAGGAGTAGGATGCGATAATCCACAATTAGTGCGCATTCGAGCAAACTTTGAAAGACAAAATAAGAGACACACGCAGGAAACAGAAATGCTTAAGGTTGAAATTTACTATAAAAAATGGTTGTCGAGGATAATATTTTAGAGAAAGCTACACGAATATGAACAGAAGCTTGCTGCCCTAGACAAAGGAGAGTATGAGCCAAGTCCGAGCCGATCTAGCGTAATCTCTCAAGGAATAAGGTATATTAATGAAGAAAATAATTCGAAACAATAGAAACACAATACATTACCATGTATATATTTTTTCAATATCAACAATATGTTTTGCAATTTTTTACAAATAAGCGGACAATTAATATTGCTATTGATAATAGAATTAAACGTTAACGAAACCAATGGGTGAGGTTTCAGTTACAATACCATTAAACGAATTTATCTGATTAACGTAGAAATTGTCAAAAAGGATCGAATGTGATGTTTTTGTTTATACATAATGCTGGATTTCGCCGGTTGAGTCTCACATATGCCCATTGTTTTTTTTTTTAATTTTCGAAGGCGCGTACAAAATTTATTTCACTTCCGCCACAAGAAACGTAACTCGATTTTTTTTCAAATTTCCGTCATTTGCGTTGCCTTGGACAATATAAAGATAAATTTTTTAACATTTACGATGTTCGAAAGTGCATTCTATTGACTTCATTAAAACAAAAAATAAACATGTTTAGTATTATCCAAGCTAAAATGCATTTTTAAACAAACCCGTAACGAAACCGCATAGCACTCAACAATTCATATTAGTTTCGAGTATATTTTCGAAGAAATAGTTTCCTAATCGCTGCTTCAAATTTAGCTGATTTTATTTTTTCCTCAGCATCAAAGCAAAAAAAACGTAGCAATCAATACATGCGTGTCTGAGCCACATGTCTAGGAAAAGCAAATAAGAACCCCGAATACATGGGAATATCTGAAAGGGGTATAATTTATGTGAGTCAAGACTGCATGGCGGCAATAAATTTGGAATTGCCTCATTTCATTCTGCACATTTTCCCCCTATCAACTCTATTATTTCTACATTATCGATTCAAATGTTCAAACATTATACGAGCAAATATAGTACGCAAAATTTGAGATGAAGTATTGTGTCAAAAAATGAAAATAATCAAGAAAATGAATTGAATGACGCATGACGAAAGTGATTTTATGTATGCATATTTAGAATTTTTTAAATCTCGAAACCCGATTAGCTGAGATAAGCTATTACATTGCTTTCTATTTTTTTTACTATACGAAATTCTCTCCCTGAAACGAAAGATGTAAAGCTTTTTTTTTCATTTTGAAACCCTCAAGTTATACGTACTTGAACTAACATACAAGGTTCCGTTTCAAACTTTTCCCGAAATATATTAAAAAGAAAATTTAACTTTCCACAAAATATTCTCTTCCTTCAATTTTTGAAATTTTAAATTCAATTGTCGGTTTGTTGAAATTTCCATATTTGCAGAAAAGCTGGGGCAAATATGAAAGGCATGACGGAAACTGTGATGACTGCTCCGATGGAGTTTGCCCACAAGATTAAAACTGCATTTGGATCTGCCGATAATGTGAATGTTTCACGAACTTCAGGTGAGAACATCATTATTTATTTATACGAAACAGAAATAGAAAAAAGATTATAAATTATTTCCAAAAAAATTGTGCGATAATAATGAATGGAAGGGTAAGAATTGTAATCGCAAGGGAACTGCTGTTACAAAGATCCCCGGTACAACAACAAACTTGTGTTTTATGACCGTCGAGAGCAGTTTTCATTTCATTGCACTTATTGCTCTAAAATTCAAACTTTAGCTAAAACAGATATGAAAATTCATACCACACATTCACCATCACACCCTTTTACCGTCTTCACAATTGCATTCTTCTCGTCGTATTCAGTTTCCCTGAAGAAAAAATTAATTAATATTTGAGCACGTTCGGTAAAACGATAGATTTACGTGAAGCAATATCTACTTGATTGGCATGTCTTTTCTTGATACGGAGAATAAGCTGCAAATGTAATGTTAAACTGATTTTGAAATGTAATAATACCATTTGAAAATTCGCAAATTTGGCCTGCAGAAATGCAGCTGATCAAAACGCATAGAATAAGAGTTGTGTATTGCATTTTTTTTGAAATGTGGTTCAATATGGACAAATTTATACTTAAATTGTTTGCTCAAGGATGCATCACTCGTTTAATATGAGGCGTGGCTTGCCATTTTTGATTCCCTAAGTAAAATCAACAGCCATGAAGTTTAATCTGATATTTCAACATGATTTCTGTATACATTTTTTGTTTACACGTTGACTCAGACATTACTGATTCCAATTTTTCATGTTGCAGACGGTCAAATCGGTCATTCCACATTCTTTACTGAGCGTAGAAGTGCCGACAACGAAACAGACCTGAATAGTGACGCAAAACTTATGTATAATTGAAATATATGTAGCAATGAAGTTTAAAAAAACCTTTCAGGAAACATACAAAGCCAAATCATTCGTCTGTGCGAAATAGTTCAACTCTTCCACCAAATATGAGTTTAAGTTGCGGGATTCCGGATAATGATTATCCAATGCGTCCAGGAAGCTCTGATGATGGAAATATCTCCCAAATGGTACTTATCTCGAAATCACTGTACAAATAACTGTTTTTTTAGTATCGAACAGCAAATAATAGTCTCTGTTCGCCACCAAATGCTGCCCATGTTTCCCATCTCTCCGCCCATGATCCTTATGCTGGCGATATTGCTTGCCAAATCAACGATCAGCTGAAAACAATGATTCAAAGGATAAATGGCATAGAGTTGAAATACGATCAACTAGCGGTAATATTTTTGTTAAAATTCAATCCCATGTCAAACTAAACAAAAATGGCATTTGCAAGTTATTTTTTGAAATGACAGTCTTAATATTTACAGAAAGACGTATCACGTGAGATTGAATATTATACGAATGCATTGGAGGAGGAAAGATTCAAAATAACGGTAAGAACATATTCAATTAGCACTAATAAAAGGGTTTTTTTTTAAAGAAACTTGAAGGAATTTTGAATGAGACAATTGAACTTCACCAAGCGGAACTTTCGGTATTATTTGCAATTATTGAAAAGTTTAAATAATTGCCTTTTCAGTCTCTAAAAGAGCAAAATCTCATGGCGGTGCGCGTCGACTACCAGCATAACGACAGATTCAAAAACATTGAGGAGAGAATTGAATCTGTTCAAAATCATGTATGTATCATTAACCGAACAAATGTAGCAAATCCATTTTCAGATGACTCGCTTGGAAACGTCTCTCACCGACGCCATAAATGTGCGCATCTCAAATCCTGTCTGGGGAAACGCTGCCCTCTCTGGGGCAAATATTTTAGTATGATTTCAACACCAAAGCGTAAAAGTAATGTATATTCTAGGTCGAGATGCTCAAGATATTTTTGTTTGTCGTTGCAACGATTCTTGACTTTGTCAGACCATTAACGGGCTCTAGGTATTCACGTCAAATGAAAACAGCAATGTGTAAATCATTCTTGCAGAAATAGAGCAGGAGTTCTTCTTGTCCTCATTTTGGTGTTGTTCTTGTTCGGTGGAAATATTGTCAAATGGTTCCCTATTAACTATTTGTTTGACAAAATGAATAAGAACAACACCCCTCCAAGAAATGGCGAATTGTAAATTATTCAAACTGTTCGAAATGTGTTCTGTGAACTAAAATTCACTTTTATTCGTTAGGATATTAATGCTTCATTTTTCTTATACTTAATTTTAATAGTTCAAACCCTGTGTTTTCGTTCCATAATTTGTTCATTATATGTAGAATAGCTTGCGGTTTCGAGTCAACAATTTGCTGGTCAAATATTTCTGTCTATACCGTAAGATGCTAGATCATTCACAAGGATTCTTGCCGAAACATTCCAGTTGTTCCATATATATATATATATATATATATATATATATATATATATATATATATATATATATATATATATATATATATATATATATACATAACTATTTACATATATATGGGATGTCTCCCAAACCATTTCCAACATGACAGGGTCATATTTAGATAATTATTAGGTTTCTCAGTGATTTTCATGCTATCACTTCATGCTGCCTTCAATCTGTGAGATTCAAATTTTGTGCTTAAAAAATTTCACACGTGTGTACCGCTTGTTTTTTGTAGTCGATCCTCTTTTAATCGTCATTTATCCTTGTGTGTTTGTCTTTGTGCGAATAAAATATTTTTGTGCATATAAAACTTATTTATTCTCTGACGAATAACATCAATGTTTATTGTACCTTGTTCGGGAAGAAAGTGCTACATGGAACACGCTCTGCAGTTGTTGCTCCGCACTTAGCCTGGGTGCAGACCGCTTTGGCGTTTGGGGTCTTGTCAGTGATCTTCAAATCATAGGTGACTTTCAAACATGCACCATTCTCGTTGATAGTTTTCTCGGCGTGTTCCTGAAGGAGTTATCAGTACACAAATATGACTTAAGTCGGCAATGACTCACCGATTTCGACATGCCCCGCTTTATTCTACCTTGTTCTTCGACAGGGTAGGCAAAAATTGCCGGAATAAGCAACAAGAGGAAGAAAATAATTTTCATCGTTAATTAGAGTTCAACTGGCTGTGAGTGTTGTTTTTATACAGACGGGATGAGGTTTGTTTCGGTTATCTCAACCCAAGCACAACTGTTTTTGCTATTACAGCTACTATGATGAGTTTGTTTTCCAGTGCTGAGCACTCATTTTCGATAAGCTCTTTCTGATATATGGCTCCGATTTCAATGGATTCGAAGAAGCGAACGAGGCGATGTGTAAAGCTCGGTTGTTTTTGTTTTCACATGTGGTTGAAGTTCATGAATAGCAGAGCTGATGCTTTAGCATTGAAGTCAGGAAAGCGTAAACAACAAAACAAATGTGAAGTGTATATTAAAAGATGTTTTCTTAAAGACACGCTTACAGAAAATGTCGCCTAAAAATAAAATGAACATTGTAAACCCAAGAAACCCTTGCTTCGATTTCAAAATCCGGATCCAAAGAATGAATACTCGAAAATCTTTTCTCTTAACAATTTACTTTGATGTTTCCTTTTTTACTTTCAATTGCAAGTATTTAATATTACCTAAATAATTCACGCGGAAACAAAATAATATTACCTAAATAATTCACACGGAAACAAATTTTATTTCTGAAATTGTTACTCTGAAATAATAATATTTTACCCACGCAAAACTTTTTTTGCTTTGAATCAAATCATATCAAAAATTAGTTACGTGTTGATGTTGTGGGGAAACATTAGTTGACAGAATTTCACACGCCAAATACAACCTCGCAAATTTTATAATGAAAAGATAACAACTTTGAAATCTATATCACACCCAAAAATTATATATATATATATCTCGAAAGAAAATTCAAGATTACTAAAATGTGATTCTCAAGATGTTTTTCACAAGCCTTTATTTTTACAATATCCCAATCCAATCAATATCTATGGCGAAATAACATCAACATATTTCAACGCCGCAGGACTATATAAAACTGGCTAAATTGCAAAAAAAGAGATTTGGCACAATATGCTCAGTTGTGCATCATTGACCTACTTTCTTACCTATGCTGTAAATCTTAATTTTGCCATTTTTTTCACAGTCACGCGACGCTGATAATATATGAGGGCAACGAATACATTTATTTAACTATTCAGCTTGTTGACTTTCAACAAGTTGGCAGACTTCTTGCAAAACGCCCACAAATCTACGACAATCTTCGTAATTGTTGTATAGATGCACTGGGGCGACGCGAATCACGTTTGGATATCTTTTATCAACCTGTCAAACAAATTAGTATCATTTGCAATCTTGTGAAAAACTAACCGCAACGGCACGTTTAACAAGTTCTTTGTAAATGATATCAATCGGAATCGAAAACTTCAATGACAGTTGACATCCTCGCTCTTGGAAATTTTCTGGTGTTATTATCTTGATCGACACATTTGTAATTCTTCTATCAGAGTTTTCATCAAAGAAAGTTTTGATCAAATATTCAAGATAGCCGGTAAGATAGCATGACTTGCTACGAAGATCATCAAGCGACACAGATTTGAAAACTTCGAGGCTTCCTAGCATAGGGACCACAAGATGGATGGGAGGATTACTAATTCTATAGCCAGCAGCACCTTCATCAAGATCCAATTCTACAAAAGAACTTTTTTTTAAATTAGTACATAGGCGTAGTTGGACTACCATTGCTCATTTGGAATCGCGATTCCATCTTGTGACTCCACCATCCCAACATACGATCCCTTTTGTCATGAACAAAACGCTCGTGGATGAAAAGACCAGCAATTCCTCCAGCACCGGTGCAACCGTACTTGTACGTGCACCAGGCAGCAAAATCGACATCCCACCAATGAAGATGAAGTGGAACGTTGCAGTATGCGTGAGCAAGGTCCCATCCCACCAAGCATCCCTTGAATAACAAAACGTTTAGTATTTTTTCTAAACATTGACTACTTTTCGATGTCCAGCTTCAGTAATCGCCCGAATATCAAAGAGTTGACCAGTGTAATATTGAATTCCCGAGAAAAAGACAATTGCGATTTCATCACCATTCTTTTCAATGTAATCCAATATATCATCAGTCCGCAAACAATCTTCTCCTTCTCTTGGTTCCAAGCAAATCATGCTTTCTTCAACACTTTTTCCTTTTAAACGAATTTGGGATTCAATAGCATAATGATCGGATGGAAACGCCTTCGATTCGAGAAGAATTTTGTGACGAGTTTCCGTTGGATTATAGAATGCAGTCTGGAATATCCTTAAACATTGTTAGCAATATTTGAAGTTAATACCAAGAGAACATGAATGTTGATCGTCAAACCATTGCAGACGGCAACTTCTTCTTTCTTGGCGCCCACCAGTTGAGCAACTCCTTCAAGGCAATGTTCGTCACCATGAGCCCATGGAATTTCACCGTTAGTATGCCCAAAGACTCCCCTGCAAAAAGAGAACAATTGCGAAATTTCGATCAGTGCGATAATTTACATTTCAGCCCATTTGTTGAACTCTTTTTGCATTAGTTCACTTGTAATCTTCGGCATCAATCCGAGAGAATTTCCACAAAGGTAGATGCTGTCCGATTCGGGGTCAATTAAGGAAGGATCGACTGAAACATTTTTCTAGACGCTACCATTTTTAGATTCTTACCATCAGGAAGAGTTCCGGATTTTGGATAGTGGAATTGCTCTCGAACATGTTTCAATCCATCCGCATCTGACATAAATTTCGCCAATTGAAGGTCAGTCAAGTCTTCAATTCCAGCTTCATCAGCCATTGTTTTCAAAAACTTCTCGACCTTTTCGGCAGTACACAAACATTCTGGCTTGGATTCAGGAGCTTGTAAACCCTCAGACATCTTAAAAAAAATAAGTGGAGTAAGACGAAAGTATCAAAGAGACTCGAATAACGCGATTCTGCGAGCGAAATTGTAAAACTAGGAGGAGTCTAGTTGGGTAGACATCAATGTTCCGAAATCACCAGGGCGAAAGATTGGATAGACAGCGAAACGACTGACTGCGTTAGTTATTGACCAATATGATTTATCGATCATCGGGGTCCGACAAAACTTGATTATTCCGACTATACGATATAACATAACGATTATAGATTGAACTTTTTTATACGGTTAATCAGGGATTATTATTTCAATTTAATTCGGCTAGACGTCTAAAAAAAGCCTCACCTCATGACTGCTATGGAAAGAAAAAGGCGACGTCATAAATATCAAGTGTATCAAGTTTTAACGCATAAGTTAAAAAAAAAAGAGATATTGGATGAAACTACTTTTATTTTATTTTTCTAACCACCAGTGTTCAATGTTTATTTACAATGAAGATGACAAAATAAATACATTTTTGATAATGTAATGTCCGTTTCTACGTATTGAAAACATGAACTGCAAACTTGTGGACGTCAGAAGAATAGAGCGAATTAAACAACGGGCTATCAAATGCTGTTGATGTGAGAACGGGATATGCATTGGCAAATGCTGGGCAATATCTTATGACAGGTTGCTCCCAATTTTCCACCATCTGTAATATGTAAATTCATGTTCACGAGCCGTTTTTTCCTGCTTCACCTTCAACGCAGCAGAGTAGTAGAAATCAAGAAGACTGTTAAATATGTGAATACTCGTATCAGATTCTAACACCGATGTCAGTTTCTTAAGAAGATGGATGATGCTGGAAGACTGATCCATCTGTAATCCGATTATTTTGAAAATATTGTAATATTGTAATTGATTATTACGTCGGAATCGATCGGCGCTACAAGTTTACGGAACATATTTTGTGTTCCAACTTTGAAAGAAACATTGTCAAAAAATTGACGCACGTCATCCTTTGACTTTACATCCATCATATTCCAACACGTTAGCTCCTCAGAAACTGCCTTTGCCACGGTTTCCATGAGCAATGGAATACCTTTAAAATAGAATATAATTAAACAATTGGATGAAAAAACCTTTAAGAGTGAAGTATTGGATGCATTGAAGAAAAATCCGTCGGTTTGAAATTTCTTCCGCATTATCAACGTTTACTGCTTTGCTCACAGTAGGTTGCTCACTTTTCAAAAATTGAGGAAGATAATCGTACCTGAAATTCTTCATTGTTTTTTGAAGCCATTATTTTGTAAACCATGAGTTAGCTACAGTCCGGCTTTCCAAATTGGCGCACGTTTCTCCCGCAAGAATCGAGATTTGCGCTTTCAAAGTTAACGTAAGCATTGAGAAGCCATAAGCAACGCAGATCATACGCGAAAGCGTGTTTTTCTAAAAAAAATGTTTGATTTTAGTAAATTATTTTATGTACAAAAATACCAATAAAGTTTCCCAAAGGGGAAATTTGTTTTCGATTTTTAATTCAGGGTCATCTAACTTTTTCCGAATTTGCTCAAGATTGAATCGAGCCTCAAATGAAAAATTAAAATTAAAATAAAATAGATTTATACCTCAATTTGTGTCGTTATTGATGGAATTAGATCGGTTATAGATTGATCGCAAGATCTGTGTGTTGCATCGAATATATAATGACGACGAGCCTTAACATTTATAATTATATATTTATTTATATATACAAATATATAATTTTTTTTACTTGAATTGGTAATTCATTTTGCAAATGTGGTCTCTCAAATTCCTTCTGTTTATCTACGCCAAGTGTATAGGCAATTGCGCCGCCTAACAACACACTACCTAAAACTGTGGGCGATTATTTGAAATTTAAACGGAAATTAACCTGCAATTATTTTCGCTTTGTGACGCTTTGCAAATTCGAAAGCAGTCGACAACATCCTTTTTTCTTCGGCGATTGCAACGACTTTCGGAAACGCTCTGCAATATCAAAAAGTACCTGTGTGAGGTTGATAATGGGCGAGAGTGCATGTAAAAGAATGAGAGGAGCGACGAGACAAAACAGTCGACGTCGACAACGATTCTTATATGCATTATCAAGCATTCACTACGCTGTAGTTTTATTCTACACTTAATGCGTGACGAGCGCCAAATAATGGGTCAACGTTGCTCGGATATATGTATGTTGGTTACAAAGTTATTTGGGAAAATGATACGTCAACAATTTTTCCAAGAATTTCTGAATGTTTTTGAACAAATGCGAATATGAGCAATCAATTAAAATAACTTACAACAAATTTATTAATCGGAATAGATGTATGTAGTAGTTCCGTGAAATTCATTGTACTATAAGTAATAATAATTTTCAATGGCTAATTATTATATCAATAAATTTGTGTGATTTAAATTATAGCCTTTATTTCATGAGAGACATTTAGATATTCAGTATTTTGAAAAAATAAAGTTTTTAAGTTAAGAATAATAAATCTGTACAGAATACGAAGAATATACACTTGAAAAACGTAACTGCTCTGGTAACTCAAAACCAATCGGATTCGACAAAATTCGACTCTGGAATTAACCTTATCCGATTGGTAATTCTACGGATAAGATTGGAAAATTGTCGGATCCGATTAGTTTTTTGGGTATTTTCGAATACGATTGGTAATTTTCCGGATTCGATTGGTAATTCTACGGATAAGATTGGTTATTTGTCGAATCCGATTCGAATTGAAATATTAAAACAAAACGGGTTCGAATATTTACCAATCGGATTCGAAGAAAATCTAATCGGATCCGACACAATTATCAATCGTACTCGAAAATACTCAAAAAACGAATCGGATCGGACAATTTTCTAATCTTACTCGTAGAAGTACCAATCGGTAAAGGTTGATTCCGGAGTCGAATTTTGTCGAATCCGATTGGTTTTGAGTTACCAGAGTGTTCTATTTTTCATTTTCGTTTTGTATACAGTTTTCTAAATTTATGTGTACATACTGAAAATACAATATTAATTGAATAAAAAAACATCGATTAAAAATAACTTGATTTGCACTGTGCTTAAAATTACCACTACTTAATTCAACACCATCAAAAACTATATCTTATTACTGCGTCTACAAATATGTGTTATCATAATTTTTGGTGATTGAATGACAATTATACAGATTTTTGAATATATCATTTTTTACTGAGATATCTCGTCAAGCAATTAATTGTTTGATTATGAGAGTTTTCTATATATTTTACTACTAATAGCCAAAATTAAAAAAAAAATAAATATTCATAAATTAATTATATCTATTATGTATATCATTTCTGCTCTCGTGATTCAGGTTTGGCATTTTCTGACTCTATTTTTAGATATGATTATCCTTACTAGACTCGTTATTTTAAAAAATTTCAAAAAATTCCGAGGTAATACCCCACCCCAAAAAATCAGCTGTTCTACAACATGCTACGTACTATTTTTTGAAGTAATGCAAATGTCTCACACCCATGATCATTGTTACTTACTTTTAGGTTTCCACATATGATAATTGCAAAACTCGTGGGTTGTGATTCCCACGATTTGAAAAATTTCCTTGAGGACTAACTGATCATGAGACCTGATTTCTTATTTGCAAAAGTTTAACGCATGAGAAATCATCGCGATTCAGTGACTTTTATTGCAACTATTCTAGTATAAAAAATTGAGTATTTCGAACAAAATCATTCCTGACAATTTGCCCGAAAATCATTATTACTCGTATTTAATAGAAAAGTTTATCACGTTTTGACCTTGTAGGAAATACTTTTTCAGCTTTTGACTTTCAAGTTGTGTATTAATAAGTAATTCTTTAAGATGCAAGATGCAATTCTTAAAGCGCTTATGTGCATATGGGGAATGTTCTGGAACATTTTAATCGTTTGTGCAATCTACACAAACCCTGTTCTTAGGAAATCTTCGACATTTATTTTGCTCTCGGTTCACTTTATTGCTTCGACAATTGATGTTGGATCAAGATTGGTGTTCGACGTTCCATCGGAAATTCTTCAAAGGCCACTTTTTCAACTTTCTAAAAATTTTGGTAAGCTTTAAATTTTATATTGAAAATTCAAATTTTTAAAAGATGATATACCTACAAAAGCATTTCATTATACAACATATTCCGCCTGGTTCGTTCAGTTATACTCTCTTATAATGATCGCCTTTTCACATATTCTTGCGGTTTATGCTTCTGTCTATTATGCCAGGATAAAGCCGTGGAAAACGAATATACGGTCGCAATTATTATCGCATTATCAATGTTATCCGTTTGTTATTTATGGTCGCCAGAATTTCCTATCAAATTCTACGTAGCATATTGGGGATGGTCCGAAGATCGCGACAAACCATTAGTTCAATTTTTCTTCTATCTCAATTACGTCGTCCAAATAGCAGTGTTTATTTGTTTGTTTCATGCTGATGTTATGATTATTTACAAAATTAGCACATTTTCCAACTCAAAAGTTTTTCTCAAGAACCAAAGGAGTATGACGGTATGTTGACAATGAAAAAAAAACGGTTATCAACATTAACTCAGGTTTCGGCAATCAGCGGAAACAATGTATCAGCTGCTAGAGCTCGCTCAAATTTGTCCACTGAGCTTAAGGTGTCAATTAATTTCATAATCGTCTCCTTATTTTTGCTTATTCAAACCTTAATTTACAATATATGCCCATCGTAAGTGATTGGCACTAGATAGCCACTTGAAAATGGGAATTTTCCAGAATCGATCATCCCGTGTCTCACTTCTTCTTATTTATTGCGCCGATATTCCGCGGAAGCAAATGTTTAGCGTACTTAGTATCGGGAAGTGCTTTGAGGAATGCTATATATAATATGATTCGTTGTAAATCGTCAATATAAAACTTTGACAAAAAGTAATAACATTTATCACACAATGATTATCAAATAAATTATTTTGAATTATGTTTTAAAATCAATGAATTCAATTATGCTTCCGCAAACGAATTTTATTTTGCAAGCATGAATTGAACTGACTTTCTTCAGTTTCTTACACAAATAAAATACTATTTTTTTTTCAAAAAAAACCAAATCTTTCAATTTTTATTAAAAATTTTAGATTCTTTATTGTAAACATATTCTTTTTCGAATCAAATTTCCTAATTGAATTGTTGGTTTTATGTTTAAAACCAAATATTCTACATGCATTATTTAAAATAATTATTTTAAACATTTGGTTATCATAGGAAATTTAATTCCGTCTCAACAGAGTTTAACGAGGTCAAAGTGATTTCTATAAAAGGAATCTATTCAATTTGTCATTATATTGATAACAGTGCAAATGCTCTTCAATACATCTGAAATGAACTGCAAATCGACAATAATCGAAGTTTGTCATTATTCAATCTTTCTGCTAATATTATAAATTTAAGCTTGAAAACAGTTTTTATTTTGCAAATCCTCGCCACGCCCGAACCGATTTCTCAATTGACGGATTCCTGTAGTAACTTTTGATAATAATATTTAATCATAGTAACATTTGAGGAGATTTGTTTATGATAAACAACATGTCCAAATCGAGTTACTTACCGAATTGTCCCTAAATGATTCGATTCAATTATTTCTAAACTGTCGAGACGAAACATTTAATTTGTCAATTGTAAGTTTTTTCTTTACATATTTGGCAAAAATTTCAAATTCAGACAACTGAGTTTACTCAAAATGATAAAATGACTGAATTTGAATGGGCACCAGGTGGTCATTTAATTGAGATTCGAGTTCGTTTAAATATTGTGTAAACAATACGGATCAACAAAATTTTAAATCTATGATTAAGGGAGAAATCAGAAAATAATGGACGAAACTTTTCAACTCCTGATGATCTTTCGGATTGCGTTTTGGACGTTGAAGGACATTTATTTCATGTTCATAAAATGGTGAGAAACATTTGATTTTTTTTATTAAATGCATCTTTATTATTAAGATACTTAGCTTATCATCCCCATATTTCAAAGTGTTATTTTTTGGACAATTTTCTGAATCTCGCCTGAAAGAAACACCAATTGCTATACATGGTATCTCCGCTATTGACTTCAACAATTTTCTAAATTGCATCTATTTATATCCATCTGAATTTAAAATTAATCCTAAGAAATAGAACTATATTTTTTTCATAATCTGTGAGCTTTTTAGGGTCAAATGTTGCTGGAATATTAGAAGTAGCGCATTTTTTTGATTGCAAATACGTTTGCTGTCTGTGTGAACTTGCGCTTATTTCGAAGATCAGATACTTTGACAAGTCGTTTCTTACTCAACTTGCCGAAACTTTCGATTTACTTGAACTAAAGGTTCGGCTCTTATTATTATTATCTTCCACAAGAATTATGTATTACAGAATCATTTAAATCAAATTAATTTCGAGAAAACTATCAATGTTACCTGAATTCAAGAATCGACAGTTTTTTTTGAGGCACCCAGGACTCTCTAATATAGTTTTAAAGAAACATATGCTAAATGTGTTAGTAATGTATTGATAATAAATTATAACTATTTTGATAACATTTATCCAATCAGTTTATTGAGGCGGGATACACTTCCCATGAAAAAATAATTAATTGATGACGTTAAAGCATTTGATTTTGTGAATTTACAAGGTTGACCTGTTATGAGCAATGTACCCGCACAATGCCCGCAAATAACTCTAAGAACCTGTGAAAAACAATCAAGTGTGGACAATAAAACATTACTTAAAAATCACATATGAACCATTTCATATATAAAAGAGGTAAATGAGTTTGGAAAAATGGGAAATCAAAATTTGAAGAATGATAGGTATATTAGAAAAATCAATCTCGCAAGACTATCTCGCAAAATAGTAAGCAAAAACTAAACCGGTGAATGTCATTATAAACAAAAGAAATTGGTAGATAAATATAAACCGGTTAACTTGAATAATTTAAGCATTTTTGTTGAATAGGTTATGCCATTGCGAAGAAGTTGCGATTAGAAGTATTTCATTGGTGTAATTAAGTGGCATTTTGTTCAATTTTTTCTGAAATATGTGATCAATTAGTAATTTTAATCTGCTATCAGTTTTTGTTAATTTTTAAAACAGTGAGAATAAACAAAATCAAAAAACCGAAAACACTTTTAAAAAAGTCAAAATTAAATTTTTTTTAATCACAGCTTTTTTGAACCCAATTATTGGATTTTGTCAATTCACGTCAACTAAAAAATAAATTGCTTACATTTCGAGTTCTGCTTCTTCAGATTCTTGTAAAACTTGTTGTAAGCGGACTTGCGCATGGTTCTGAGCAAATGAACCTCATTTCTTGACAGATTCAACTCCTTCTGAAGTGACGTAATAACACCTCCAATCCAATTGATTGGATGCTCAAAAAGCGACTTCAATGCGCCAGCCGCAATGAGTTTTTCGTAATAAGAAACATCAGCTTCGAAAGATGATTTTCCGAAATCAATCTTTTTTGGGTATTTCTGCTTGCGACGGAAATGGCAAACAGTTGAACGACGAATGATAATCTGACTCTTTTGTGTGACTTTTGAAGTGGAGTTGTAGTTTGCGTGTTTAAGAGCCAATGGTTTCGAACCCAATCCACTTTTGTTCCGAACTAAAAGCCGTTCATTTAAAAGTTGATTTGTAATTGTTAGATTACCTTTTTCGAATGAGATATCAGAATTTGTCGATTCTAGATGAACTTTCTGAATGGCATTCTGATTCTCTTTACGATTCTCGACTTGTGCAATCTTGTATTTTTCGTCTGGAGAGACATCCTCCTTCTTGTTGGTGGAATCTGAAAATATTAGTGCTGTCCAAATTACATATTACAATATACACACTATCGAAATAAACGTACTCTTAATTCCAAACATCTTCATAAATTGGGTTGGAGAAAGATTCGCTGTTCTTTTCAAAAGCTCAATTTCAGCTCTCGAGCACATATCTGCAATTTAAGAAATTATGTTTAGTAAGAACAAAGAGCTCATTTGCCAGTGCGATATTAAGAGAAAATCAAGTGGAATTGCTATTAGTCAGGCGTTTATATCGACCGTACAAAAAAGAAGCTTACAAATTTTAAATTAATAGTATCAAATCTAAATGAATTAACGAAAAACTACGTGGTAACTGATATCGAAATTCGCAAGCGGAATTTATGAGGATACCTGCGCTAATGACTGGAGGCGATTGGGCAGAGTCTGCATTTAAACATGATGTGTCACTTAAGACAAAACTATGATGAACAGAGATAGTACAGAGAAACACAGCGAAATTGACTCCATTGGCAAAAACAGCTAGCTCGGTAAGGATAAACATCAAACAGCGACGTGTTGATGAGTAAAGGCAGTAGGGGTAGCAAAGAGAAACCCGGACCAAAAACAAATTATTGATTATGGATGCCAAAAATCATCGCTTAATAAATTTCTTTCAACATATATTAAATTATGGGCTATAATTTTAGTATTCTATACTTGAAGAAAAATTAATAATTAATCAGAAAACAATAGTTAAAATATAACTCCATACATTTCATATTTCAAACAAATAATGCGAATACCTAGTTTATTCTTATACCATGAAAAAGTAACTAACAACCTTAAGGTGGTCTAATAAAGGAGGCATTTGAATATTGATTTGTTAATTAATAAATCACTGCCACAGTTATAAAAGACGTTCAGTGACTGCGTTGCGTGTATCGAATAACGGGCGGTCATTCGCTATGTTAGAATTTTATAATCAGTGTTCTCATGTGGCTAGACTAGAGTGAAAGAGACATTCTCGTAAATGTATCCTCGTACACCGGACTCTAAATATGTCTAGGTACTTGGGGTCATACATTGAAACCATTGATTCAACAGCGCCAACTTTCAAGTGGTAGCAAGAATCCAGCAATAATCGTGACAGACCTGGAAAAAACTGATTTTATTTTCACACGGATTTGAGACATTATTTAAGGAAAGGAGGAAATCTAAAATCAAATCGAAAAACAAAGCAGCTTGAATTGGGAGCTTTCATCATCTAGATAAACCAATATTCCCAAGAGAATTTCCAATTAACAATCATGCTAGACTAAGCAGGCTCTTAGTCCTCTTCAAATTAGTACCTGTGCTCACAAGACCTTTTGGTGTAATTCTATTCCGTGTTTTCAACAGTCCTTCTTTTTAAACTATCTGTCGACTTTTACACATTTTCCGTTTCTCCTTTCTTGGTAAATATCTGATATTGAAACCTCACACAGCAACATGAGAAAACCTTAACGTGTTCTTCGTTTTCTGAAAGCTTAAAATGGTTAATGGACAAAGAGAGTTTCTTTTTAGCGTTATATCGAACTACGAAAAGTGCCAGTAAAGACTCGACATGAAACAAACAATTTAGATCACGTGAGTATTACTGTAGTCACGACATTTTGAAAATTATATTGAAAAAGCATTCCATTTTCGGTTTATTTATGAAAGTTCAAGCACTTAACGCATTAAATGTCGAATTTATACGTATTGAACAATGAATAATCAATTTTTCTTTCAATTTTAACTGTCAATGGAATATGATGGTTATTTTCAGAAACGAGTTATAACTTTTATGAACCAATTTTATCTAAATTATATTTCTTTATTATTTCGAAATAAATTAAACCACAATACGTATTTTGAAATACTGATACAAATGAATATACATGAATAAATTAGGTATGGTACATGAATAAACCAAGGTTTAAGTTACAAAAGACAAAAAACATAAAATGGAACTAATCAGCATAAAATTTGGCAATATATCGTCCATGAAATAGAGGATAGTTAGTTAGTAAAATCCAGAAGAAATTGGTCAAATTGATTCATAAAGTCTTAAACTTTAGCGGTTTTGGCGTCGTATTCTTTGAGAGCCTGGAGTGCAGCACGGATTTTAATCTTGTGTCCAATGCGGAGATCGAGAATCTCGACGAGTTCCTCTAGCGACGTGAAATTAAGAGCTAATCCGTCTATTTCTTCTTCGAAACACTTTCTCGCCACGTTTTCGTTTCCGGTGATCGCCAACATCCACTTCCGTGTTTCGTCAATCTGAATTATCGAAAAAAAAATGGTAAGATTAGAAAAGACTGTGATTACCGTCCACGTTGAAAGGCGTTTTTCAGGAAAACCTCCCGGAATCGTCTCCAAGCTGCAGTTTGCTGAAATACAAACAAATTTCATATTGACTTTAACAAATATAATTGAATTGCAAGTTCAATATTATGTGCTAAAACTTTTACCATTGGTGCAGGCAGTTCTGGCAATGTCGATGAGGGTGGCATTGGCTGTATAAATCAACAAAATGAATCCTGTTCTTGGATCCTGTCTTGGGTCTGAATGCGAAAATGATCAATAGCCAACTTGGAAATGGTACCTTTAGAAGCATTTCCTGTAGCTTGGTTTCTCATTGATTCGATCATCTCAACGTGATTTTGCATTGTGCTTACTGCACAAGCCAATTTAATTTCCTAGAATTTTTTTTAATTTTTCGAAAAAGCCATTAATATGCTGATATAAAACATAGAAAGAGAATAAAGAAAAATTCAATATAATGATGAAAACCAGCATAACGAATGCACAATGGTGTTCATTAGTGCGAGTCAAAAAGAGTTGTAAGACAAAGAGGACGAAACATATGTAAGCAGAAGACGCGCAGAGAGAAGTTATCACGAGATGTATGAGCCATGTTTCAAGGCCGGTAATAACAATGATAGAATAAGAGATTATAGACAAATATAATTAGACTTTTAATTTGAACAAGTCACTATTATCAACAAGCGATGCTCATGCAATCATCGAAACTCGGTGCTACAGGTGCACGAGGCAGATGTTTGTTGCAAAAGATATATCGCGTTTTAAGGGGCTGTTCGCGAAATTGTAAAGATGATGCACTCAGAAGGTGCGCTCAAAGGCTATTGATGAATATTCTCTCTTAAAAGAAATACGTAGAATTTGATGTGCGCATTTCATTTTCATTTCTTTTAAAGGCAGAGGAGAATTGAACTTTGAACGAGTGAAACAACGTTCAGCGATATGTGTCGCTAAATCAATTCGGAGTGTTGATAATGCGTATTGAATGAATATATCTCAAAGGTTTGGCACAAATTGGGGGTCAGGTGTGCATCGGAGATTCAAGCATGCAATTACGCTAGGAACGATTGTTTCATTTCCAAATCCATGAAATGTCATGTAGTAAACAAACATAAACTGGCGAAAATTGGGAGAGTAAAAATATGTAGCATAACTAAAGAAGGTGAAAAATTGAAAAGAATAAAACGTCGAATGACATTTTATATAAGAGATTATAAGTGATTATAATTCAAAAAATTGAAAGCAATGCTTGTGAAAACGCAAAAAACTAGAGTTGACAACGTCTTTAACAATAAATCCTGGTCCTCGGGCCTGCAACAGTGTTCTAAAATGAAATTACAATAATTTCTCTGCTTACTGAATCATTTGAAAAATGTATCATCGTGTCAGCATCGTTTTCTATTGGTACACTTTTGTTCCAAATACGAAATGAATGGTTCCTTCAAGAATTCTTTATTTGTGATGGCGCATATTAACTATACTGTTATAATTTTCAGGTCAGCAAGGTTTTTTGTGCTCCAACAATGTTTATAGACATGTTTTATTATTGTGTGAAGTTGTTTTAGAACTTTTGAACTTCTATAAAGTATAATGTTTCAACAAGTGAGTTAAAAAACCAATTTTATTTTATTAATTTTGCTGTTGTCTTGATTGCATCTAAAAAGGTAATTTTTTGATATTCAAATCAGTGTTGCGCGTAATTGTGCTTATGTTGCTTATGCTTACGCGTAAGAAAAATTTGATATACACGCAACACAGTTTGCGGATGGCGAGAGGACGAGACGAGAAAGCGCAAGATGAGAAATAGTGCAACACAAATGCGGAGACGGCAAGTCGACATTCGGTTAGGCGATAGCCGACATGTGCTATGCCGTGGCCGAAAGAATTCGTTAATTCAAATACACGTCCAAAATGTTATTTTGAGAATTTCGGCGCAAAGGTACGACAGAATAATTGAAATCGTTCAATTTAACAACATTTTACGTGATTGCATTAGGTAAAAATGACAAATACGACAATTTTGCGAACACTGAAAATATCACATTTTTCCGTTTGACGCTTAAGCACTTATTCAATTTTCAGTAAATTTAACGTTAAGTATGCAAAATAAAATTTTGAATAACACAACATTGACTCATATCTCCATCTCAATATAATGACAACGCTTTCAGATACCTCTAATATCCAGCTCAACGAATTTCGCTTTAAATATCGATAATAAATTAAAAAGCGTAGTCAAAGAACAAAATTATAATAGAATGAATACCTGTATAAAATCATTCATTTTTCTGATGGCATGCGCACCCGTTTCTAAAATTTGATAAACGGATATAAATATAATGACTTTAAAATATATAAAATTAAAATATATTTAATTTCATGTACATATAAACATTTTAGTTATTATTTTATAGAAAATATTTATTGAATAATTTGAAAAGAAAACATTAATATTTATTTTAAAACATTTGAAAGAAACACAGCGAACACCATCGGGAAGATCAATATTTCACATGGCAAGTTTGGACGTCTGATCAATGCTATCACCGAATCGTATGACGATATTATATATAATTATTAAAGGTATAAATGTAAATCTTAAGAATGTGCGAGAAAATGCACACACATATTAAATTTTATCAGACACATAACGATTGGGAACTAGATTTTCAACAAATTGTTTTCATATGGTGTATTGTTTGAGTGATGGTATTTTAATAGAGATCAGAATGAGTTACTTCAAAACAAATGTGATATTTTCTAAAATTTTGTATCTCATTTAATGAAGTCTCGCCATACAAGTTCTGCATCCGTCGGCAACGTACGAATCGTAAGCTTTCATCGTAGTGAGAGCATGATGAAGCAGGATTTTATGCCCGACACGGAGGTTGAGAGTGTACACGAGTTCTGAGATATCGGAACCCATCAATAAACGCCCGTCGATATTGGCACGCGCACATCTGATACGAACTGTCGTTGCCTTGCGGAAAAGAGCGCAAAGCCAATCTCGAGTCTCATCCTTCTAAAACTGATTTAATAAATATTCTGTTTATTAAAACAGGCAAACCGTCCATCGCGAAATAGGCTTTATTGGAAAGATTCCTGGCATCGTTCTAAGCGTGAATCCTCCTGATATTAAAAATTTTTTTTTTAATTTTTTTTTTCAGACTTGAGAGACATTTTCAACATGAAAAATTTTCATAACTGCAAGCTTACCTTCGATGCACGCATTCTCCGCCAACATCATGAAATATCTATTCCCATGGAACGGAGGACGCTGATTCTCGTCGTTTTCCAATTCCGATGACTCGTCGTATGGCACACTATCCATGTCGTCTGAATATAGAAAATTCAAGATATTTATATACATATATATTGATATGACAAAGAGCGTGGCCTCTCTGCAACGCATGTTGAGAATGAGGCGTTCACAGAATTATTCAGATCAAAAACGCGGTAAGGTAGCAGAAAAAAATGCTCTCCACAAAGCATCAATGTAATAAATAATTGAAAGTGTATTATCGGGGTCAAACAACTGAAGAATTTTTTTAATTGGCCATTTGCGAGGTGTATCAAGGCAGAGAGACGTGCGTGTTTCTGCGTACTCTGTATTTTAAAGTAGACGTATTAAATATTTAGCAGCGTGAAAATTTACAAATAAATTTGTAGATATACTCAAATTTCGCAAAATTGAGTTTTCCTCCAAAAAATATTAATCAACCATGGCTAATTAAGTGACAGTGTGTATGAATAATAAAATAAAAACGCTTTCATCAAATGGGCGCGTTCTTATCAAAATTTTTAAAGGCCATTTAGAGAAGAAAAAAAATAGTTTGTTTATCGGAAAAAAATGATATCGCAGTAGAAACAACTTTGTTTTGAGTTAAGATACGGAAATTGAACTAAGTTTTTAGCTACTTTGTCAGCGCTCTTGAATATAATACTAATTTCGTATAATCAGAGTAAAAAAAACAAGGTTGTTTAAAAATTGTAGCTATGAAATTGCAAAGCAGAGGCTAATTTAGTGTTTCTTCAAACCGGTTTTCGACCAGATACGCCCCGGCTTCGACATGTTGTTAAGATAAGGAAAAATCTAACACGTGTGATTGAAAATGATAGGTTTTGCTTCAAAACGTTTTAACATCAGGCATTTTCTAGGTTAAGCAATAATTGAATTAATAATCCCAATGCGCAAATTATCCACGGAAAATTAGCTTAAAACTGAAGAATTGACAGTATCAGAGGAATATTAACCTCGAGAGCATAGACAAAATAAAGCTAAAATTGCCGCAATAAATGTTTATAACAAAATTATATTAAAGACATCAAAAATATAAATATTCGACGGGATGGGTATATAATTTTTTCTCAAATTTCGGAAATGATAATTAACAAAATCCAGGGAAATGGTCGAAATGTGAATAATAATACGGCACGTTATCAACGGATTTAATACTAAAAGAGAGTCTTTTCTTTGGGGGGTGACAAGAGCGCAATTCGTATCTTAAAAAATAACATTACATTTGAAATGATAAAAATGGAGAATATGTAATGAAAACTTTAAATTTGGGGGCAAAAAAAAAAACAGAGAAAATATGCAAGAATAATTAAAAACAGAAACGAGATGATGCAGTTATTATGTTCTTTAAATTATTACAAGATTAAATGTATTAAAACAAAATTATAAATTACAGTTTAGCGAGAATCTCATCGTATTCTCTGAGCACAGAAAGTGCCATTTGAATCTTCTTTCCGGGTCCGAAACGAAGCTGAAGACAATCACTCAGCTCGCGAGGACTGACAAGCATCAACGTGTCGCCGTCAATTTCTTCACTGATAACTCTTTGACGAGCCGCGTCGCTATTGGTGATAGAGTAAACCCAGTCCTGAGAATCTTGCAGCTGTAAAAAAAAAACAAAATTTGCGCACTTTATAAGCCAATTTTACCGTAAAATGCGAAATGCGCTTGTTGGGGACTCCGCCAGGAAGATTCTCAGGTGTGCATCCAACTGAAATCACTTTTTAGAATTTATGTTGAATCAAAAATTACCTTTAGTGCAAATATCTTCCAAGACTCTACGGAGTTTCCTACGACGGAGTTCAACACCATTCGAAGCAGTTTCGGCTACGAGTTCTTTTGCTGATGGCTTCTTGTCAAGCATTTCGTATTTCTGGTGAAGGGTATATGGCGAACCCTGTTGTCGAATAGTGGTGCTTGGCGACATTTCATACTTTTGATAAATATTCGGCTTCTCTTCCACTTTGATTGTGGGGCTTTTTTCTTCTTTTATTCCTCGCTGATCAGATTCTGCGTGTGCAACATTGACTTGTTTTCCTGGCAATGAAGCTTTCAGCGCGTCATCAAGTGCCGAAGGTTGTGAATCATCACAAGGGTCATAAAATTCTTCCACGACGGCTCGCAGGGGTCCTCGTACACCGGGCGGATTTGGCGGGTATGTAATGCGAGCTACGAGACGTCCTTGTTCATCGTCGATGTCTTTAATTCCATCTCGAGGAATGCGAACATGCGCCAATACATGAGGATAATCCTTATGTGTAAGAGATGGATCCTGCACTGTGGGTAGTCCAGGACCCTTCCAAGTTTTCTGCTCACCGACATCTGAAACGGCTTTCGTTTTTACAACTGGTGTATCATCCTTGGCCAGAGTGTTCGAAGGCGCTTTTGAGATATCTTCCTTACATTCAGATTTAGGTGTAGAAGTTGGGAGAAACGTTTTAGCCGAGGACAACTTCCTTGACCTGGTACAGACAGTATTTGGTAGTGTAGATTCAGTCGATGTCGCACATGAAGATGTCGGAATATGTGAAGATAATTCCGGTGAGCCATCTGATACAGAAACTTTTGGTTTCGAAACTTGTGAAGAATCTTTTATGAGGATAGACTTTGGAGCGTATTTTCCAGTTGGAGAGCGTGCAGCTTTAATAGATGAAGTTTTTAAGCCTTCTTTACCGGCGGATGATTTTTTTGCACTTTTGTGAGATACTCCCTCTTGGCCATGAGAGGATGATTTATGAGCCGACTCCGTTGGTGAATCAGCTCGCGATGATTCCGTAGTGCTGTCTTCCGACAAGACGTGCTTCTCGTCATTTTCTTGCGGGACAGCAAATATATGAGGAGATAAATTTTGTCGCGAAGTTCTTGTGCTCGAATTTGATTGAGTCGAACTCGATCGAGTAGAGAGCATTCGAGCAGACCTTCGGGTGGCAACTTTGGTTGAATTAGTCGGAGTACTTTGCGCGGACTCATGTGTTATTTCTTCGACTTTTAGCATTTTTTGGTCTTCCTCCTTCAAAGCCAATTGCGCTGCAGCAGCCGAACGCCGGGTAACTCGTCTTGTGGAAAAGAATTCTTCAGCAATAGCTTGTGAAGCAGCTGCTTTCTTGGAAGTTGCTTCTGGCTCCGACGGTTCGATTTTCACATCAATATCGCATCTTTTATTATTTGATGTGCGAGACGATGACGACGCTTTTGATGTCTCGAACGGTTTAATATCCATGTGCTCAGATAAGTCGTCCTCAAAATCGGAAAGTTCGCTAGTATCGTAGCTCTTTTCTCTATAAGCAGGGCTCGACTTTCTGAATCTGTAGCGAATCGGATTTTTTGCCTTGGAGACAGCTTTTTCTTTTTTTGATGGAGGAGTTGATTCGACACTATTCGCTGAAATATAAACATAAAGCATTTGTTGTTAATTTGAAAACTAACAGCGACCCTTTCGTCCAGATTTTGAAATTTTACTACAAACACGCTTATTTGCCCGAGTGGTTGGCTTTGGTGGTATCACTTCAATCGAAGAATCACTATCCGCGTAAAAATCTTCTTCATCTTTGATGTGCTTCTGAAATTAACCATTGTAAAATTGTTCACCATATGCTATCAGGATACCTCTTTAGTTTTTTTAGTTTTTCTCGAAACTCGACGCTTTTCTTTCTGTAAAATCGTTTATAATCATGAAGATTAGACTTTCAAACCGAGGCCTGAGTGACTGAACCGCTCGAGACGGGTGGTGGTTGCGGTGGTGTCGCTTCCAGTTGTGCCGTCTTTGAACGCGTTGTAACAGCTCTGGTACGCTTCGGTCTTGTTTTCTCGTTTGCCAAAGTTTGCTTAGCCACAGAAGAAGTGGCGGAATTCGACGGAGTGCTAATCTTCTTCTCCAAATTCTCTGTTTTAACTTCTTCTAGAATCTTCACATCGTCATCGTCCATCGAATCCTCTGTGACCACTTCTTCTATCACAACTTTCTCCTCCTCCTCCTCGTCGTCAACTTCTTCCAACGAATCTATCAGTCCATCGATCGCTTCATCCGGAAGTCCGAGGAAGTCTGCAAATAAGCAATTGGTATTAATAACGCAAAGGTAATTTTAATTTTATAGTCTATTTTTCCTATTTATAATCCATTTTTCTTATTTTTTATAAAGCTTTTAGGATCCCATTGTTTGTTTTTTCTTAGTTTTTGTCGCATTTCTTATTTTCCCATTCAAATATGTCGTATTAAGAGAAAACTGTTTAGGCCCAGCAACTTTGTATAACCGCAATCTGTGTTAAAAAGCGCAACGATGTTCTTCTCCACTTACTATTAATATTTTTAAGCTTATCGCCATAACGTTCCATAAATGAAGGCATTTTGTTGTACTCTACGATGATTTTTCCATTTATTTCGTGATATTTAACAGGACGCGCTTCTTGAGATATTGCTTCATTCAAAAAATCGGCAAAGCCATCTTCATCATCGGCTGCCGTATTTGGTTTTTCCGGAGCTTTTTGCGCAGGAGGAGGAATGTATTCTTTAGGTTGCCCATCGAGACCAATTTTGGTTATTTTTGCAGCTACAATTGTCCCATTAAATATTTGGTTCACTCTTCGTAAAGACGAACCCTCATCTATCGGCGGATCTAGACGAGGAGCGGGAATTGCGTTTTTAGCACGTGGTGGAGTCAAAGGAGTGTTGCGATATACTGGGACCAGGGGCGGAGTGCCATTCTCGGCTGAAGAAGGATTCTGAAAACTGAATTTGATAAAAAGTTGATTAATTTCTCTTAACTGTTCGGAACGGAATCACTTTCAACCTGACGGCTTGTGGCTGCGGTTGCTGTGGTTCGACGCGAAACTCGGCCACATTTGGTTGTTGAGCAACAATGTGAGTTTCTTGTGGCCCCTGAAATATTTTATTATGTTTCAGAATTTCTGCAAATATTTTACATGTCCAGCGGGAACCAAAGAATACTGAACTGGTCCTCTGGAATAATGAACAGTGTGCGGCTGTGGTTGAAGGCGATATGTGTTTTGTTGAATTAATTGGGTTGTGTTGATTGCAGCGCGACTTGTTGTCTGCAAACATTTACTAATCATTTATAATTTTTTTAATGATAATTTCAAACCGCTGTTCCAACTAGGCGAAGATTTCCAATAATTGGTGAAGGTCCTTCATTCTGCTGAAAAAAGAACAGCATAATTTCAACAGTCATTTTTTTCTAAATTTATTTAGTTTCTAATACAAGTTCATTTTATTAAACTCGAATTCACGTAATTCATTTTTCTGCTTCATTTCTTTCGATGATTTATTTTATTCGACGAGACGCGTATTGATTATGCTCAACCGCGTCGCTTTCGCTTCGAAAATACTAATGCGACGCGGCTAATGATGGTCTCAATAGGCACTGTTGCCATAGATATAAAAAGTAGAGAATAGCGCTCCGTTCAGATGAATGAAAAATTGTTACCAGATGTAAAACGTAGCGAGTCGGCTCTTGAGTTTGTACAACTTGCTGAAACTGTTGTGGATGCCGTTGTTGGATATATTGCTGCGGTGCAGGATTTTGGATATATTGCTGATTCTGCTGTTGTTGTACAAAATGCTGCTGTTGTTGCTGGATGAATTGATGGGGCTGTGTGTATCGAACGAGCTGCACTTGTTGGGGCTGTTGAATATTTTGATGATGCTGGGCATTATTCATCAGCTGGATTGTTTGAACAGTCTGTGGGCGCTGCTGAACATTCATCTGTTCGGTAGTAACAAATACTTGTTGTTGGTTCGGCTGAAACTTCAACGATTTTCCTGAACTTGGCAATGAAAATACCTGTCCTGAATGCATTGGTTGTGGGCGACTCGAAAACTCTTGAAATTGATTTGGATGAAGCTGTTCAGAAGCCGCCGAAATGAGCTGTCCGGATGTTGAAAGACTGGACGCGTTTCCAGAATTTGACGGAACGCCAGGCTAAAAGAAGTATGATTTAATGTTATTGGCATTTCTGGTTTTACCGTCGTCGAAAAATTTTGGTCGATTGTGCCGGCGTTTGACCTCGAAGGAGGCTCGAGGTTTTTAGATGGTCTTTCGCTCATCTAAATCAATCAAAATCGGCCTTCCTCGAACAAATTTCGCATGCTTTCTGATTGATAGGAACAGACTATGAAAATAATTGCGAAAATTAAATTATCAATAAGAAAGAACGAGCATTTTTGAAAAAAAAACTATGCGATGCCCAAAAAAATGCGAATTGATGCCGCGGCGATGAACGGCAGATGCGTGCAGCGTTTGCAATAGAGCGCGGTTGGTCTAGTCATCAAACTCACTTACTGGCGCAAATTCAAATTTACGCTCGTATTGCTTTCTACATATAAAACGGAATGAATCAAATTATTAACTAAATAAACGGAAAAGGAAGAATGATGCTGAAAAGATTAAAAAGAAAACAAAAAAATGGAAAAAAGAAATAAATACAAAATAAATTTTAGAAAAAAGGAACTTTCAATAAAAAACAGTGTTCGAATAATATTGTTGATGCATTTTAATTTATATATTTTTTGGCGTCAAACACTAAACGAAATTTGTGAACATTTGCTATTTTACCAGGTATCTCATACATAAATTTACACTAATTTCGCGAAATTGAAACCACCCTGCAGCCGTCTGACCGTTGACAATATCAAAGTTTTGAACCATCCTACACCAAGGATCAGTTAACCATTCATGTGACACAATATATTTTCGCTTCATTCAAACTTAAGTGTGTTTGGTCCGACAAATTGTGATCTTCTCGCAATTTTGCAAAAGTCGTGTATCACTTGAGATCAATAGATAAGTCTTTGTGTCGTTGAAACATTTTTCGGAACATTCATCACGTGTTCAATTTTGTTTATAATCTCGCCCCATGTTCCCAATTTAATTATCATACAAATTTTCTATGATTGCGGACTGATAATCAGTACCCCTGGTCAGTCTTGTTGTCTATTTATTTTGTGATAATTTACCAACGATTTGTATTGGTTTCAGTTCTGTAGATATTTTTTTTCATTTTTCACAATATTTTCTGATCGTTGTACAATTTTCTTCTTAATTTCAATATATGAGATAAAATATTCCGAATCATCGTCTTACAAGAAATGAATACCTTTTTCAAGTCGAATTTTTTTTTGAAGAGCGTGTTATCATCATTAAGAGCTGTTCTTCTTACTTGTAGCATTTACAATCCAAACCGGAACAAAATCTTAAAACATTTCACCGAATGCGTTTGTTTTTAAACACACGAATACACACGGTAACATTAAAGTAAGAGAATACTCATTTGATATACTAACAATGCAAAAAATAGATTTAGACGCCTAAAGTCCAATTCAATTCCTTTATCTGAATTGAAAGTTGGAGTACTGAAAGAAATTCACCCAGGTCTCTTAATTTTTCTTATTGGCAAAATCTTTAAATTCTAGGTGAAAAACGTGTTTCCATAAGCCCATCCGGCGTCAACTTGCTTAAAAAAGCAGGAATCAGTGTCACGGTATAATTTTTTTCTCTGTTATAATGAAAAAAGGACATTTAGATTGAAGAAAATGCAGGAGAGAATGCTGGATGGTCGAATTTAGATTATGCCGAAAATGGTGCAAATGTCGCACCTTTGTCTAATGTATTGAGTAGTCATGTATTACTCAAGGTCTGCTCGAAAAAAATCCAACATTCTGTAATGAAATATACCTAGGTGAGACCTCCCAGCGAGATAGAAATTTCAACGTTTGAGAATGATCGCACGTTGATCTCATTTATTCATCCTGCTCAAAACAAACGACTTTTGGAAATCTTGGGCCAAAAGAAAACCACAGTTCTAGCAATGGATTGTGTTCCGCGAATTAGCCGAGCTCAGGCAGAACAGAACGAAAATAGCTAATTACATAGAAATTTAAAGGTGTTTGATGCGCTTTCTTCAATGGCAAATATTGCTGGATATCGCGCAGTTATTGAAGCATCGCATCATTTTGGAAGATTTCTCACGGGTCAGATAACAGCTGCTGGAAAAGTTAATCCAGCAAAAGTATTGGTTATTGGAGGAGGAGTTGCTGGACTGAGTGCTATCGGTACTGCTAGAGCAATGGTAACTAATTCTTCACATTTTCGCAATAAGAACATTTAAAGGGTGCAATTGTTCGAGGATTCGACACAAGAGCTTCGGTCAAAGAGCATGTTGAATCTCTTGGAGCACAATTTCTAACCGTTGATATAAAAGAAGAGGGCGAAGGTGGCGGAGGATATGCAAAGGAAATGAGCAAAGAATTTATTGAAGTTGAAAAAGTGTGGATATTCTTTAAAGAAATTCTTTTTTCCAGAAAGAAATGGAGTTATTTGCATAACAATGCAAGGACGTTGATATTGTCATCTCTACCGCACTAATTCCCGGCAAGAAAGCGCCTCTTTTAATAACTGAAGTGGGGAATTGAGCTAACCATTAAATGATTTAAGAACTTAATTTGCTATACGAAAACAATTTGAAGGAAATGGTGAAGTCGATGAAACCGGGAAGTGTGATTGTCGATCTCGCCGCCGAATCCGGTGGAAACGTCGAAACCACGAAAGTTGGCGAGGTGTACACAAAATATGGGGTCACTCATATTGGTCTCACCGATTTGCCATCACGTCTTGCTACCCAAAGTAGTGAGCTTTACTCGAACAATATTGCAAAATTTTTGTTATCAATCGGCGACGGAAAAATGTTCAAAATCAACAAAGAAGATGAGGTAAAGCACTGATCTAGATATTAAAAGAACATAATGAAAAGTCCTTTTCAGGTTGTTCGTAGCGCATTAGTTCTACACCATGGTCAATTAACATGGCCTCCACCCCCTATCAACTTTCCAGCAGCACAGTCCAAAAAGGATGATAAACCTATAAAAGTGGAAGCTGAGCCAGTCTCTCCTTTAAGAAATACAACAAAACAAGCGCTGCTATTGACATCTGGTAATTTAAAAGCGTGAAATTGATCGTTAAAAGTTTAGGATTGGGATCAATCTCTCTTCTTGGGCTGTCATGCACAAATCCTCAAATGGCAACAATGTCAACTACTTTTGCATTGGCTGGTCTAGTAGGTTTTACTGAAAAATGTTATAATATAAATTTTGAAAACATCTATAAGTGTAATCGATTACTTCGCTAATTTTAAAACAAAACGCTCGAAAACGTGCAAGTAGATTTTTCACATTTGATTTTGCGCGTCGTTTTTGTCGGGTTCAGATAAAAAGAACATAATAAAATCGTAAATTTTATTACAATCCGAAGAGTTAACAGCGAAACGTTGATGCCGCAAATGGGTGACAGTTACTTAATTCACACTTTAAATTAGTATAAAAAATTCGTAGGCAAACTTTTTTTCAGGATACCACACAGTATGGGGAGTTACTCCAGCATTGCACTCACCTCTAATGAGTGTCACGAATGCTATATCAGGAACAACCGCAGCAGGAGCATTATGTTTAATGGGAGGCGGACTAGTTCCACAAAACTCATACCAGTCAATGGCATTGTTAGCCACCTTCATTTCTTCAATTAATATTGGTGGTGGATTCTTAGTAACTAAAAGAATGTTGGATATGTTTCAAAGGCCCGGTCAGTTGGAGTAACGAAGCTAATTTGAAATATGTGTATAAAAAACCTGCTAAAATTAAAAAAAAAACGATGAAATAAAATACACATTCAATGTCAAGTATGGAATTTCAGAATCTATAAACGTTGTTCGTCTTTTTTCGACTGAACAATTTATTGTAGTTAACATTGCAAAAATAACTGTTTAAATTGCAAGTATTCAAAAATTGTAGATGATCCTCCTGAGTACAATGGATTATATGCAATACCTGCATTGGTATTTTTCTCAGGATACGGATATGGAGTTTATTCGGTAACAATTTGGTCTAATTAGGTAATATGATTTTCATTAGGGTGCCCCTCTGATACACTCGTTTGGATATTTGGGATCGTCGCTTTGCTGCCTCGGAGCTCTTGCAGGACTGTCGTCTCAGAAATCTGCTCGTGTAGGAAATGCATTAGGTATGAAACTCACAATTAAACTTATTCGAGTGCGGCAGTTTGTTTCTTACAGGAATGATTGGAGTCACTGGAGGTATAATATCTACCATTGGATTATTGAATCCTGACATAGATACGCTTTTGCAAATGTCTGGTTCAATTGCTTTGGGAACTGCCATTGGTACTGTAATTGCTCAAAAAATTAAGGTTTCCACGGAATATAAAGAAATATGTAATTTTGTATTTGAGGTCACGGATCTTCCCCAACTGGTTGCTGCTTTTCATTCATTCGTAGGCTTAGCTGCTACATTAACATGCTTGGCGAATTTCATCAAAGAACATCCTCATTTCCTTGAAGTTCCCAATTCTGCTCTTGCTGCAAAATTATCGCTTTTCCTGGGAGCATATATTGGTGGAGTGACATTCACTGGAAGTATGATGGCCTACGGAAAGCTTCAAGGTGGGAAATTTTAATAACATTAAAAACTACTGGTTGAAGGACTCATTGCGTCTGCGCCAGTTTACCTACCTGCTCGGCATATAATTAATGGTGGACTTCTTGCTGGAAATATTGGAGCTTTGGGTGTGTACTTGAATAATACTGATTTCTCAACCGGAATGTCTATGCTTGGAACCACTGTGGGGCTCTCCAGTCTGATGGGTGTTACTTTAACCATGGCTATTGGAGGTAAACTATTACCCTTACATAAAATATATTAACATTCATTAGAATTCAGGAGCAGATATGCCTATCGTTATAACCGTTTTAAACTCTTACAGTGGATGGGCATTGTGTGCCGAAGGATTCATGTTAGACAATAATCTTCTTACTGTGCTGGGAGCACTCATTGGAAGTTCTGGAGCCATTCTGTCGCATATTATGTGCAAAGCAATGAATAGATCATTACTTAATGTGATTCTTGGTGGTGTTGGAACAAAATCAAAAGGAATTGGTGAAGCAATGAAGATTGAAGGCACTGCGCGTGAAATTACCAGCGATGATGTAAATATTTATTAATTTAATATTTTTCAAATATTCACTCAGACTGCTACGACACTTCTAAATGCGAAATCTGTTATTATTGTGCCAGGATACGGTTTGTGCGCTTCACAAGCTCAATACCCAATTGCTCAACTCGTCAAAGAGCTGCAAAATCGAGGAGTACGCGTGCGATTCGCTGTCCATCCAGTTGCAGGCATGCAATTCGAAGGAGCACATTGATTGTGTTTTTTTCAGGGAGAATGCCCGGTCAGTTGAACGTACTTCTCGCTGAAGCTGGGGTCCCTTACGATATTGTCGAAGAAATGGAGGAAATAAATGACGATTTTGAGGACACCGATGTTGCTCTTGTAATTGGTATGTTTTATTGAATTAAAGGTCCACATATGGGACAGAATTATAAACCGATTAATATTTGGATAAAGATTTTATTCAGGCTCCAATGACACAATAAACTCTGCTGCAGAAGATGATCCAAATAGTTCGATCGCAGGAATGCCCGTCCTTCGAGTGTGGAAAGCAAAAAATGTTCGCAAAAATGAAGACACTCTTTTTTTTTAAACTTTTTTTTCAGGTAATTATAGTGAAAAGAACATTGGGCACTGGGTATGCAGCAGTCGATAATCCTGTCTTCTTTAAAGAAAACACTTCAATGTTACTTGGCGATGCAAAGAAGATGAGCGAAAACCTTCTCGAGAAGATTAAGTCGCACGCATTCTGAGAATGTCAATTTCTGTATTAATAATGAGTTATGTGGAATTTATTATAAAGCAAATATTTGGTTTACGAAGCATTTCAAAATTGACTAAAATTTTAAATGAAAAAAAAAAGAAATGGTCTATATTGGAAAATATGTGCTCGTCTAATGGAACAAACAATAGATGAGAATGGAGAGAACGACAGTGATGGCAGAGAATTTGACGGCAACAGTGTTGCATGGCTGGTCCGGCTGTAAAATTAGTTCAATTAATTAAATATTCATGACATGTTGACTATTACGCTAGCATTTTCGCATTGATAGTAATAAAGTTGAATTCCATGGTTTCCGGTTTTTTTCAGTCCATCGACTGGACCACCCGAATAAGCGCACTCGCGAACAACAGAATATTCCGATTGAACACTCTAAACTCAATTATTAAAAGCATTTTAAAATTTTGTATTACGGACCTGTGTAATTTTACGGCATCCAACTGCTGCCTTTCCCTTGAAATCTCCGTCTTTCAATGGTTCGCAAGTCTAAACAATAATAGTACTTTTCCGTTCACTATATAAGGTAAACCTTTTTAAATTTAGCCAAAGAAGATTCATCATTGACAGCACAAGCGGAATCCTCGTTAGATACACATTGGAAGCATTGAAGCGCGCTGAAGTCCTTGATAGTTAAACAAAATTTTTCTTCAATACCTGGTGACGGCAATTAGTGCAGCAAGAAACAAAATAATATATTTCTGCATCCTGAACAAATTTTTATTTGAAATCTTATTTTACAGGAAAACGCTTTTTTCAAAAATTATTTGATTCTTAATATGTGCTTTGTTGATTTGACGAATCGTATTTTTTGGGAAGCAAATAGTATTTTCGGCTATTAAGTAAAAATGGACGATGGAGGGGAAAATGTGTATGAGGTGCTCTATAGATGCAACTGGGACACCAAATGACTGCAGGAGAGAGTGCTGCTTGAACAGAGAGTTGTGTCGAATGGATTGGAAATACGTTTGAAGCGAGAAATTTTTTAGAGTATGTGTAACAGCAGAGCACTAATATCTAATTGTAAGATGAAAAAAAATAAATACAGGCGGCATTGCACAAAAGGCAAAATATTAATTCATTCACTACCTACTTCGAAAAAAATAAAAAAAAAACATCACAAAGATAATGGAATCATTTTCTTCTTCCGGTCGTTGAAAAAACGAAGATATTTGATACCGAAAAATACCAAATTCGATGCAAGAGACTGTTTATTGTTATCAAATAGAGGGGAAACTTCTTTCAATTTTGGCATTTTGATAAGAATAGACGGTTTAAATAGTCATTTAATCACAGTTTTGACGTAGGTGACTTCCAAAGGCTGAATATTTTTAACGACTACAAATTTTTAACGACACAATTACAACCAATCGGCATTGTAATCACTTCTCAGATATTGGATGTCGGTTCCTATTGAAATTTCATATCTAAAAAAATATTCAGAGAACTTCGAGCAATATAGTGAAGATTCAAATATAATCAGAATAGTGTTGTTTAAAATTACGGTTTATTTTACAAAACAACAATTGTTTTTAACACTTGATCACTTGTTGTTATTAACAACTTATGATCATCACCTTTTGGCCGAATAAACACACCACAAAATAGTATTTCTTCTGAATTGTTTCCAGAATTCGCGTAATAAATAAGAATAACACAAAAAATAATTTTTGAATATTTTTCGAACTTCACTAAGTGACTAAGTGAAGTGACTGTGTATTTTAAATCTATAAATATAAAAACTCTAGCTTTATCAATAAAGCAATTAAATGTGGCCGACGTACAAGACGCGCACGGCGCAGTGTGGTTTGTATTTCTTCGTATGTTTAGCGTTAAAACAAATAAATGTGCGCGCGCTTCCGAATAAATGTTATATTTACTAAACATTTTGAGAATATACCTAAATTGTTGAGCGGTTTGAAAACCCTACAATGGTCGTTGTTATCAGAGGAAAAAAATAGAGGACGCTTATCGGTCGGCTCGCAAAACTTTTATTACGCCCTCGCAATGTTTTCATTTCTCGTTTTAATTGGAATCGTATATATGAAAAATTGAATGTTTAAAGGAGCAAAATGTTGAAAATCAATCAAATCAATGGTACAGCAATTGTTACAATTGAAACTTGAACGAGAAATGAGTTGGCTACAATAAAGATGCATAAATAATAGGTAAACGTTTTTTAATGGAAAGATAACATAGAAGAGCTGGTAGTAGAATGGTGTTAAATCCCATATTTTGATCAGGGTTAGGCGTGATTAATAGATAATAATAATAATAATGATAATAATAAATGCATAGTGTGTTTCCCAAAAAAGCGGCTTCCAGCATGTTTTACATGCTGGAAGTCCATTTAGTTTAATTGCGTCGTGTTCCCGTTTATATAAAGAATTTCGAAAAAATAAACGGGAGCGCAAGCGAACCGCAACTAGCCTGACCGCTTTATATTTTGGGAAACAGACATATATAGTATTTATAAACCATTGCTGACTGAAACTGGAGACGTAGGAGCGGCGACTGATGTCTCGCTTGATGAAGCTGAGCTGCTTGCAGTTGATTTTGCAATCTCTTCCTCGAAATCTCCCAGCATTTGCTATAATTTATGATAATTTCTTGAGACCATTTATGGAATTGCCACCTTCAATCCCATAATTTCTCCTTTGACGACCAGCAGTTGCGGAAGATTTCGGAAATCCTCCAAAACTTCATAATTTCGGCACAAATGTACTATCACCTAAATTTTATGCATTCTTTCGAGATGGTAGAGCCGCTTTTTATTAACCTTTTTTAAATTTTCATGATTTGCCAACTCAACAACCGTTCCGCGGTTGATTTTTTCCAAATTCAGCTCTCTCAAATAGATGAATTGCAATTTCGGCATCTTCTTAGCCATGTAAGAGAAGAGTGAATCCGGCAAAAATGGATAATCAACCGGCTTATCGACAAGGCAAACGCGTTCGACGCGTTGCTCAAATTTCTCCAAAATTGCCATCAACGGACCCTGAAGAAAAGCAAATGTGTGAAACACAACCCCGTTTCTTGGAATTTTTTGTTTCCCTTGCCTATCCCGAAAGAAAATATAAGTCAATTTTGGTGGCAACTAATCCTATTGAAAAAATGTGTTGTCTTTTTTGGAGAAATTGTTTCACTCTTTGTTTATTTCCATTAGAAGTGAAAATGAACATGGAAAGCCCAAACATACGTAAAAGCAGTAATTTGATATACTTCAGGAAGTATCGTTGAGGTTCAGTTCATTTAATTACTTACGACGGAAACCGCTGTGCAAACCGGACTTCGAACACATTTTTTTTGAATCTTGAAGGATAATAGCATTTTTATATGGTGGTAGATATCAAAAAGGTGAAATTGAAAAACCACATTGAATTTCCGGTGCTTTTGAATTGGTGAATAACAAAAAAATTTGAAAATGTTTCTGAAGTCGAGAAAAAGCTTATTGAATAGGAGCTTGAAAGAAGAAAGTGGATTTATAAATTTCAAATTTGCAGTCAAGAATGGATTGATAAACATTAAAACATATTATAATCTGATCATTTAATATTTCAATACACATTTTAAAAAATGTCACAAATCATTAAGGTATTAGTATCCAGCCTTTTTTCTTTATATACTTTTATTACACTTCCTCAGCAGGCAATATCCCCCCGAAACGTGAAATTGGAACTTCACTATACGACGGCCATCGTATAGCAATTTTGTTGATAGTAGTTCTCAAAGAGTTTCAGTCGTTCTCATTTCGCAAAATATCCAATGTCAGAAAGAGGAGCTTCACCCTCCATCTCACCGTTTCACACCAATCGAAGACAACATTCGCTGATGCTTGAGCTGGTAGCAGTGTTGAAATTGAATACTTTTGCTACTTCAAATGGGTTCAATTTGAAGTAAGGGATCGAAATTTTTGAAATATCTACGACTTAAAACGAAACATCTTTCCCATATACATATATAAAAAATAGATGCTCATTTTTAACGGCTTTCTTTCGTTCATTCGAACCTCAAAGATCGAACCAATAACATCAATAGCAGATTTTCTTTTTCAAAACACCACTATTGTTTTTGTTGGTTTTTTGTCATTTTTCTAGTTGGAAAAAGAGTCATTTTTCAGAAAACGCTCAAACACATTTCCCTCGGGTATCATCAATCTGATACGGTATCGGGTGAATAATCTATATGTCTCGCTCCACTGGGAGATGGTGTCATTTTGGTCTGTAGTTAATCTTACCTCATGCTCGTCAAAGTGGCAAGAGCAGCAATAGATATAAGCAACTTGACGCTTCCAAAATATGGGTCCGTCAAAGCTGATGTTCACCGTCATCTTTTCATGTCCTGAAAATCGCCTAATTGAAGTGGAATAATTTCGAAATAAGATTGGGTATTTAGAAACACTTAAAAAATTGAAGAACGAACCTGAGCAATGATTCTTTCTGAAGATGACATAAACCCAGACAGGTTTGGTCTCATTCCGGGTTGCCTCCATGATGGTTTCTCTCCAAGCACGAGACACTCGTTCGGCTCTGTAAAAATTTGAAAATGGCGGGAATTGTTGATGGTGGACGAAAAATGAAGGAATAGCATATTTCTTGAAGGGCGGAGCTGAACTCTTTTGGTCTTGCCCCAAGTGGTTCGCGTCTGTTTCTCTCAAATATGTTTTTTCTTCATCTCTCGTTTCATTTATACACTGGTAATAAAAGAACAGTCGGCTTAATGCAATTTGCGGAACTGCGTGCTCTTTGGTTAACGGACCATAAAAACCACATGGAATGCCACTAATCTAATGTGAAATCGACGAAATACTGTAAATTAAGCTTGGCTTATTGCACATTTGTATGAAAAGAAGAAAAGCGCAATCGGATTTGTTACTTAAAAGAAGAGAACGCGAAAGTAGTGCGTGTTTTTGGCAAGGAAACCGATGCGCGCAAATATTAAATTAGTGGATATGGAATTGCTTAAGAAAATAAATTTGATGTCTGCGAGACGTGAGAAATATCGAACAAAATTGGAAATCCAATTTCGACAAAACGAAAATGAAAAACAAAAGTTGGTTTGTTGGTTTCCGATGATTTCGAATTCATGAAATTGAAATGTTTTGTTTTTTCAAATTCTATTTGAAGCTTTTTACACTATCTTCGAAATCATACAATGCGGAAAAATGCAAATTGCTGAAGTGTAAATTCGCCAACGGCTCGTCAAAATTGTGTAATCAAAACGGCACTTCGAAATGTGTCGGGGGGCTATAACACTGAATAGCACGGGCTCACGATAACGGCGAACTCGGCCACTTACTGCAGCCATATGCCATCAAAAATAATAGTTAACACCATTGAAGCAGTTTTCTGGTATACTAGCAATAATTCTCCTAGCTTGCAAAATAATGGCTCTTTAATGAAGACAAACAATATTTAAAAATAACGGGATACGGTATAAATCTTTGCCATTAAAATTTGAGTTGCGCGAAATAACTCACCATAGTTTATTTACCTGCGTATTAATATTATCATAATTTGAATTATTGGCAATAAAAATCATTTCGAAAATGTTGAAAAAAAAGTTAAACAAAATTCATAGATAACGAAAGAAAACAATATAATATTTCAATTCTCCCTTGGGCTTTTGAAATTGATGTATGTATGAATGTACGCCGACAAATTGAATGATTGATAAATGGGATGAGTTTCTTTCATTGGTTTTTTTTCGTTTTCTATATCGAGTAAATCAAATATAAATGAGGTTTGGGTCAGTAATTCTAACACAACACATTTGATTGTCTAGTCTATTGTGTTATCCCGTCGGGTAATCGAACATCTGATTATATATAAAAAAATGAGAATATAGAATTATAACCTGTAAAAATTACATAGAGTTTCGAGAAAAGTTTTTTCCCAGATTTCTTATTGATGTACGCAAACGCTTCGCGACTACAGTGGTACGCGTATGTTTGAAATTCCTCTCTTCTTTACTAAAAAGGGAGACTTGAACAACAATTTAGCATTCTGTACACGTCTCTTCTCAAAATATCATCGGATAACAGAGAACAACAATTTTAGAACAAATTTTCTTCGTTTTTTGTGAGAAAGCCGCTTAAATAGTATTAGAACGAAGTTGAGAACGAACTAGAGAAAAACAAATGTTTTTGCACACAGAATTTAAGATTACAATTTTTAAGTCCTTTCTATTACTTTTCGATTATAAAATTTGAGTGAAGCTGTTTTAATGGTAATATTATTCGCTAGCTATTCAAAATCAAAATATAACAAGAAAAAAAGAGACGATTCCAGTGTAGTTTTGTTTTCAGAACTAATTTTCGCTTATAAATTTGAAATATTGTACCAACTACTCTTCTAAACGTCTGCTTAAACGCGTGGGACAAACAAAAGTTGGTTGTAGTAGTTGTCGCCAAAAACTGACAATGACCGAGGGAGCCGAAAAATACATATAAAAAGAGTTGACACAAAACGGCTTTTGAAAACATGGAAGTTTTATTCCAAACTGACCAACTGGAAAACTATGTCTACCCTTTGCAAAAACGAGGATAAAAAAAGGAGAGTAAATCATCGAAGAGCACGCTTTTCGCTACTAGAGAAGAAGGAAACCAAATCGAAGAGGTTTAAAATAGTTCGCTTGGTCACTTTACACTCGAAATGGCAAACAATGCCGGGTTGTGCGATTCGAATTACATAATTAAGTCATGCGAAAAACAAACAATCATGAAGTAGGCAACGACTATAGCAGAAGCGAGATTCTGTGAACGAACAAAGAGCATCCAAAAACTCCTTGTTGGTCCCGAAAAAAGAAGTGAGGGAGTCTCTAGAGGCAAGCTGAGCAAGAGTGTATGTGTAGAACTGACTGCGGAGAACCAGTTTGCTTCTTGCTTTTGCTTCTTCCCCCGATGTTGTATTCATGCTCAAACTGAAGCTCCCGATTTTAGGACATTCCATGGTTGGCGTCTCATTTTGTAAATGTGTATATGTTGTATGTGTCGCGGTTGTGTTTATGCTATGTGTCTTGCAACACTCATCACACGATATTTTAAATCAATCAGTTGAAATTTTTGCCTTTTTTGTGGCTTTTCGATCGCTTTCCGACGGAAAATGCAAACACCGGAAATTTTTGTTCTTTGGAATAACCATCCGGAAACCTACACATATCAAGTCATGCAGAACCCACACCTATACACAATATGAAAAAAATAAAAATGGATGAAATAAAAATTTGTTCACGGGATTTTGTTGACACCGCCAAAAAACAAATGAATGTAAATGACGGATATCAGAAAGAAAAAAGAAAAAGTGTTTCAAGTTTGCTGAATAGTAACAATAAAGAGAGATTTCGAAAAATCTCTCCATCAAACCAAGTGTTCCTAGAAACTGATTGACGTTTTTCTCATATCTTTTTTTTATGTGTAAAACAAGCAACACGATGCAATTAAGAAACAGTGTAAAATAACAATGTCAAGCAATATTTTTTTGGGAATGCAAAGTCTGAAACAACGTTGCCGAAATAAAAACCTACTTGAAAAAATAGCATTTTTAATTTTCACAAACTGCGAAGAAAGAGCCAAAATAACGGTGATTTGTTACTGGGACGTTTGTCTCATAAAAATCGAATTATTTATCAGTACTCCCCGAAATGTCCTCATTTCGCGAAAAAACGAGGATTTAGAAAATAAAGCTCTGAAAGAATTCCTACAAGTGGTTTCTTCTTATTCATCAAAGGAATCCCTCTTGAGAATATAATTTGCAACTTGTTTCAGCCGTTTTTGAAAAAAAAAATTAATTCGCTCAAATTGAGAATTGCCAAACATTTGATGGCAAAGTAATAACAAACAAAACCGGGCAATTCATCATGGCTCCAACAAAAACGAAATTGAGGAAACTGCATTAGTTTGAAGGATAGCATTCAGCAGCTGCTTTGCCCCGTATTCTATTAGCGTTTTAATTGGATTTTCGTATCTCCTGAATTTAAAAAAAAATTAGGATTTCAGTTATTTAAGTAGTGGTGATACGAAATATAGTTTGGAAAATTGCCGTCGGGCACACCAACATAACATTTTTATGGGGTTTTACCTCGACGAAAAACACATGAATAACGTATGATATATGATTTATAGTGTTGTAGTATTGCGTTTTTCTCTAGACGTTTGTTTGAATCGAGGCTCCGAATTGAATCCGTTATTATACTCATAGATCTTCTATACAATTGAGGCTTGACGTTTAATTTTTCTCTGCGAACGAAATAAGACACGAACGCTTCGAATGTATTTGATTGAGCATGATATATATATATATATATATACGAATAAAGATTGAGCGAGTTTCTGTGTTCAGCAAACGCATAGAACGAATAGTGACGTCGAATTAATCTTACCTCGTTCGGCTCGGAAGTGGCAGACGCAAGAACACTTGAACGGCCAACTCTTTTGGCAACGCGGTCAGCGGATCTTGTCGCTTCAAATCTCCTTCGTCTCCACTCATTATTTTAAAACTATTATTCAATCTGCTGAAGTCGTTTTGTTATAGAAACAATATCTGAATTATTGTAGATAATAGAAAAAAAAGAAAAAATAGGTTGCCGATAATAACTACACTCTATAAAGGCACATTGTGTAAATATTTTAAAGAAAAATATTTTGAATAATCATTAAACTCAAACGAAATAAATTCTGAGATTTTTATTTAGTTTTTCCCAATAAAATCAATCACTGGGTATCACAGTTCTATTCCTTAAATGACGAATTAAATCAAGAATAGACTTATTTATTGTCCATTAAATAAAAGATGTAAGCATTGATATTGTTTTATATTGATTGAGGAAAATATTATTTTATATTAAATAAATAACTTGCTGAAACTCGGAAATGACAAATAAATAATTGTTAAAATTAGTAAGAATGTATTTTTTCTATTTTTCAAGAAAATAATTAGGAATATAAAAAAATTGAGAAAGCTCCTATAGTATTAGGAAAAAACCGAAAATGCTATAAATAAGAGAAGTGCGTTCAGAATTACAAATTGATTGAAGAAAAATCTATTTTGGAACGAAAATGCTATATACTTTTAAATTTGAAATATAGAAATATTCATTTTCAATAAAATTTTCAAAAAATACCAAAAAGTATTCACAAAATCCAAAAAATATAATTTTATTGAGATTTTCAAAGCTTTTATTCCGCTCCATTGCTCATTTGTTCTTCAGAATACGCATTTAATGGAGACCTTTTTTCCAAACATCAGATGAATAAAGAAAAAAAACATGTACCAAACTATAGTTGCTTTATTTTCATGGTGGAATGATTTTGGGTTCAACCTATATATTTAGTTGTTTGAAAGAGTTAACAAAACGGAGTTTTGTTTAACACGCTTTCAAAAAAAAAAAACAAACTCAACTGAAGATTGCCATAAGTCAATAAGGGACCGCGCAATTAATCAAAGGAGATTCGTCAAGTGCGATGGATTACATTTCGAAAATTTTTGGCGCTTCAGTTCTCTACGGGTTCCGATATATTTTCATGCTGAGAAGCGAATTAATTGGTGAGCTCGTTTATCGTATTCGCGCATTCGAATGAACAAAGCGTATTTGGTTAGGCAAAATCGATTTGAAAAACCAATTTGTTATGAAATGCCTAAATTACGAGAGAATATTAATTGAAAAAAAAAACAATTGGAATGACCAATTCCAACAAAGAATAAATATGCAAATATTTTGAAATCATTCAAATGTTGTCGATATTTTTTGCACGGTATTTAAAAGTAATTAGTTTTTGTAATTGAATCTAAAAAAAACTTTTCAAAAAGCTAATTGTGGTTGCAATTTCTGTTGTGGTCCAATTTTTGTTGTGATTTAAATGTAATTTTCGTGAGTAGCGTCATCTATACTTAACTAGATTAAAGAGTTGCAAATGCGCATTCTTAGATTTGTTGGTTTGTTAAAAATAAAACAACGACAGGGAAAGCACATAAAACGAATTTTCGTAATTATTTTTTACGATGCTCTCGAAAATCGAATTCTGATTTTGCTCCGTTTGTGCCTTTCATCATTTAATGACCATAATTAAAATAATGCTATCATTGTAAAAGATCACTGAATATGTAATGCACCAACTTTTAGAATATTCTGCAAGTGTTTGAATTTCTAAATAAAAGTCTGATTTAAAAAATTATCGCGTGTTAGAAGGAGATTTTCTACACTATAAAGAGTGCTTTTCAAAACCGCGGTCGCGCTGAACATGGCAAAATTGCGTGACTAATTAAAATTCAGCGTCTTGGCAATTCGGAAAAAAAAGTTTCTGCCAGTGGCGCAAGTTTTTCATCAATTACATGCATTAGAAAACGAATCATGAAATTGAAGTCTTTACAAACAACATCCACAAAACTGAATGCGATGAACTGTACAAGTGGTTTTGAAAATTTTTCGAATCTGTGAGGGAAACTTTATTACAACAACTATGGAAAAAACTCGCCGATAGTTGCAAATAATTCACCCAATTATATTGAATGAATGAATTGAAATTGGACTGGTTCATCTCTGAGATGTTTGATCCATCTTTGGCTCGCAATGCATCGAATTTTGTTTTTTATTAGAAAATTGGGAGTAATTGTTTTTCAATTTCCAAATAACAAGATAATTTTGAATGGAAAAAAAAAACATTGTGACAGGCTATTAAGAAACGAAATGCCCAATTTTCTAAAAATTTATTTAAAAGTCATTACGTTTTCGTTAAATAAAGATGACCTAAAATTTCAATCAAATTTCTCTGAGACTAATAATCTTTTCTCAGAAAATAAGAGACTCAATTCTTAAACAGTTTTGAATATAATCCGAATTCTGTTCCATAGTAATATTTGAAAGATAAATTCATCGAAAAATTCTATAAAATATTCGACATGATGCTGAGTTAAAACAATTGTTCTCTCAATTTTTTCATTTGGATGACGTGATTTAAAAGCGAAACAGTTTTTTCGAGCTCCGTTAGTCTAGAAAAATTCAAAGGAACTTATTTTGCGGCAAATTTTTTACAAAAATAGTTATTTTTCATCATGCCACATATTATTTGGTATTCCAGAAAAAAACAAAAAATGCAAAACGCTCAAATCATTTCGTTTAAAATAACAGATAACACTGAATTTAATCAGAGAAATGGAAGCTCACTCTAAGTGAACAATGTTAAAAAGTGTGCAAAAGGAAAGAGAAAAACGTTTCATCTCATTCTGATGAAAGTGTTCCAAGTTAATTAACTTTGTCAAACGTTCTACGCAAAAAATTGCTCATTTCTTTCAAGCAATCGTTTGCCTAAAATTTCATTAACAACACGCATTTTCCTGCAAATGGGAATGTTCAGGAACAATCAAAAAACGAGCAAAGGGGGAATAAAGAAAATTAAAATGATAGAATAAAGAAAATTAGAAAATAATGATTGGACAAATTTTTAAGTTAAAACCGTTTGGTAATGATTGAAAGGGGTAAAACCCTATAAATGAACAAAACATGAATGATAACCCTTCACCGGAATTGAATGGTGATTAGAATTTAAGACAAACAATTTGAAATGAGTCTAAAGGACAAGAAACAAGAATCCCCATTGATTTTGAGAGGAACTTTTTGGAATTTCATGAAAATACACATGCAATCAAATGAATGACAAAAATTACAATAGCTATAATTGATGTTTTTTTGTGATATTAAAAAAATGTAATGTTCGATGTTAAAATGAGAACGAATTAGACGAGTTGGATGTTGTGGTTGTGCTGTTGGTACGAGGAGAATGAAGTTCAACCTGTTTTATTAATACTTGTGGATCTTTTATCATTTATTCTGAATATTCTTACTTTGACTCTGTTAATTGGAGCTTTTGCTGTTGAATATGATGGACAAGTCGGAACTCCAGTGGGCAATGGATACACAGAAGGTGGTTCCATTTCAGGGTCAGACTCAAAATCATCATCTGAAAAAATTTTTTATATTCATTTTATCACATTTTTCTTGCCGCTAAAATCATCATAGAAGCTTTCACGATATGATTTGCACACTTTCTCTGAACCATATTGTCCGGAGTTGGAATTGACAACTCTGATTGTAGTTTTTGGTCTGAAAGAAATCATTCTGCAATGGCGTACATCGAATACTTACGGTGGTGGTGGCGGTGGGGGAACTTTCGGACGCTGAATTGTTGCAAATCTTGAATCATTACTTACAACAATGCTGCCACTAGCAGCAATCTGAATTTTTAATTATTTAATTTGACTCATTTTTCCACCTACCGATGAATGCGACATTTTTCTGTTTTGATACGGACTGGCAGCCAATATTTGGATTTGTCCATTCATATAGGGACTCGAATTCTTGTTATGCTTGTTTGTATATTTCTTGAAACAATTCAACATTTTTCCGAAATATCGACGAATTAGAATCCAGGTGATGGTTACAAGGAACAATGAAACAGTGGCCGCAATCAGGAACTGTAATGTAAATCATAAAATTGAGGGAAAAAGTGAATAATCGCGAGAGATGAAGTATAAAGTGTAAATGTGAGTGAAATTAGCAGCTGTTTTATTCATTGTAAACACTAAAGATTTTTCTACGTTGCGTTGTATTTTGCACACAAACATTCGATTTTTTATCATTATGAGATTCTTTAAAAATATCATATCTGTCTATCTTCACAGAAATAAATACACTGAAGGAAACTGCTGGAATATCTTTTTCATTAGTTTTCCCTGTTTCAAAAAAGGAAAAAAAATAAAAGTATATTATACCCAATAAAAAATACATATATAAAATATCTGGAAGCATCGGTAGACATAAAAAGAAAAAAATAATTATCCGTTGTCTATTCAGTTTATGCAATCTATTAATTAGCATTTCTTCTTATTCCCACCCCCCGCTGAGATAATACGGTAATAAAACGAACATTCATCACATTTTATTTTTCCTTGAGAATTCCAACATTGTCGTAACTTTGTTGAAAAAAGAGAAGCAAATGTAGGAGTCGAAATTTTACAAATCTTAAACTTTAGTTTCTGAACAATTTATTTAATGAACATGTGGCGATGAGTTTTTCCAACGACCAGCACTGACCAGCACAATATGGCAGGTGGTTTTGAATATTTTGTTTCACAAGTTTTTACAGCAAAATGACCCCAAAAAAACAAAATCGATTTTTTTAAGAAGTGTACGGAAAATTATTATAATTCAAATTTCAGCGCTTATAAAAATTAGGCGAGCAAAAATTTTGGTTAATGCGGATAAGTTCAGATTAATAGGAAATGGCCAATTGTTCGTGACCGGTGTCAATGCTCGCCTCTACTACAAAGCAGTGAGCGTAACAGTTGGCGTACTCATTAAAACTCAAAGATTCGATCCCGTGTGGGCTTGCTCGCGTCTATTAGCCTTCATAATTCGTCAGAAAACACATCGAGAGCAGATTGATTGATTTGTCAAGAATGTATAAAACTGAACACTAACATGTCAACAAGTAACACAAAATTACTTGTTGAAGTCATTATAATTTTACTAATAACTTACTACGGGTAACGGGTCTGCAATAGTCTAATTTTGATATATTTATTCTTATTTTTTAAACTAATCCTTCATAAATAATCAAATAGAAAACTCTTACCACAACGAATGGATGCATAAAATAGGTGCAGGTATGCGGATGGCAATTAAAATCACTGCAACGGCCTGGCAACCCGCAATCACAATCTTCACCTTCTTCAAGAACTCCGTTGCCACAAACCGGCTCACTTCTACAAGTATGGTAAATGTTTGCGCAGAGAATTATTACGGCAAATGCCGCCTACGTAAGCTAACAAGTTAATTGTAATAACTTACGTTTCGAATTCAATAGCGTTGGGCAGACATTTGTTTTTGTAAATGACGTTAATGAATTGTTGAACTGTGCAGTCATGATCGAAGCCACTAGAAATACCATTTATTTTACGATTCAATGTAATATGATTACGGTATTTTTAAGCATCCTTCGTCTCCTTTTGACATTTTTGGAGTGCATGCGCAATTTGGCACATAAAGTGATTCATTAATTGCGCGATGTGGTACTCCAACAAGATGAGCCAGCTCGTGGAAAAATATTGAGCCCATTGCTCTTGGTTCATTGGGGTAAAACTGAAATTTATGCAAAATTCACTGATAAAAGAAAAAAAAGTAGAGGAAAAAAGTGGATAAGCATTTCATTATTGTCTACAAAGATAAAATTTTGTAAAAATTCCATCTCACATCAATCAAGTTTCTATTAGAGCGCATTCCTTTGAAGCTTCTTAAATTGAACAGCATGAAAACAAGTCCACTTTAACTTACTAAAAGATTTTCGCAAAAAATAATTTAATTAAAAAAAATTCGCGCACAATTCCAATAGTTTAAGAAATTTTCAACTTGCTTATTTTTGCTACGATTTTGTCAAATCCCTCAGAAGATTTTGCAAGTTTCGCAACTTAGTCATAAAATTTGACAGAATCCAACTATTATTATTCTCCCACCATCATGATACGCAATGCCTCGCGGAAAGCGACGAATGCTCGCACTTGAGTCATTGGAATGTTACGATTAGGCGTATTCGCAAATGAGGGCGACGTCGGAGTGTGTGGTCCAAATGGGAATTGCTAATTTGAGAGTGCGCGCCGAAATATACGCATTCATCAAGTGTCGTTTATTTGATGTGAATAATGGAATCACGCACGAGGACATATTCATTGATTATATGTACTACGTTTCATGGATGAATTCAAGTTTTCCATAATTTTGTACAGTGTTCTCTAGAAGTCTGTCGCAATGATTAGAGATTTGGTTTTTCTCAACTTATGTTTTGCTGATTCCAAAAACAACAGCTCCAAAAATGCATTTAATAAAAAAAACACTGCAAAATTCCTACCCCAGACAATGAAACTGAATGACTCGAACACAAGCCGTCCACATATGCCAATCCACCTGCATACTTGTAGGAAATAAGAGTGGCGAATTCATGATCAGGAAGCTTATCCATTCTGAAAATCATATTGCTTTATAATGTTTTACAAAATTGAATTTCGCTACCTAGCATTTCTGTATTCTTGAAATGACTGAAGGCTTAAATCTCCTCGATTTGTTTGATAAATTCCAACAATAACCAATCCAACACTCAACTGATTCAAATACTGATTTGCTTCGTCTACCATTTTCATGATATTTGTTTTAACTCGGATCATGTCATACTCGTAATAGTTTGTCTGAAAGTTAGAGATTGTGTTGCAAAAATTTACTAATTAAATGTACCGTTTTGTTATCAACAAATATTATGCCTCTAATGAAAATTGTAGTACCAGGGTTTACTGTAGCTAATGAATAATCTGGAGCTTTCGCACCCCATACAGCGGCACCATAATCTATTTGAAACTAAAAATTTAGATATTATCAACCAGAATATAATGATTAAAAACGCAGCACCTTTGTATTACTTTCTGCAATAACGGTTCCACTTAACCAAATGGAAAGACAAAAAATGAGCAGAAATAATTGCATAGTTGATTTGTTTTAATAAAATAAATCCCTATTGCTCGTTGTCAGTTCATTCAAATCATCATCTAATACCCTGAAAAAAACGTTATCAGCTTGGGAAATGCCAACAGTGGCACTATTAATTTTTTTCCGAACGAAATTGCATTTAGTCCTATCGCCCAATTTGATAATGAGGGGTGAATGTAAATATGGACATTGTTGGGCAAATAAAGAAAATGTATCCAGATAAAAAAGACGAAGAATAATAGATTGGAAGAATGAATGAATGAATAAATGGGTCATGATGTGAATGCATGGAAGAGCAACGACATTTTAATAGTGTTATTCAAAGCAGGTGATGCGCGCTTTGTCAAATAGTTTGACTTTCCCAAAGCCAATAAAACAAATACGGATATGAGCGTGAATAATTAGCGCCAATGGTCAAGTATGTTACTATGAATATGTTTACCATCGCGTTCAAGGGTGAAAGATTGGTTATCGAAAAATGCGCGCATTGGCGAGGAAAAGGGTTCGGGAGAACATAAACGAGAATTGGACCGAGTACAACGCGAAGGGCGTCTGGCATGACCAATTGGAAAATGACCCCGAGATGGCTGGCGGACACTTATCCACGTGTTGCGCGGAAACATATCCGACACACATTTGAGCCCGAATTTTCTCAAATTTTTGCACTTGAAGTACAAAAAAACTTGAATATTCGCGCTACATAGATGTTTCATCGGTTGACCTTTGCGGAATTTCCAATGTCCTTCTTTTGTTCTCTTCAAATCTTGTGTGGTCGAAAAAGGAAAAATATGCACATCGAGTAGTCTATTGTTAATCTTGTTGAACCAAGAATAAAAATCTGGTTATGCAAATGTCCCAACTTCCGAATCTTATCCCAGCCTCTTTTTTTTAACAAAATATGGGCGTGTGTATGTTGTTTTTCCCATGGGCATTTGAAAACGGAAACATCTGGTTGTCCACTACCGGATGAACTTATAGTGTCATTTGGTGGCAATTCCATTGGAAAATTGAAATCTGATATGAGGTGAGGGTGGAAATATTGTTTACACAGAAAATGTGATCGAAACTAAGACGTCGTGGGGGGATAAGAAGCTATTCGGAATACAATTAATCCTGTCAATTGGAAGGGGGGCTGGTGACCCATCATAAAATGTAAACGATCGGATTGGAAGGAAAACTTGATGGTAAATATTGTTTGAGAAACACACATTGATATATTCGAGCTGATTGAATTCTTTAAATTGGTCTTTCGCAAATCCAATTTGCCTGAATTGAATAATCGATATCAAGAGGAAAAATTGTAAATCCCCGTTCTAACGATTTAGATATTCACAAAGAGTTTTTTGATCAATTATTTTCCAAATTGTTGATATCTGACATGCTTTGAGAAATTTTTTGAATTATGTAGAACTAGAAATTTTTCGTGGCAAAAAAATATTCCGAGTTCAAATTATAACAATATATGTAATCGAAATGTAGAATCTAATATTGTCTAGTTTTTGGATTTATAATTCAATAATATATTATTATCCAAAATGTGTGGCGAACATGAGAATCTATAATTAGAATTCTTAAGAAATTAGATTTTTCCATTAGAGATGCCATCGAGAGAGGAAGGGGGAGGGGTGGAAAGGTTGGAACAGAAACTAATCTCGACCTCAGTCGGTTAATACCTTCCGAACGTCTGGCGAGCTCTACCACAGCTGGCAGATACAAATTATTGAGACAGACACTTGCAGGATTGAGCACGAAAGGGATGAACAAGAAAACACATCAAGTGGTTGAAACGCAAATGAACATAAGCGGCAGATGTGTGATGGAGCAAATCTTTTTTGCTCAGTCTTCGTTCAGAGACTACATTTGGAAACGCAAAATGGAAAAACGGGTAAACGGGTATTAAGTTGTGCGCAATCACTTTTTTTTCTTCTTCGCGTTCACTTCGGCGTTCTATGCTGTGAAAAGCAATACACCATTAAACGCGCACACGTGTTGGAATTGATTCTTTTCGAATAATGATGATGCGGAATCGATGAGATCGACATTCCGAAAGTTCATTAACATTCAAATGAGTTTTTTGAGAGATTGATGTTCGTTGTGCGGAACTGATTGGAGTGAACATTGCCGGAAATATGTTCTGAATGTAATGAACTATAATTCTGATTCAGACAGAATACACGTTTTTGGATTTAAAAATTTAAAATCAGATGCAAATTATAATGACTCACTTGTTAAAATTTTATATTCTTTTTACAAAAATCAATATCATAGTCATTATTTTTCTCATGCTCTTTTTGTGGCCTTAAAATAAAAATGTTGAGACAACGTATTGAATTTTGTCTTATATTCTTAACGAAGTTGTAGCTTACCGTATCGCGAAAATATATATGAGAAATACGTTTACTCGACAATATTTGAAAAATCTTATTTGAAATTGCTATTGAATGTTATTCGAACAGATAAGCAGACAGAGCCCGAAAAAATTTCGAAATGAATCATCCATCTGCAATGGATACGCATCGCGCAATTTCGAAATTTGCGCCAAATTGTCGGCCTCTTCGAAGCCAATTTCTTATGTCTGAAGAGAATTGAATAAGAGTGTCCCCCAGACATTTTTGATATGAAAACGAACGTAAAAGGCGAACGGTCAAACGGCTATAAAACAAAAGTGTGCATCGGCGGGGTGGACGGCATAGACGGTCGAACGAACGACCGTGCGCGATTGGTGACGCATCTGTTGTGTTTGCGGCAATGCACATTCAAATTACCGCGTTTTTTTTTCACACAGCCCGTATCGTTACGACAAGGCCAATAACCATTTTCGCTCGCGCTTCGCGCGGGCACGTTTGATCCAAAAACTGATTATTTTGGTTTTGGGCGTTGGTGAGTATACGGAAATGAGGAGACAGAACTGTCAATTACAATAGATTCATAAACAAGATTAAAAGTATAATAGGAACAAAATTAAGTGGTAAAAAAAGAGAGAAATAGAAAATTATTAGAAAAATTCAATGATTCTGGTAAATTTTTTTAAAATAACTCATTGAAAAGAGAGTCCATTATCACGGATCACTTCAAAATTAGTTTGTCATTCCTAATTTGTCAGGCAAAACCATAAATGTTTTAGAAAAAATTAATTAACTCAATTCATGCGTATTGTTTCAAACGTCTTTTTGTGATGCCAATGCATATTGCATGGTTTGTACTTAAAAGAAATGAATAGGCTATAAGAAAAAGGTCTGCAATAAGAAACAAAATATATTAGAAAGATAAATAAGAAATAAGATTAAGATAAATTAATAAATACGGAATTATAAGATTTTGGATAAATTAATTGAAACGTTTTGCAATAATTTTATAAAAGTAAAGAATTCTTAACCTGAACCCTTTCATTGAAAATGTCTTTAAAAAACGAGAAAGCTATTTCTCCAGTTAAAATCTAATTGAATTTCGCAGAAATGCCAAGGAAAAATTGAGAAAGATATTGGAAAGAGATACATTCAATTGGTCATTCGTTTAACTTAATTTTGGAGGAAAAATATAACAAGTTATGAAATATTTTTTGGAAACAAATTATTTCTGAAATACATTCAAACTAGAGACGGAAGGAAAATTAAAAAATAATAATATTTTGAAAAAAGTTTTTCTCACGATAAATGTTCGGGATAGTACAAATTGAGGAAAAACATTTATCACTGTCAACCTACGACCTTCAGGCGGTCTCTCGTTTTGACATAATGCATACGCAATTGATCTAGAGCTGGTGATCTTAGCAATTAATTTTGTGTGGATGCACGAGTTGCGTGTTGAGCCCAAATGATGAATACAACTCGCTCAAACCAAAAAAATAAATAAATTTCAAAGAAAAGTTTAATTTTGGCCAATCAAAACGCAGTTAATTAACAATGGAAAAATGTAAAGTACGCGAGAATTCAAATGTTTGACAAAAGATGAACATTCCACATGCTGTACGTATAAACTGGGAAAAAACTATACAAACCAGATAATGGATTATTTCTGTTTTAACGATTCGAAGCAAAGCGCTTATTTTATGTTTTGCAGTTGTCACAAACATGTTTCATTGTGTCAAATATTGGCACTTTTTTCTGACATGATTAGTAAGCATGGAGATGAGAGAAAAAATCCCGCACCAAATTAGCATATGTAATGAATGAAATGCACACTCGTTTTTTTTTCGCGCAAACCCGAAGAGGCTCCAATAGACGCACAATTATTTATTTCATGATGGGTTGTCTGGGCCAACTATGGCGTATTCGAAAAATATGTCAACGGAAGTATTTCAATTTTTGCGATCGAATATGTGAGAAGCTCATTCGTCCACAATTGTCTTTGTTTGGAATGGCCGCGAACAATACGTCAATTTTCTGCACGCAATAAAATATGAATGTATGTGAGCCGCTATCAAAAAACAACCAGTTGTACCTATTTTTTAAGACAAAATTTGACGAACCAAATTGTTCAATCGCATTCTTTAATTTTCTCTCGAGTTTTAGTCTATGTATTTCAAATTGTAACAATAAATCAATTGAAACTTGAATCTGATGTTTATATAACAAACATAATCCAATCAATAATTATATCATTTGCAATATTGAAAATCATGTTGTACAGTTAAAAGATATATGGAATAAGTGCCTTGCGGTCCTTCGGGTACGAACGGAATTTAGTAACGTAGAAGCTGAAATGAAAATGTTCGATCAACATTTTGATCGTCGCAAACTTACTCGTGATGAGTGTAAGCACGTGGGACCAGAAGAAAGATGGTAAAAATCGCAAAAGCAGCTGCTGGAACACTTTGGGTGGCAATCGCGTATCCCGTCCATTCAATGATCTCTCCAAGGTAGTTGGGGCACGAAATTGTCTCGAACAACGCACCTAAAAACATTCAAATATTGTCGAAAAATTCCGATTTTTATTCGTACTGCGTGGGATGTAATATGCGGTGTTGTCGCGTTTGCGAAGGTCGAGCAAGTAGCATTCGGCGTTCATGGTGATCAAGTGTCCAACGACAACAAGGCAAACTCCTGCAATAGAGTTTGTTGCTTGGAAAAAAGGTATACGAACGAACCGCCAACAAGTGTGAACCATCTCGAAAATGGAAGCATCTCCATATTCGGTTGAAACATGGCATTGTATGAGGCTTGCAGCATGCTATTGTAATACGAGAAGTAGGTGCTGATCAAAAACACAGGGATTGGAACGTAGTGACCAGAATTCAGCTGGGCAGCATATGAGAAAATCCTGAAAATAATTCCATTTAATTCCTATCGTTTATTTAGATACTCGTCTTTTAAACATCTGATATTGACAACGGTCGAGTTGGAAATTACATTTATTGCATGTGTCTTTTACAATTAGAATTCGACATCAACGTCCAAAAATTTACTTTTTCACTTTAAAAGAAATATAAGTCACATTTTTTCCTGGATGACTGGCATCGTTTTTTTTTTTCAAACAGAATTTTCTTATGTTTATTTCTCATTCTCTTTTGAAAAACATAATTTAAGTCTTAGATTTTTCGTCCAACCTTCAAAATCATCTCTCAAAAAAGAAAAAAATTCTGCCAAATATTCAATTCCATTTGTATTTTCCTTTCTGTTGTATACCTAAATTTAATCTACCCTCTCGAATTGAAAGTATTCCGTCAGGGATTTTGTTTCATTATATAAAATTGGGCATTTCTTGAGTAATAAATGTGCCGATGCAACTATAAAACGTGTTTACTAATTGCGTTAGAATGGATATTTGAGAAAATCTGGCTGCTGTGAAATATAAAAGCCAATGCTTCAAAATTTTAAGTATCTCATTTTGAACCGCACAGCTATCCAAAAAAAATTTAATTTTTCGTTTAGTATACCACTGACCTCTTGAGATAGTGATACACAAAGATGACGTTGAAAATAAGTCCAAGATCAGTATCCGATTCGAAGCAATAGTAAAGTGGCACAAGTACTGATGGCAACCCTTGAAGGACCCAGGCAACGTTTGGCGAGATAGACCACTGTAATTCCGTTAAATTTATAACATTTTGTGGAGTCACGAACAAACCCAGACGTTTGGAGCATATCTTCCATAAGGAAGTGGCATCATAATGGAAACTATTCCAAGGATACCTCCCAAGAAAACCATCCACCAGGATTGCTCAAAAAAAGCAGCGTTCATTTCTGAAAAATGAGTATGATTAGTATAAACCCACCAAAAACAAAGGGAAACACGCGCGAAAGAAACATGAGAGCGAGAAAATGAATTGAAGATGAGCTACTACTGAGGGCGGGTACCAAAAAAATGAATGAGAATCGAAGCAGCGCAACCAATATGATTGAGAAAGTGGACACTCAAATGGTCAAGCCAATGGCGAAAACCGAACTGCAAATGTTTGCATTGGAGCATATATGCCCAATCGTCCTATGAGACCTTTGTACAACATTGTGTAGAGAATATCGCGTTGGAAAGTCATGCCATCTTACATAAAAAGGATTAGTAATGAGAGTTAATAAGCTTACGTATGTAATGCATTTCTGAAACAGCATTTAAGCAGAGTTTGCAGTTTCTTAAGAAAGAGGAATGCTTCTTAAGATTAAATGAATGATGGTTACTGAAAGAATTGTTGGACTCGTTAATGGATTGCAATGAATTTATGTTCACTATATTGAGACATTATTCTAATTTTGATATATTCATTTTTAATTACAATAAAAGCAAATGATGTAATTTAAATAAGCCATTATAAAATATCTTGTGAAATTCAGAAAATGTTTCTTCAAAAACGTCCAATTATCATAGTATTTTTTCAATTTGTCAAATCAATGTTCACCTAAATTTTAGAAAAAATTAATGTTTTCTGTGAATTATTTCTAAAATCTATATGTCTCCATAACAATTCCCATTCTATTTAGAGAAATAGTCATTTTGCTTTTTTTAATAAAAATTTTGATTTTTTGATCAATATTTCAGATACTCATAGTAAAAACTTTCAAGATAAAATGATTAACAACTAGCTATTATTTTTTCTTTATTTTATCGAAATCAATATTTTGAAGACGACGCAATTCGTATAAACGTGTGAACTATGCTAATATATACTTTTCTATCTATTTTGTTTCATTATTTGCCGGGGCACGATTTTCGATCAAAACGGATCAAATTCTAATAAAAGATTTTTACGATTTCATGCGATTGCTTGAACCGAATCAATTCTTCATCAAAAATAGTTTATTATGATGAATTCCACACTTGTGTTGCGTCTGGATAGAGATATTCGTTTGATTTGTTTTCGCTTTCTTCTACTTGAAACTCATTTTCTCAAGAACTTATTTGATTGAAATTTCCGATTTTTTTGTTTTTCAAAAGCGTCTTGTTCTTATGATGTTTAATATCCATCTCTTCGCTTTTCTCTTGCTATCATTATTATTTTTCATAGATGTAAAATTTTCAAAATTTAGTCCAATTCGACACAACAAAGAAGCTGAAATGAAATCCACTAAGCTTCAGAGCGGAGGAGACTCAAGGTAAAACGATAATACATATATCGGTGTATTCACAAAATGTTTAAAAAAACATGAAAAAATTTAAGAAGCATATCTTAATTTTTTGATAAAAAAAAAACAGAAGATAATTTCCTAGTGCTCTTTTTTTCAGTTTATAAAATGTTCAAGATTTTCACTGTTAAAACTCACTACAAATTTTGTTCAATTTATTGGGCATTAAATTCGCTGGTGATTTGATTCTCTCCACTTATGCAGCAAACAAAGAAAGTTCAAAATATTATCTTACTCTTCTGCTTCCTTAATTCGATTTTCATCAGCTTTTTTAACATCATAAAATAAACATTGGCAATGTTATAAAGAAGAACGCAACTTTGGGTTTATTATGTTCTATTTATTTAACGTAAAATTTCAAAGTTGTTTTCTTTTGAGCTAAGTCATCCATGACAAAACGCATTCCGAAAATAACAGAATTTATCGGTATCATATGGACAACATCAATTATATCGGCTACTTCGACTTCCTTTCGTCATAATTTTTTTATAATATCAAAAATTAGACTGGCAGGTGGTGCGGGTAATCGAGGTTGCTGTTGCTACGAGCAACGAGTAAATCAGATGATAATGAGCAAAGGATTTCTAATGGGTTTCCCTTCAATTCACTAAATATTTTTCATAATTTTTTTTTCAAACTATTTTGTTTAAAACAATTATTCAGCTTTTCACGTAATGTTGTAAAGTTCACAAAAAAACCAACATGCAAATTCTTTTTTATGAACGACTAATGAGAACCAATTAAAACTTGCGAGGCCAATAATGGCATATTCCTTTAATTTTCTTAAGAAATTAGCTTTCATATTCTAAAATTACACGTGCATAAGATTTCTACTTCGCATTTGAAATTTAGCTACTAAAAGCTCAGCTCATTTTTCGAGTTATGAACCTTTCAGCAATTTTTCATTTTTTTAATCTCGAAAATTTCGGCGAAATTTTTCAAAAATTTTAATATCTAAAAATAAAAATAATGGAAAAACGCACGAAAATGCCCAAGGTCAGTGAATATTAAAATAATTTCAAAATTTTACTTTAATTTTAATAATAATTGCGGATTTTGTATTCGAAGGTTTTTGAAAAGGTAATTGATTCTAGCAGCTTCTTTTTTTCCGGAAACAAGTTTTACATTTTCAAATCATATCTGTTAATTTTGGAAGCAATTTTTTTAAGAAGGAAGAAAAACTTTAGTGTTCTTTTGAAAAAAAGAAAGTATGGATAAAGAAGAGTCATGAATTACTAAACACTCTTTGACTTTTACTGATCTACAATTCGTCCCTCTGTCAAAGTTGTTTCTCGATTCTCGAACCCTTCTGATGAAACCGAAAAATATGCCCACTGAAACTCATGGATTATCTATTTCATTTTATCAATTTCATATTTACACATTTTGCGATGTTTTCGATTTCTAAGATTTGCAATACAACTTATGTTTTTTCTACGTATAGAAATCGCGAGACCGACAACGATTCTTTTCAGGAAGTTTACCACCAAATTTTAATTACATTTTTCTTTATAATAATATAATAAAATATTCTTTGGAATATAAGAAAGTTGAAAGCATGGGAAAATGGCTTTCCCAAATGTCTCCTTGTTGATTTCCATTCCTTTCTTGTTTTTTCTTTCCATTTACTTTAGTGACAAAATGAAAGTGTTTATTGCCAAGTGTTTTTATTAAAATGTCAGATATCGACAAAATTCATAAAACTCTTCATTTATATTCATTGTTTTGGTCTGCTAGAATGTCGATGTTGATGTTTAATATTATTTTTATGAATTTATGTTAGCATTGTTTTCCCGTTTTCAAATCAAAATTTGGAAAAAGGTTGAGTTTAAAAAGAAGAAAAGTAAAAAATCCGAAACCAACAACTACTTTAGCCAATGATCTACACCAGACCATTCCCACTTTGGCAGTTAAAGTGCGACAAAATTTCATATTTTTTCTTTAGTATTCCTGACATATCTTAGGAGACAACATTTCTCATTCTGCCAACAACAAACATGCTTTGAAGTGTACTCTCCCCTTCTTATAGGAACATTTAAATAAACTTACATCATTTTATGTGTTCTTAATACTTATTAAGTTTTTTAATTAATATTCATGTGACATCCTGTTGAGTTGCTCAACACTAATATTATCTGCATACCCTCTCAAATACTGATTTGCAGGGGAAATATGTTGAAAATGGACTAAAAATGATATTTAGTGATGACTCGATGACTAATTCTATATAAGTCGATAATGAAAAAATTCTTATTAGCTGAAGAATAAGCTACTATAAAAATATATGAATAGCATTGACATTATGCTTCAGCTCAATTATTAAGGAGTTTCGATCTAGTTATTTTCAAATATTCCCAATAAGGCCATCTAATTTTGGCCTCACAAGTTAGTTTAGATGTTGGTTTCAATCTAGTCAAAAATAATCATAAATTCTAGTTTGCTCAAAAATATCTTCTATTTACAAAGCGAAACTCAAGTCAAAAACAAATTAAATGAAAAGACTTGATGTTTGAAGATCATTTTAAGAGATCGAAACTATGTTAAATGTTATTTTTAAAAGGACTTTGCTCAAGTCGAAAATCACATCTTCTTTCTCCTTCTTATTTGAAAAATTGAAAACGTGCGAGCATAAAGGTGGTACTCAAAAAAAGACATTTTCGGCATGAAGTCAGGTCTAATTTAATTTTGTGCATACATTTGCGCCTGCTCACCTCTTTCCAATCACAAATCGCTATACGCTCATTTTTTCGAGTTTTTCCGTTGTGCAATTCGCAAGTTCCGCAATGAAATTCATAGTAGTAATTAGTATGCAAGCATTCGTACAAGTGGCAATCATGTCTGAAAATATCCCATATTAGTGAAAAACACATGGTAATAGGGAAATGCACTTGAACGTTTCACAAATCAGTTTTTATAGCACACAAGTGCTCATTTATTCTCCTTTTAAAAAGAAGGATTCTGAAATCTTGTTGATATGTCAGATGTTCGAGAGAAAATTTTAATCCCAATAGGTGGGAAACCAAGGTGTTTTTGTTCGCGTATACGCAAATGAAAATTTCATTTTGATTACATATTATCAGTTATAGCAATATCAACAAAAAGTGCTCGTCACAATTAGCATGAATGTGAAGACAATTCTAGATATGAATAAATCCGTTTCATATACAAAATAAGATGCTTGTCATATGATATTTTCGCCATTGATAAAATTTCCCGGATGAACAAAAACATAACTAATCACACTATTCATACAAATCTTTCGGATTAAAAATATGGTTACATTCATTTATGAGGCGCGAGCACATCATTTTGAGAATAATTTAAGACGTGCTGGGAAACTTGTGAGACTGCCTACTCATTAGAATATTCAATTCTGTTGTTTTTTCGATTAAGTGGAACTTTCATCTTACTTATGTATTACTTTTCTCAGTGGATTGGTTCATTTCTACCAATTATTTAAAAGAGCGAGTGCAATTAATAGGTTTGCTTGTAGATTAGCTGATAACATTTCTTCTACTGGACTGATTAAAAAATTAAACATCTAAAGATATTATTGTTAACCCATTGATGTAATTTTATATATATATTCCATACTTAAGTTTCAATTATTTTACCAATTTAGAATAACAAAAAAATTTTTATGTCTCGGATCAAAAAATTTTTTCACAGGTTCAGTAGTATTTCTCAACAATACAAGTTATGATGGAAAAATTAAAATTTGGGGAAAGATTATCATAGAGTTAGAGTGTTTTTTGTTTTTCATGAAATAATTGAAGAATTAGTAACAAAATGCTCGTGGAAAAATCAAACTTTTGATTTTTCTCGTTAGCGATTTTCCAAATTTATTTAAAGATTTATTGAGATAGCTGCACGATTTATATTTATATATATACATATATCCATATTTTTCGTGTAAAATTTGAAATTCACATTTTAATGTATATCTGGTAAACATTTATATTTTTCCGTCTAACTAATGTGCCAATGAAATCTCTCGCTTAAGTTTCAAAACGGATTATGCGCATAAGTACCAAAGTGTCATCCGCAGACGTTCTAGAAATTGAGCACATTATAATTGTGTTGCTCACTCGCATATTCCTTTTAATTCGTAATGTATCACTATGTCAGGTAGGGTTTTCGTAGTCACGTACAAAAATCAGCGGATACGACTGTAAATTGTTATTAACTATAAAATTCGTCATTAAATTCTTATTCCTGTAGCAACCTAAAATCTGTTTAAATATAAAACATGATATTTTGGATTATTAGTGCTTGATTGACAATCTTTGTACATAATGTACATATTTATAATAGGTGTGACATGCGTTTGCCAGAAGAAAAATTTTAAAACAATATTTAAAAAATTTTTAAATCTTAAACTAACAGCAAAATGTTTAAGACGATCGAGCCCACTTCTGCCAGCAATGCCTATTATGTCCAATGGACGGTAAGAATCATACATCTATCTTCATCATTACTATTTTGAAGATGTACATTAAGAATTTCTAAAATAAATTTTTCTGTAGAAATTAGTTGCTTCTAAAATTATATCTTTTTTTTCTCGTTTGTAAGCAATGGATTCAACTTCGAAAATATAGCAGAATATCTCTGATAATCCACTTATTATTGTTTACACTTTTAAAAATTTTGTTCAATTTCTAATCTATTTAACGCCCATTTTAGAAAAATGATCAATGTTTTTTTTCTGAAGTCTTTGCGTTTGTGCTAAAAAGTTCATCTTCAAAATGAGTGTTCAGGAATTGAGCGACATCTTGTTTAAATGTATTTATTTTCAATTGAATACCCAAAAAAAATTCGGCGATATTTCTGTAAAGTTCAATTTCAGGAGACAGACAAATAAGTTTTCATCTCATTTAGACCAATTGTTGGCCACTCAAACTGAAAATTCAATTTATGTAAAAGCATCTAGTATGTTATGGAAAATTCTTGTCAAAATAATCGGGATCGTCTAATTTTTTTCAACCATTTTCAAACTAAGCGATATGTATCAAAACTTTTGGTGAGTTTTTGAATTCAAAATAATATTTCAAAATTGCGGTGCATTGTTTAAAGCAAGAATCCAGAAAAATATCGATAAATTCCTATTTATTATTCCATGCACATAAAATTCCAAACTTTGATTTATGCTGCTAGTGTACAATGACAATCATATAAATATTGGAGTTGCGATATTTTTTGAATTTTGAAAAATACAAAATGTTATTCCAATTTGAATTAACGGGTTTCCCATATAGCTCGAAAATTAACAGAATGTCGTAAAATCTTTTGACTTGAGTGAACTAATCACGCAATGAAGCCGCTTTGCGGCATTAGTCAATAGCTTGTCTCTATCTTTGTCAATTAATTGAATTTTTTTTGGCAATGCTGGCTTGAAATATTCCAAACACATGTTTGCAACGTATTTGCTTTTTAAAAACAATATTCATTTCTGAAAGGTCTAAAAAATTTCAAAGACTTCTCGAAATCCAATTCATGGAGTCACTTGAACTTTTTTGTCTTGCGATCTATAATTCCGTAATAAGATATATGCGTTATCCTGAATTAGAAGAATATTTGCAATCATTCGTTTTTCTAGAGTATTTAGTTTCGTTGTTAAACTATTTTCTCCTCTCACTCGTCTTAATACAAAATAACTTGTCTCAGAGTACAACATAATAAACCAACATTTCTTCAACATTTTATTATCACGTATTTACTTTTTAATTCGCATTAGCTGTTTCTACATTTGGTATTCAAAAAATGAATTCTTGAAATATGTTTTACAAGTCGTGAATTTCATCACCAGTTTCCCATAAAAGTGCAAAGTTTTTTTTTTCAAAATAAAAAAATCGCCGAAGAACGCCAATAGATATTCATAAATTATTTTTGTGGTGCAAAGTTTTCATAAATTTCGCAAAGTCTCGTGTTAGCTTTTTGATTTAGAACAGTGAGAAAAAGACAAAAATTATTCGGATTTTGGCTTTGAAAGAATTTTAGTTTGTATTATTTTAAAACGATCACAAAGATAAAAAGTTTTCGGTTAAGAAGTAGGCGTTAATATTCAATTGGCAGCCAATCACGAGTCTACGCAATATCATTATTTCTCATTGAAATCCGATACGATCAAACTTTGTTCTTCATTTTTTGCAAGGATTAAGAAAATATTACACATACGCCATTTGGATTACATTCAAATAATAAAACATACATTATTGAGAGCTACGTATTTCGTTGCTATTCAGGTTTCACACCAATTTGGCATATGCATTTCTCTCATCGGTTCACTCTCTATAAGTCAGTAATCTTATTTTTTTTGTTTATTATTGCGTATTTTTAGACATAGATAGGATTTTATTTTGTATCCAGATTACATGCGACATGTGCATCAAATGAAATTTTATGTCGACTTCCCCCCTCTCTCAAAAAATCTCTCATGTTTTCGTCGCGTAATCCATGTGCTAATTATTATACCTGATTCAAAGACTTTTTTAATCAAGTTTGTGTAATATGCAATCAATTTGGTTTAGTATTGCGTATTATTTGATAATCTGATAGATTATTCATAGTGGGACATTTGTCTGATTTTCGATCATTTTTAGTTTAGTCATACGACAATTGAGTTCGATCTCTCACGGAACTCTTTACATATTCTAACTTCTATTCATTCAACAGGGAAATGAAAAAGTTCCGATTTCTGCTCGTCGATTTGAAATAGATACATTTAGGTCAAAAGAAATCTTTATTGGCGTTGTTGAATAAATAATTCTCTAGAGATTTTTCGTTCTGCCATTTTTGGTTCGTTCGATTTTTCATCTAGTGACCATTTAACGTTTTTTTTTAACATACAAGAAAATCAGACTTTTTGTTTCTTACATTCAAAATTCTAAAAATCGAATTAAAAAACGTGTGTGCATATTATATAGAGTCAGGTGAATATACAAAATCTTATTTTACTAAAATATCTATATTTTATTTTGAATTGGTTCTGCTTTCAGCAACCAAATTGCCATGGTTATTCCAAGCACTCGAAAAGGGCATGGGCCAGGATCTCGAGACAACTTTGGAAATTCGAATCATCACGGAGAAGAGGTGCAGAAATAAATAAATAACAACCAAGTTAAACTATCACGTAGGGAAATCATCGATATAACAATGGTCAACGATCGGATATTGAAGAAGCAAAGGTTGAGCCAATATCAGGTATTTCAAAAAAAGCGAGAGCAGGTTTCATATCTTCTTTCAACTAGGGGCTGGAGATTCAGTGATGAAGCTTAACATTGGCGGCACCTCGTTTCGTCTTCGAATTTCAAGCATTTTTTCACGGTCCAGTGACGACAGGCTTTCAGCTTTTGCACAATTAACACACGAGCAAAGACTTCAGTCTTGCGATGCGTTTTTATTGGTAGGTTATATATCATTTTTATTTGATTTTGATTATTTGCGCAAAGAAATTATGTCGAACAATATTACTATTTTATTAAATCGCGATTTTTTTTTCGATTGTTTGTTTTTTTAAGTTTAAAAAAGATTAGATAATGATTGAATACATTGTGACGTGATCGGAATGCAAAGTTATCACGAGGTCGCAAAGAAGTAACTTGAGAGGAAGATACTCATGTATATATACGTTTGGTGCAACCTATATGCTTATATCCTTGCGTACTACAAACCTTGCGTAAATCAAATACAATCAGAAGTAGTTCAATAACACTAAGGATGTGTTAAATGATATTATTACGAAAATTTGGTTTCAATGAGTTATTTTACAAACTCCAACGTGTGATTATTACATATGTTTAAAACGAATTACACTTTTCGCGAACTAAAATGCTTATTGAAAAAAACGATTTCAAAACAGCGAAAATTGAATTTGGCAAAACTATTAATCGTTATTTCAAGCCACAAGAAGAATATTACTTTGAACGATCTGCCATTCTGTTTGATTCAATTTACAAATACTACATTGCTGGACAACTGCACCGTCCTCTCGATGTTTGCCCGCAGGAATTCTCCGCAGAGCTCAATTACTGGAAGATCAACGATGGATTAATGGCAAACTGTTGCTGGCGCGGATACAATATGTAAGTATCAGTACAGGGACTTTGCTAGGTTTTCAGACATTATAGCAATAAAAAAGAAGACGCAGATTCTTCAAAACTGTAAGTTTCAATGTAAACCGTTTGTTCAACCATTAGACCTAACACTGTTTTCGTTCCTACAAAATCGAACCAGCTTTTTATTTGTGTGTATTTTTTATGACAAATTGTGAATTTTTCCCTTTTTTTATAATTATAATTATTTATATTTAGTAATATTTAAAATGTGAACCAGTAAACTTGTTAATGGGTACTCATCATTATGCAACTTTATAACGTTCGAACATTTCAGGAGTGCTTCTCTTGAAGAATTAGTTGCACCGAAGGAGAAAAAGGTATGTTTCGTGACTTTTAATTGATAATGTTCGGTCTGTAGATTGAAATTCATGATTGCTCACTTCGTTATCGAATTCATCAATTTTGCGAAGGAGACGGATCTCTTTTGTCAACTCTGTTCACTTTTGGAAGCATTTCGTTCGTTTTGATCAGCGTTATCGGTCTTGTACTCGGTTCAATTCACGAGTTTCAGGTTTCGTATTAATATCGGATATGAATTTGATTTTTAGTTTTTAGGTCCCGGTGTTCAAAAATGAAACGAATTCGGAACGCATTCAAAATCTAAGTTCTGGTATGATTGTTTTACTAAAGGAGCAATTAAAAAAAAGCATTATGAAAAGTTCGAATAAAAATATACGGTTACAGGTGAAGGAAACATCACAGATATTCCACAAGGTAGAACGGTTGATTTTCGTGTTATATTTCAGTTTTTTTTACTAAGTATTGAAAATTTGATATAATTTTTTTAAACAATAACTTCTACGCTTGCCAATTAGGTTGCTGTGTGAATATTGCAATGATGTAGATATAAAATTCAAAAATTAGCAGATTAGGCTGCTGTGTGATCCAAGATTTCAGTTTTTACCCCATTTTAGTCTGTTTTGCTCAAATATTTCATATATGTTCGTTTCAGTCGATAATGATGTGGTTATCTGGGAGCCTCATCCAGTATTTGGAGCTGTTGAAACTGTGTGCATTATCTGGTTCACGGTGGAATTCATCCTTCGTCTTGCGGTTACTCCAAACAGGTTTACAACTTGAAAAATTTATATAAATAGTATATATGTATTACTATTCAAACACGATTATTTTCTTGGTTTGAATACAATCGAAAAATTGTTCTCATTCTCATACAGGGTTGCGTTCCTCGTCGGCATTATGAACATCGTTGATATGATTGCGATCATTCCGTTCTATCTTGAACTCACGTTGGCTCTCTTTGGCATAGACATTGCTAGTCTAAGCGATATCAAAGGTTATTCAATTATCCTCATATGTATTTAAAAACTCTTGCAGGTGCGCTGCTTGTTGTCAGAGTTTTGCGAGTTCTTCGAGTTGTCAGGATATTGAAACTGGGAAGGTAATGAAGATGAACGGTTGAAATTAATTGATATAATTGTACATTATTCCAAATAAAATTTCATTCATTTAGATATTCATCTGGTATGCGAACGTTTGCTCTCACATTGAAAAGCTCTGCGCGCCAGCTTGGAATGATGGGAATGGTTGGAAAAAGCACGCAACAATTTAAAACAAATTGACTGTTTAGGTTCTTTCCACTGGTGTTGTCTTTTTTTCAACCTTATTGTATTTTGTCGAAAAAGATGAGAAAGACACTCCGTTCACTTCAATTCCTGCAGCGTTCTGGTGGGCTATTGTAACAATGACTACAGTCGGATACGGAGATTATGTTCCGGTAACAGTCCGTACGTTTTAAAATTCTTAAAAGTGAAAATTAATAATTGTTCCCATTGTTTTAGCTGGAAAGTTAATTGCAAGTGGTGCAATTATTAGCGGTGTGCTCGTACTTGCTCTTCCCATTACAATTATTGTTGACAATTTCATGAAAGTATCAGGAAAGTAGGTGGATTTGGTTATTTCACAAACAATTTTTCGGCTGAATCATATCATTATCATCATATCGTCAACAAGTCAATTGTATTTCAGTGTTGACACCAATGAGTAACAGTACTCAACAAACTTGTATAAAAATATAACTATATATGTATGTATATTAACTTTTGAACAGATCGAATCGTAAGTTGGAATCCGGCATTCTTCTTTCCACTTTGTTTACACCATTTTTTTAAATGCATTCATTCAACGCACACCTTCACTCTACGCTTCTAGCATAAACTTTTAGTTTTAAATGCATTTGTTCGAAGCACGGATTTGTTAATTTTATATCCTTTTTTGTTTCAAATTTCCGTATTCTTTTTAGAAAAGCCAATTATGACTTGCAAATTTTGTTCTCAACTTTAAGAAAAAGAATGATAAATTAAACGTTGCTCCATTGAGATTTTCCCTAAGTTGTTATATGAATATTATTAGAATTTCAATTAAAATGAGCGATTCTAATAGCAGCCTTCGGAATGTCGCATTTGTTCAATCAGTTTGCACGAAAGTTATTGAATGAGAACTCTAAATCTACATTTGCTTTAAAAGAAAAGGAATAAAATGTAAAGATTAAGCAATATAAAATGCTTCAATTATCGCTTTCAATTCTCATTTTTCTCAATGTCACCCCACTGTTCTATTGCAAAGCATATACGCAATTTCTTTCCAGTTTGCTTGGAATACTTCATTTTTAGGTAGTCGAATTCAAATCATTGTTCAAAGCATTTTTTGCAATAAGTTCATTCTTATATGAAATATAGCGATATGTAATGGGATTCCGAGTGGCTGGAAAGAACTATATTAAAACAACTGCATATAGTAATCGATGCCTTTTTCAGCGTGAACACCAACATATTCTCACAACAACGTCCACCAGAGGAAAATGCAGAATAATTTTCTGTTCGTCTTATATTTATTGACATTCTAATCATTCCCTCACTAATTTCTCGAACATGTTTTGACTGTTTAGAGCTTTAGATTAGGGAAAATTTCCAATTGAACAACGCAAATCGTATTTCAGCACTTAACGGTTAGAAACTGTATCAAATTCATACTTCTATCTGACTCGATCCCCCATTACAAAATGCGTATTAGTCTTACTAATAATCCATAATTTCCCCCTGTCTCTTTTTAAAATCGATCGCTGATCTACTGTATATCATAAATGAAGATTCGTTGAGTAATGCTTAGCAAATCGGCACGAAAAAATCCGTTTACTTCTCTTCGGTTTTGTGGAAATGCTTGCGCAAACGGGGGCGCTAGGCTGCTGTAATGCAAACAACCGGCAAGATAACGAGTTGGATTGTGTCTTTACCTACTTGAAGTTTTTTTTTGCTCCCCGATGTTGAATAAATCTTTCTGTCAGCAGTTTTGCACTCAAGTTATTGTGTGTTGGATGACGAGAAAATCAATAAAACGTTAAAAGGGTGGCACGAATGTAATAAATTGGTCAGTAATGAAAAAAAAAACCGGGCTATCTAGTAGTTCTAATTACAAATGTTAAACATGTGCGTTTAATTTTGTAGGATTATAACTATTAAACCGCTTTCAAATTTGTTCAAAACGATACTTTTTCGGATACTTTTACATCTCCCAAGAACCTAATAAAAATTGTTCAGAAAAGATTTCAGTTAATCCAATTGAATGCCGCTGTCATTTGTAGAAATAATCAGGTATAAAGCTAAAAGTTGAATCGAAAATAAAAATAATGTTGTTCTTACACCGTTGGCTAAAAATTTCGATTTAGAATAATCCTTCATTTCATTAGATTGTGAGTTGTAATGAAATATACCTGGAAACTTTCATTAAGGTTGATGCCTGCAAATTCCACGCGACGACTTTTTTTAACTTTAAGTTTATTGTCTGGTAAATAGAGCAACTATATTTATCGCGTTTTATCCACATAACCAGTTTTATGAGTAGACTTCCCCCGCTGTTAAATCATAATCGTTTACTCGCCGTCGGTATCTCATTGAGCTTTTCTTATTGTGTCACTGTTTTTTCAACGGTCGCTGTCGTTGGTTTTTTTTACGCGATCATCCATATATCTGCGCGCTCTTCAGACCGATGAGCAAAAGTGTGCCGAGATAAAACATCTCTTTTGTTTGCGCGCTATTTCTGTATACCATACTCAACGACTCACGTATAGGTATCCGCCCACACGCTGACGAGCTAACCAACCCCCCTTGGCGATATATCCTCAGCCGAGCAATCGTCAGTTCGACCTGTCGGCTTGGCACTAGATCGGCGCGCACACATTTTTTGAGACAACATGGGTGAGGAAGTAAGTTTTATATTTTCTTTACAGAAAATTTTGTATTTTCTACGACTGTTAAAATACATAAAATTATTTTTCGACTGTACTATCTAAATATAATATTCAATTATTTCATATTTTTAAACAATATATGAAATGTAATAACATTCTCAAAGAATATTAAAATTGATTTTTAAACTAAGGCTTTTAATTTTGGATAATTTTGAGATTTTGTTTTACTTTATATCCGTCTCTTGTGTAAATCTGGACTCCACTCAAAAAGACTCGAAGACATTTCAAAGGGATGTCGCAATGTTTGTTTTCGCAATTTTTCCCCAATGCGAATTCTCTTTGATACCGAAACGATCGGATTTTTCAGGATTGGCCTTCTGATGCTGCGTCCCAACCTCGCAAGAGATGGACCCTTGAACAACTCAAAGGAGGAAATACCTTCCTCTCGATGCAAGCTGCGACAAACAAGTTTGAATCGCAGAAGGGTATGACCGCTCCTGGAATGCCACGTTGGAACATCATCAAGGACAAGAAGGAGGGGTACTAAAAATCTAATCCTATTGAATTTGGAGATTACGTTTTTAGATACATTGCTCCAGACCGTAGCTCTGAAAATGTGCTCCGTGTGCAATGCGGTACTAACCAATATGCATCGCAAAAGGGAGAGACACCAATCGGAGCTTCTCGATTCCAGGTTGAGATATCATCCCGCGAATAATTTATGTAATTTTAATCATATATAGGTCCCAAAAGTTTCGTACAAGAAAGAATGGGAAACCATTCTTGATAAGGAGGGAGAGAAGATCATCCCGAAGCAAGCTGGTGATTATGGATTGGCATCGCAAGCCGGAGAAGTTAGCATGGGAGGACCAAGAAACCAGGTCGCTCTTATCCGTGGACGACTTCCCCATGACAGAAGAACTCACGGCGTTTTGTGTTTCCAAAATGGTTATTGAAAATAATGTAATATATTCCAAATAATTAAATTCAGGAACCAACTTGTTTGCTTCGCAAACTGGAATGTCTGCTCCACCAGGTCTTGGAGCCGTTCGTCAAGCTACCCAGAAGATTGAAGGTCTTGAGCTTGGAGAAGATGTCCTCCGTCGTGGTACCGAATTCACCCCATGGTACTCTGGGCAGAACAAATTTGCCACTCAAGCCGGCAGCGGTGGATTCCTCAAGGTCCGCGACGTCTTGCCACATACTAAGGGAGGAAAGGAGATCGAGGAGTCGTTGAAGCAAAAATCGGAAGGAATTGTTCCACTTCAATCGGGAACCAACCGACTCGCTTCCCAACGCGGTATGACTGGATTTGGTACACCAAGAAACACGATCCAGCGATCGGGATGGAAAAAAGAATGGATCGAGGAGTACGAGGCTGCCCTCAAGGAGTGGGAAGAAACAAAGCCACCAGGAAGTGCTTCTTCTGTCGACCCATTCGGTCACTACAAGAAGAAGTTCGAAGAACGCGAATCATCGAAAAGCGCGGTTAACTCCGAGTACGATGCTCAATCCGTGAAGGCTAATGACCCGGAGCCGGAACCGGAACCGGAGCCAGAAGACGAAGAAGAAGAGAAGGTATGTTATTATAAACTATTATATATATATATATATATATGAAATGTTTTCTTCTTTAGGCTGAGGAGCCCGTTGTTGAGGAAGAGAAGGAAGAGGAAGAGGAGCAAGAAGAAGAGGAAGAGGAAGAGGTCGAAGAGGTTTGAAATTATGATAACAATTACAATCATTATTTCTTCATTTTTAGGAGGAAGAGGAAGAAGAGGAGGAGGAAGAGGAGGATGAGGAGTAAACATAGCAATGGCTACGTCGTTCACTTTTCTTTCACAACATCATCAAATTAGTTAGCTGTATGATTGTTGATGAACATTTATCCTGCAATATTCAACTATGATGTATAGCCGTCAATTTTTTTTTTCTTATCTTTTATATTTCACGAATAAACTTTTTTATATCAAAACTAAAATAAACGCATCTGACATATAAATATTGATATTATAAAAATTGTAAGATAAACGTGGCTATTATATGGAATGTTTTTGGAATAATACATTCTTCTGATACGTCTTCCGCTCTTGAATGATGGCAATAAAAATGTTTTGAATGGCAATAATACTTCGTCACAATCATGCTCAATTTGTACGAGCACAATTTCACCAAACAATTTATATTAAAAGAAACAATACGTATGCCACATTTGAGCATAACCATTTTTTTCAACCTTTGAACCATATATAAATATATATATCATCACTATCCAAAGCCTAATATTTATTGCTTTCGGGGGTATACAAAATAATTTAAACATTATCGAGTTATTCATTCAATAAAAAAGCGGAATGTTTATATAGACTTATTGTTATCAAAGCATTTTTAAGGTTTTGAATCACGAAGTTGGTTCAAAATTATTGCTAGAGAACAAAAAAGTCAATTCATAGCGGAAAATACATTATCCAAGCGATTCTTGAAGAGAAATTTAAAGCAAAATAAGTTACTAAAAGCTTCTATTTTCAAACTGAATGTTGCTAAAAGCGCTGGGATTATCGATCAAATATATCATTCAAATTGTATAATGCTGGAAATAAATAAAATGTCAAAATCGCATTCACAACCTATGGGAATCCAGAAAAAATTGTTTTCTAAACGCATATGACAGGTGACGTCGTTTAGACAAAATGAAGAAGGGTTTAAAAAAGTGAAGACTAGAATTAAACGTGGCCATGATTTTACAATTGGTGGAGCAAATTGTAGACTACAATTAAATTGGACCATATGTTGTTGTCTCATCAACTAATGTTTCTTTTCTGGTTCCCGCCGCTAGTCATTGGTCCCTTGGCTGGTTGAGGTCGCGAAGGTTGGTCAAAAATTTGTCTGGAGTGATAATGCGGTCCGAGCCGATAATCACTTCCCACGGCTTCTTGGCAGCAGTCACTTCGTAAGCTGCTCGCATCTCCGAGAATGTCACACCACCAACAATGTAGATGATGAGACGAGGACCACTTCTGAAGTTTGATTGCTGTCCGCGCTCCTTATGCCATTGACCATAACGAGCAGAAGCAGGAGCTCTGCAAATTTTAAGACTGTTTTGAAGAATTTTTGATGAAATTAGATATACCTGTATCCCTGATTGACTTGTCTTCCTGCAAGGAATGGGAAATGTTTAGTGTCCAACCGGTCGTCAATAGCGTCTTCCATAATATCCTTGATAACTGGAACCCATCTCGACGATTGGTACACTTGCTCATGCGGTCTATCTTTTCTTGCCGGAGTCCAAACCTTCTTTCTTCCGCTCTAGAAACAAAATGGAATAATTTAACTAATTTAGTTGTTTCTTTTTTACATCGGTGACAATGTTCAATCCAAGAAGAGCAGCATTGGTAATTGTTTCTTTGTCGGCCATTGTAATATTGGCGTGTTGAAGAAGTTTGTTCAGATTCTCATCGGTAATACCTAAATATTATCATCATATTGGAATTGAAATAATTAAAACATACCATTTTTGCTAATAATATAGAGAAGGATAAGACGAAGACGATCCATAACACGAACAGCTGGGTCGATTAAAAGCGGAACCATCAGTTTCATGGCATCTTTGACGCGTTCTCCTTCTACGTCAACACCAGTGCTCAAATCCTGTGAAAAAAAAGAAGTTGAGAATCTTAATAGGCTAAATCATGAGTACCTGCTCAACTTTGCAAAGTTTGTCAACTCCTTGTTGATATTGTCTCATACACTCCTCAGCAAGACTAATATGCGTACTGAATTTGTTCAACTCCTTCTTATGCTGTGGCATTTTCTTGATGAGCATGGACAAGTCCTTGATTGACTTCGCATCCATATTGCCTTTGTTACCCTTCGAGTCGCTGAACTTCTTCAAACCACGAGTCACTTCTTGCGAAACTACGGCAATATGCTTATGTCTCATTTCCACCCAGAGATCATCATTCTCGTCAAGTATCACTTCCTTTTCAACATTCTCGTTTCCTCCAGTTTCATAACGATAGACATCATTTTCAATGGCAAGAAGATCATAGCACATTGCTTGGAGAGTAAGTTCATGAAGAAGTGGAGTTATAGCATCATAACCACGATCTAAACATTCGCGCAAATTGCCAAAATTCGAAGCTCATTTGAAACATACCAATAATAATTAGCTGACTACGAGCCTTATCTGCTCCTTCGCCCATGGTTGGATCATCCGCTTTATACGCATCAAGCTTCTGCTCAACCAAATGTCCAAGTTCAACATTTCTCTCAAAATCAGCGCGATATCTGCAAACATAATTTCTAGATCGGATTCCTTATAATAATGAGACCTCAATGATGGATATTCACCAAGTGTTGCGCAGATAGTTGCAATTTGCTCTGCGATCCTCTCCAAATTAGCAGTAAGCCCTCCCTGTTTTTGTGCATTGTAATAAAGGAAGAACGTGTCTGGCGAATCAAGGTTGAACACCTGCAAACAATTATTTATTGGAAAAAGACTATTAACGATGAACCTGGCTCTCATATGGAGCAAATGCAATATTGATTTCCTTCAATGTTTTAATGAAACGCGCTGCAGCACTAAAAACAAATGATATATATATTGTATAGTTGAAAAAAAAGTAAAAACCTTTTGGAAAGAGTTGAGAATAGTTGGTCGGAACAGGCTTCAGTAAAGAATACGTGTGCACACTTGTACTGGTTTCGCATTGCAAAATCTTGAATCAGCTTATCAATCTGCAGATAAAAAATGTGATGAATTAAAATATGAATGAGATATTACAGATTCTTGTGTAGGGGATATCAGATAAATTGCTTCGAGAGTTGGCAATGGTTCACGACGCTTGTTCAAATCTTCCACAATTGTTATCCCTTCTGAAAGTTATTTCCGGTTAAAAAAACTGTTCTGCTAAATTATCTTACGCGCTAATATTGATAAATAAAAATGTGAATGAAAAATTAATTATCCGAATTACTCATTGGCGTGCTAATTTCAATATTAAACTGTTCTAGAAAACTCACCTTCCATAATATTATGCATTTTGCAGCACGCCGAGAGCATTCTCATCGCCAAAGTATCCACCACCAAAACATTCCACGCTCCTTTTCCATCTCCTTTTTTCAACGGACGAATTACATCGTTGAGCAGTTCTGAATTAAATTAAAATATATCGATATATTTCCCACAGATTGACTTACTGTGCCCAACGATTTGCTTCAATGACATTATTGTTTTGATTAGGAAACTGAGCCAAGTTCACCTGCAATAAGCATTTTTTTGAATATAACATATGGCTAATCTGTTCGTGCATTGATAACAGAAATAATGTCTATGGGAATTTCACATCTTAAGCGGCTTGCACTCTCCTGATTTTTGGCAAAAGTTGCACAAGAAACTTATGGAAAAATGGAGTTTGGTGGAAATGGGAAGAAGCAATTTTAGGCCTCTTGCGCGAGGAGCCAAAAATCAATAACATAGAAGGCCGAGACCCCTCGGAATGAAACAAGAAAGCAGGCAATATAGAGAGTGGGTATGTGCAAAACTAGCAAAAAGGAGTGTGCGAAACGAATAGCCACGATCTGCTCTTCTCATCGCCATGAACTCGCATTTTTTTTTGAAAATGCCACTGAAAGACTGCGAAGGGAACAAACCGAAATTGAATTTTAGACAAAATTTTGACTTATTTTTCTCTGGGATTCGTTTCGCGAATTCTAAAAAAAAATCCAGAAAATGGTGATAGATACTATTTGATAGATATCAAAAACTGAATAAAATAACCATAAACAGGAAGAGGGCTAGAGATATAGAGGAGCGAGAGATACAAAGAACTTTGGTTAGTCGATAACATGAACGATTGAACCGTCGAGAAACAGACACCAAACGATGAGACACAGAAACTAGTTTGTTAGTCTGTGGTGCGCCACAATCGACGCGAAATAACACATGAGTTTGGTGTTGCGAAATTTGCTGAATCACGCTTATTTATTTTAAAATTGGTTTTTTTTTCGCACAGGGAATTGTTATAAGGGAAACAATTTTTGAATAGATTGAAAATGTTCATAGAGAATCAAATATTGAAATGAATAAATTGAATTATTTAAAATAATGTAAAGAAATTCAGTTTTAAACAATTTTCATTTTATCAAGAAAAACATTTTTAATGGCTCCATACAGATATTGGAAAAAAAGTTAAAAAAAAAACCGGTAAAACCAACACGGAAGTTCCGAAAACCATATTCTAACTACAGAAAAAAAAACAGTTTTGAATGTGTTTTCAAACTATGCAGAATTTGAAAACACATATTTCAGCTTTGAGATTTATAGCGAGGTTACCTATTGACGAAAAAAACTTGTATCAAAAACTCAACTGTAGATGGCTCAATTTGACTGAAAGTCGTTTCCTCGATGTTTTCCTTAACAAATATTTAAATTTTTCCGCTTTATGAAATTGGACAAAATTGTAACTCTAACATACTTCTGAATATATAATTTCAATTATACTAATTGCAAGAAGAATTAGTACGGCACTATGAAAGCATAATTTTGATAAATCAAAACGCATTCCCATCAGTGCCCCATGGCTTTTTCAAATCAACGGGAACAGCTGCGCTATCTTGTGTAATACGTACGCCAATGAAAATAAGATGCGGATTCGGCAGTTTGAAGTGCCAGTCCAACAAAACTTGCTCTACGCTACATTTGAATCGCTTCATGTAAATGTCCGTCACAAAATCCCACCACAATCTTGATGTAGTAAGTTGCTTTGGCTTGAAATTAAAAATGCAATGAGCTTTTTCAGCGTAATGTAAACTAGTCAAAATAGTCATTTTCTAGCTTTAAATTTGACCAATTTTATGTGATTTCATTGTTTTTTTTTTCAAATGAGAACCTCAACAGTTTTGCAAACACTAAACTATTCAAAGACAATTCGTTTAGGTACATCATGGAATAGTATTGATTAGTGATGGAGGCTCATCATCACGCCCCTCAAGATTGCTGCTTTCAAAAGGTTCAACCAAATTGAAAATTGAATACACGTATAAAACATGTTTAGATGAATTGTGCATTCAAGTAATCGATGATGGAACTGCAGAGCCTGAAGAAATAAAGGAACCTCTTATGGAAAATTCAACACGACAAGTAACATTATGCAAAAAACCTGGAGCAGGATTTGGGTTGTCAATTAAGGTAATTTGAAATAGATTCGAATAGTTAATGAATCTCCAAGCAAAAAGAAAAGGATTTGAATTGTCAATCAAAAGGTGTTATTCATTAATACACCAATCCAACGCACGGATACATTTCAATCAAATAAGAATATATATGTTTTTTTTTGAAATGAAGGATAGAATCTCGAAATGAGAATATTCTGTGTTTAAGAGAAGAAAAAACTAGTAAATTTTTTTTTCAGGGAGGATCCGAAAACTCGCAGCATTTGCCAATAGTAATCTCAAAAATTTTTCCCGGACTGCCAGGTTTGTGTTTAATGTCAATTTAATGCACACATATATATCAAATTTCCGGCCGGTTAGTATCAAATTTGTCTCTAAATGTTTATTGGGAAATAAAAATACAAAATTGCAGCTGATGAATGTGGAGAATTATTTGTCGGAGATGCTATTGTTGAAGTCAATGGAACTTCAATTGAAGGTATTTAACAGATAGTGAGAAGAACAAGGATGAAAAATTTTTAGGTCAAAGCCATGATGAGGTGGTGAATATGTTGAAATCAAGCGGTGATCAAGTTACACTAGGTGTGCGCCACTACACCCATATGACGCCATTTCTGAAGTGAGAATTTCGTTTTTGTTTGACGCTGGATGGGAGGACGAAAAAAAATAAAACGAAAAGCAGATAGGAAGAAGCACGCGCACACGTCGTCCGATTTTTTTTTTGGTTCGCGTGGAGAAAACGCGAGAAACATAAAACTGACGGATTAGAATGTGCGCGAAACGCAATGAATGCTTTTCTCGGAGTCCGCATTTCGTATTCAGAAGAAATATGTAACGACGAGCAATGCTGATTTTTGAATGCATTTTTAAAGAGGGGAATTGTGGTCATTTCAGGCCGGCACAATCATTGCAACCAGATAGCACACTTGATCAGCTTTTTGAGCCAAAGAATTTGAGGGTTTGTATTTTGCTTTTTGCCATACATTAGTATTCAATTAGTACGCTTCGAAGCAAATAGAATTTAATTATATTTTCAGTCCAAAAAATCCACATCTGAAGTAGCGTTAGATTCAAAATGGGCTCAACTAGATGGAAGAGAAAAGAAATGGAAGACACTCACATCGCTTCCTCTTGCAATGGCATATGTTACCAGATACCTCTGGGGAACAGACAACATCAGGTTCTTTTTAATTTAGAGAGAGATATATATATATATAGAAAGAGAGAGTGAGAGAGAGAGAGAGAGAGAGAGAGAGAGAGAATAAGATAGAAATCTCAATTCAGGACAAATTCATTCGAAGTTCGAGCAGTAGATGGAAGATCATCGGGAATTGTGCACTGCCAAGACACCTCTGCGTTAGAACAATGGATTTCGCATATCACTAAGCATATTTTATCGTTGAATCATAAAAGTATTAAAATGAGCAACAAATATTTACATCAAAGTGAACAGGTTAAAAAAAACTTATCTTTAAATATCAACAAAAATTATTCTTTCAGATAAGTTATATTGGATGGGTAAATGAATATTTGAACGATGATGATCAGGATGAATTCAAAATTCGTTGGCAGCCAAGGTTTTTGATTTTGAAGGGAAGCGATGTGTGTTTTTTTGATGTTCCACCGGTAACATTGGAAGAATTTTTCATATTTTTTAATATTATTTAAAGCTGAACTCCGAAGACTTAAACAAATGTGTATACCTCTACAAATGTTACGATGTTGCTGTGAAAATGGTAAATGATGATGGAGATGAATCTCATAAAAATAATATTTAAGGTTCCAAATTCGAATCCGAGAAGAGACAAACGAGAAAATTGTTTTCTTGTTGAGACACCATTACCGACACCAAATCATTATTTATCGTTTGAGTCAGCATCAGCTTTCGATCTCTTTGAGCAGGCATATTATAGGACAGTGTACAACACGATCACACAAATGCAGGTTTGAGAATTCACCATTTAAAATTACATAAAATTGCAATAAATCTATAATTATACAGAAATGTATTTCAATCGTGTACGTACAATCAATTTTGAATGAATGTTCTTTCAAATAAGTTGTGTTATACTGCCAACGTTTATTATATAAGTGGCCATTTTAGTTTTGTGAGAAAAGCAAGTCATTTAGGAACACTTTCGAAAAAGTGTGAGGCGTTGTAACGAAAATTCAAAAGAAGGCGGTGTTGTTCATAATATTTCCATAGTTACACGTTAGCAATTTGTTTTGCAAATAATGGAAAAAAAAACTTCATAATATAGCAAATTCCAGTCTCGAACATTTGCTTGCAATTTTGAAGGAAGACCGAGCGGAATTGTGTTTGATATCAAACAAGGAATTAGCTTGTATGACATTCCAACGAAGGTAATAATGTTTTTGTTTACTTCAATGCACTACTGAACACTTTCAAGAGCTATATCTGGCAATATCGGTTTCGCGACCTCAACGCTGTAGCGGATGATGGAAAGCTTTGTGTTCAGCTGTCATTCCATGATGAACGATCATTGAACGCCGAGAAAATTGAAGTCAAGGTGAAGGAGTTTTATTAGTTTTTCCTTTCGTAATACTAGTTTTTCAGGATATCGAGTGTGAAGACGTCGTCACGATTGCCTTCAATCTTCACTCGTTTGTTCTTGCTAAAATCGTGTCAAGCGATCCGGATTACTTGAAGCAGAAACGATATGTAGGAAATGCCGAATAAACACACGTTTTTATTATAACGAATAAAATTACCGCGTATATACATTCATTCATATTTTTATAACTGAATAATAATAAAAATACGTATAAATTAACTGTGTTCATTTCCCGTTTTTTTCTCGTAACCGAGCTTGTCGTTTGTCAAACGGTATCATTCTGTTGCGGAACACTATCCACATCAATATAACAATAGAAAACTGCAATTTTTGTCTTCTATTAGTAGTGTGGCAAACAATAAACTAACCAATAGCATTGAAATTACCCAAGGGACTTTGGGACCATATAGCGTGTAAGTCGCGCTCATCATAATTGGTGCAGTTAGTCGGCCAACAGACCCAGACATTTGGTAAAAACCTTGATATGTTCCTTGAGGTCTCTGTCCGATAATTTTTGAAAACAATGTAGTGGTGGTAATATTCAAGATAGAAAACGCAGTACCAAACACTATTACATAACCACTGTAGTAATTCTGAAAATAAATCAAATCTCTGTGTTAATCTAGAACAGAATTATAGAAAATCACCCATATTGGAACACGAGTTAAGGTTTCACACCAATTATATTTTTGAGAATCACAGTCCGCATCACTACCTTAAAACTAAATTTCATAATATTATACTTATAAGAATTAACCAAACCGTTCACGGAAATTTTCACAGTTTGACTATAAAATGGGTATGGGTATGTTGAAACAAACCAAAATAATGAAATTGTAATAGAGAGTACGGTAAAGAGTCGCATTTTCAAACTGCAAATCGTTAAGATTAGCGCATAGGAAATTGCAGATTTACTATTTTCGGATGTTTGTAAATATAAAGGAGACATAAAGTAATGCTGCAATTACTCCACCAACGGTATGTGATATTGCATTCATTTCAACAGCTTCTTCTTTTTCGAATGAGAACATCATCATTGAATAAGCCGAACCAATGCTGAATTCATAAAATTACACTAACGTGATATTTAATAAAAGTTGATGGATCCTGTTTATAAAAAGAATAGAATTCTTTCAAATACTCAAATTTGATATTTTATTTTCAAATTTTAAATCAAAGCGTCGATGGCCCAGAGTTGAAATTATCGAATTAAAAAAAATTTTGGGCGATGAATTACACAAAACACTGCCATTAATATGTTAAACTGGTTACCTTTCTATCGTTGTCGTCAAGAATATTTGAATAAACCGTGTTGCAATGCAAACAAACAACGCCAAATTATCGGGACGGTCAAATTTCGATTCATTAACCTGTAATTTGTATAGAAAAAATAATTTGAAACCAGTTTTGTTTCATTTGTGCAAGTAGTGATTTTCCAAAAAAGGAAGCACATTGCGAAATCGAAGCGCACACCAGATATTTCATCATTGGTGTTCTTTAGCAGGCGGCCGCTTGGATTAACCGAATTTCGGCCGGCATAATATTTATTGTCTTTCAATGTTCTTACCTCTCCATCGTCCGAATTTGTTCGCTTCATACTTGTATTTTTTTCGTTGAACAGAAATATCACAATTGAAAGACCAAATATATTCAGAATCAGACAAAATAGTGCGGGTGAAGTATAAATACTGAGATTAAATCCAAGAATGTCTACACCTTCCGCTCCAAGTGTTGAAAATAAAATTTGAAGAGCTGTAATAGCAATTTAATTCATTTCAAATTAACATTTTTTCACCCGGTCCTAGCATACTGCCCAAAGCAATTCCACCGGAAACAAATGCAATGGCTCGCGACCGATCGTGCGAATTTGAAGCAGTTGACACATAAGCGCGTAATAAACTCATGTTACCTTAAATAAACACAATTTTCATGTTATAATTATTTTTAACCATGCCTGTTCCAGCTCCTGCAGTGAATCTCGCCGCCATCATTACGTACAAATGGTAATTATTCCAGAATTGCAAACTCAAATAAAATAAATTTCCAAAGGCCATTATACAAAATCCGACAATTAAAGGTAATCGAACCTTAAGCGTCTTGTATTTTAAAATTATGATTATAACACAACACCTCTTTAATTTTATTACTCCAATATCCAAACAATGGTGAGCATACACATTGTGAAAAACTGTAAAGCGCAACAACTATTCCAAAGTCATTTTGTTTTACGTCATGTTGAAGCTAAAATTGATGGTTCAACCACTGAAAACATTTCACAAACCGTTAGTATATAAGGCCACATTGAAGCGAAAAAGATAGAAAATTGAGTTGATTGAAAAATGGCACATAATCCAGCAATGTAAATTGAAGACCATGCCGTTTTCTCTGTTGTTTTCTGTGAATTTTTCATATGTGAGAATCAAAATAACCGCTTACCGGCAGCATTGGCGTTGCTGGATTACTGTGCACATCGAGAGTCATAGTGATAGCGCGTCACACCTGATTTATGCTAATCCACAAAGTTTTTATTCCCTAAATTTATTGTCGGTTCATTCCGATTACAATTTTACTGGAATTGTTTTTAAAGGTCGAAAAAAGGAGGACGTTATAAAACATTTTTTTCAAGTTAAAAAAATTATTAATTCACTTCATTAATAGTTTCTTTAACGATGTGTTACTGTTAACTTTTGTAAAAATATAATAAATCATTAAAAAATGCTTAATAGCCAAGAACAAGAATTTATATAGACATGTTGTTCCATTTAAAACTTTTTTTGGACATCGCAATGAAAATTACAATGAATAAGCAAAAAACATCTCCTGTTAGCTCTCGAGCGCAAGGCAAATATTTCATTTTGCTCTTACGTGTTTATTTTCGCCATTTTGCCCGGTAGATTTGTTCAGCGAGAACGTATAGGTTTCCTCAGACGCTGTTCGCCTAGTGCTTTTCTTCGAACATAAAATGATCGTAATACGCTGACTCATATACACATTGTGACCATTGTCGTTGGGGAGGTGTCCAGAGAAAAGAAGATCGGAAGCGATTCTTTTTTTCTCCTTTCATGTCTGTACATCAAACCGTATCAAATTTGTCATTTTCTTTTACTATGTTTCAATTGTCACATTATTTTATTTATTTATAAGTGTCGATTTCAGGTGTTTGATGATAATTTATTTGCTATGTGTTATAGGACTACCTTTGGGATATTTAAACGCTAGTTTTTTACACAATGTAATTGTAAGCAATTAGTCCGCTAATTTTAAAAGTAATATTGAATTTATGATTATTAAAGAATGAAGATGTGGAAACGGAAATTAGTGATTGGAGTGAAGCCAAAACTGATGGAAAAACTCGAATTATCGATTTCTTAATTGGGTTTGATTCTTCTTTAGTACGATCAATGTACACGTAAAGTGTTATGGGCCATTTATTGCAGACCAGGTATTATAATTATGATGAGGAATTGATCAAGTCAGCAACTGTTACATTAGCTCATACAATTAATCAGGTAAATCAATGAGATAGAATTATTTTTAATAGACAATTCTTAGTATTTTTATCCGCTCAACATAAAAGTGTCAATTGTGGACATTGTGCCAATTAAAGGAACAAACATGGGACTGGATGACTTCATTGAGTGGAGAAAAGAGCAGAGCAACATTGTGAGTGCACTTTTTTAGAAATATGTATGCTTCTTAAACAACGTGTAATCATTAGAAGTTTACGGTTTCAAGTGTATTTTTGCTAATCTTTTCAGAATTTAATGGTAATATGACAGTAATAAAAGTACATAACCTCACATCCGTAATGAGAAGCTAAAAGAATTCAATAATTATTAGGTTACGCATGACGTTGTGGTTCTTCTACGCCATAACTACGAAGGAGGAATAGCTTACGGAAACGGTATTTGCACAAAAAATAGTCTAATAATCTCGGGGGTAATTGTGATAAAAAAACCCATAAAAACGTAATAAAATTGGCTTCAGTTTTTTCCTGAATCAACAATGAACAATGCATGGGTGCTCATACATCAAATTGCCCACGTCGTTGGATTGACTCACACGCAAAAGTTTGATTGTCATTGTAGCGAGTCAGTTCCCGAGAAATGTTTGAAAATAAGGTGAGCAGTAAATCATCGAACAAAGCTTCACATCATACACAATTCGTGGTTTAGCGGAGAAGAAGAAAAATGAAAGATTGCTCAATATATTTTTATTTGCAGAGGTTTCCCTCCATGCAGCGTTCAGGGAATGGTTGACAAAATGCAGAAGCATCAATGCCTCTTGGAAGAAAACTCAACAATTGCGAGCAGTTTGACAGTTAGACGGTCATCGTTGCCCATTTGTGGTAATGGATTACTGGAAAAAAATGAACAATGTGATTGTGGACCTGAAAAGTGAGAAATTATTTATTATGAATATATTTTAGTTGTAAAAAAATATGATGATGTAAGAGAACCAAAAATCAAAATGTTCGAATTAATAGTCTTTTCAATTCTCAAATTTCATAATTCAATTTCATAAATAGCAATGACACACAAATATTAATAAAACGAACATGTATGAAATGTACAACTTTGTATATATACATCTATTGTTTAGGTATTGTGATAACGTCTTATGTGATCCACACCGATGCCAGTTCATTCTCGAGAAGAAAATAATCAATTTTGTAATAACATTTTCTGTAGCGTTACTATGTTTTATAGCTTTATTAATCACATGGTAAGCATGTTTCAAATTTTTTTAGCAAATTAAAGGCTTCAGGAAAATTACAAATCGATATATCCGTAAATTATTGAAAAAACAGAAAACTAGAATTCCTGATGAAACTAACGAAATTGAAAAAGGTAAGAACAATGAGTTTCAAATTGTATTTTTTTCCAAAATTTTCAGATAAGGAAGAAACTGTTGCGTGTACTTCTCCAAATAGAATCCACGTTGTTAAAATGAGGGAGCCAACAGTTATCGATTCACCAATTCCTCTAACCAGATGGTCTGCAAGACTAAGCGATCTCTATATGCCAATGAGGCCGATTAGCCGATTTTGGGAGAAATTCAAGCCACCAGGGAAAGATAATCCAGCCGCACAAATTTAACGAAGACAATTTTGTTTTTCTGTAACACGGGTTTAGACATTCTAGAAGCTTTATTCATATAAATCTTTCAATTCTATCCTACTTGACATTGATGCGCCACATCGAAAATTGAAAGTTTTTCATCGCCACTTAATGAGTCGTCCTGATGGAAGGCGGATGGATAAAAACCCTTAGAAGAAATGAAAAAACCTGCCATTTGAACAAAAAGTTCCATGCCGACATCAATCACATTTTTACTGTCGTGTTTGTTTCTAATAGAAATAAGGTCTGGTTGCTATACTGAGCCTTCTGATTATTTATTTATTATCAAATCGTCTTATTACAACACCGAGGATCAATGGAAAATTGTGAAAGAGGCAACCAGTAAAGTTGCAAGTTTGTTAGACATTGGAAGATCGGAACAAGTAACCAATCCCCGAATTTTTTCCAAGCTACATAAAATATTGTTGCAGAGTTCCAGAATGGCCGTAGCTCTTTTTGATAATTTCAATCCACCTAAGCTTGTTATCGATTTTCAAACATATGGTCGTTCTTCTGACTTAAAAACTGCATTATACAATCTTCCACTGCTTCCGTGTGGATCTTGGTGTAGCGGACAGCAGCAAAAATCAGATATTGAGGTTTGACTTAAAATATATTCTCTGAAAAAAAAAGAAGTTTCCAGCAACTGATTGGAATTATGCCAAGAGTCAACTTTACAAGGCACACACATATAATTTTGATAGCTTCACATTACCTTGATACTACCCAGCTTCAGTTTTTGTTCAGTACAGGGGCAATGCCTGTGATTCAACAGTTCTTGTTGCCACAGACAAGCAGAATTGTCACATATGATTCACCGTATTATAACTATTTCTATGCCTATTATGACCAATACAGAAGGTTGTTGCATTTCTGATTTGAATAATATTAAAATATTAAAGATACGCGAGCCGAATTCATCAGATTTATCCGAACATCAATGTGCAAGTGCCTCAGAACACATATCCATATATTACTGCTCGGCAAGCCCAGGAAACGAGGCACTTTTTTTTTAGCTTTGCCATCTTAAGCGATTTTAATTTTCAGTTGGGCTGAAAAGACGTGTTATGAAATCATTGGTTGCCAGGAGTGTATGCATTCAATTCAAACTTCATCAATTATCGATAAACCCAACGAAATTGTAACTGTCCATTCTGGTGATTCATCGAAGTGGAAAGACAGCTCCTTGAAAGTATAAAAGTGTTCAAACGCAATTTTTATGAATAACGGTTTATTTTAATAGGAATTTCCGGTAAATCTATTAGAAACATCGAGTGCCGCTTCTTCAACTCATCCTACAACCGATATGGATTATGAATACGAAATAACCGCCGATCCACCAGGAAGTGAGATCTAGAAAAAAATGTTAATAAAAACAATGCACTACAAATTTCAGTGAAAATCAATAAAACGCCATTGAAAGATTCTGTTAAAGAAAACAATGTCGAAGACTTTGAAATAATTTAATGTGTACTTGTATTCAATTTTATTCGAATCACCTTGTAAAATTATAAATCGTACTGAATCTATTCATGATGATACCAAAATAGCGCCGGACGGAGATGAGACGCAGATATTCGCTTGTACGTCAATTGTTCACCCTGACCTACATCACGTTGATTCCCCCTCCCCCCCCCCCCTTTTTGACTTGAAATTTGACTTTATCCTATTCAACTTTTTTTGTTATTAATATATTTTTGTAATTTTAAAATGAAATATTCTAATTGCAGAACTTTTCCCATTTTATTATTAATTTAAAAATTAAAGTCAATGTACACAAGTTGGAGTTGGAAAATATGGAGTACAATTGGAGTACTTCTAAGCCTCATATTTATTGATATTCCATCCGACATTTATAGATTTTTAACATTGAGACAGAAGGTTTTATCTAAATAGTTTTTTTGTGATTCTTGAACCTCTCCATTTAGGACGTGAAAGGACAAACCATTATAATTACCGGCGGTGGGTCTGGATTGGGGAAGGCCATGGCAATTAGTTTTGCAAGAAGGAAAGCAAAAGTTGCAATAATTGATGTCAATAAGGTAATTTTATTAAAATTGTTACAAGTGTTCGGTTTCATATTAGGAAGGTGGAGAGGATACGGTTGGCATCATCACCAAAGAAAACAATTCAGCAAAATTTTATAATTGTGATATAACGGATACAGGAAAAATGAAAGAGGTTGCTGAAGATATTTATAAACACTTTGGTAAATTATTTTAAAATTTGATTAGAAAAATACCAAATATTATAGGAGACGTAGATATTGTAATTTGTAACGCTGCAATTCTGTCATTCACATCGTTTATGGAAATTTCCAATGAGCAACTTCGAAAATGTTTGGATGTGAACATTTTTGGAACAATTAATGTCAGATTTCATTCATTTAACCGAATTTCAGAAATACGTTTCAGACAATTAGAACATTCCTTACTAGAATGGAGGAAAAAAATTCAGGTCATATTGTATGTGTGTCGTCTATTGCAGGTTGGTCCGGTGAAACAATGGGATTATCCTATTGGTACGATTTATTCCCATTTTCTCTTTACATTCGCATTTCTTTTACAGTACGAGTAAATTTGCTGTTCGTGGTGCCATGGAATCTTTACAAATGGAACTTAGAGACCGCGGGCTTGACGGAATCAAATGCACAACTGTACTTTTTTAATCCACGAAATGTCTATTCAAAGAATATTTTTCAGCTTTATCCTTATTTCGCAAGAACTCCGATGATTTTGGGCAACAAAATGAGGCCAACATGCACGTAATAGTGTTTTTCACAATTTCTCCCCTATTCTCATTTACAGATGGTTCCCATTTATGAGTATTAACTCATGCTCCGGAAGAATGGTGGACTCCATTCTTAAAGAAAAGGTCAATGCTTTCGTTCCGTCGTATATTACTCTGGTTCCTCTAGTGAAGGGGTATGTTTACCATCGATGCTATCAATGGCATTGGCTGCGTAGAACGCAGTGCGTTGACTATTCGTTGTTGTTTTTATTTTCATATTTCATTTTGTATTTTCCTCATCGTCATAGTCTTATATTCTATTCGCAAATTTGTTATTTTGTTTCAATCAAACAATTGTCATCTGTCAACACAAAAACAGTTTAATTTGACGTTTGTTTTTTCAGTTTGTGTTCATACAACGTGCTCAAATCGCTTCGAGACTATTTGGGAATTAAATATACACCAACCGATCCGTCACTTTGTAAGCTAAAACTCGTTGAAATGGCGGAATATTTTCGCTCGCCTCATCTTGGTTGGTGGATGGTAATTGTTCCGGGACTTATTATCAATTACGTAAGATTATCGATTCCATGGAAGAACGAATAGATTTTAAATATATTGCAGCTTGCTTATGCTAACCCAAATTTGCTTCAACCATTTCCTGTGATTGGACAAATTGCTGCCAACATTGGGAAAAATTATCATAACATAACGATTCTCACGAATCTTTTCGCTTTGGCTGCACATGTTGGAGAAGCTTTATATTCATTAAAACTTTGCAAACAATCAAATCTTGGGTCAGTTTCGTTTGATAGTTTTCTCAATTATTGATTGATTTTTTGTTTACAGTTTTGCCAGCACTGCAAAATGGTTCATTCAAACCTTCATCGTCGGTTTCCCATCCCTTTCAATTCTCAGGGCATACACCATTAAGCAATCAAAGAGACGCTAAATTATTATTATATGTTTTGCGAATAAAAAAATTAGTCTTGGTATTGTCAAGAACCCGCACTTGCCTCTAGGAAAGTGCGCCCTGTGGGACACGCACAGTTTGACCACAACATTTTGCGCGACTCGGTGCACTATATAAGGATGATCGACATCAGGCCGCTCTCATTCTATTTTGTTTTCTGCCAATATTTTTCTTGTTGTTTTTAGTTTCAGTGGCCTGAGTTGAACTTCGACGAATTTATCATTTCACTTGTTGCACGTTTCCAGACACAAATGTTTCACCGAGCAACTGTTTTTTTAAAGCTATTCATTTTGTTTGTAAACGTGAAAGGCAAACTTAGACGAAATTTTCAACATGTTTGTCCAAATTGATTCATTGATATTGATTCCTCCAGTCATCAGAATAAAACAATTTTTAATTGCGAGTAGAATGTTACAATGGCAAACACAACGAAGTTGATCATTGGGTGTGTGTGTGTGTGTGTGTTCAGAGGGCGAATACGTGCGTTTTGCGAGAAAGGGACGACCTCGCGGACCCTTCAACATGCCAACTGCGCTTCTCTCTTTTGACCAGTGGAATAGAGAAAAATGCAAGTGGCGTGCAATAGGAAGAAACTTCAAGCGTCTGTTGCCGTGTAATTTTATTTTATTTTGCGTTTGGCTCAAATCTTTTGCATTTCGTTTTCTGTTGTTGATAAACCGCGCGAATCGGTTTTTTGATGGCCAACTCCAACAAACAACCAATTTTCTCTTATCAATCAAATTGATCGAACTCTTATCATGTCGGGATACGTTTTCTCGTGTTTTTCATTTGCCTTGTTACGTGTTGCTAGAATATAGTTTAGTTTATTCTAATTCATTTCAGGGAAGAAAAGCCATGCTTCGTGCAGTTTCAAGCCTTCGCGTAATCAACAGCTTTGCTGTACAGTCGCATCGCGGTGTCATCAGCGCAGCTCGCCATGACTTGTAAGTTGTAAGTTGTAAGCTGTAGTTGTAAGCTGAGCTGTTTATTAAAATTGATCGCATTGAACTTTTTCAATTTAAGACCACCAGATAACCGTGAGGGCAAGGAAATTTACACCACTGTTGGAATCGACTATGATGAGCCGAAATTCGACAAAATCCTCATTGCCAACAGAGGTATCACATGATGGCGATTAAATATAAATTTAAATTGGAAAACTTTTCTTTTCAGGAGAAATCGCTTGTCGTGTTATCAAAACTGCACAAGCTATGGGAATCAAGACCGTTGCGGTTCACTCGGACGTCGACAGCAACTCACTTCACGTCAAATTGGCCGATGAAGCTGTTTGTGTTGGTGAGGCGCCAACTGCCAAGTCCTACCTTCGTGCGGACCGCATCCTTCAAGCTGTCGAAGAAACTGGAGCTCAAGCTGTGAGCGAATAGAAAGATGCCCTATATAAAAGAAACATTTTTACACAGGTCCATCCAGGTTATGGATTTCTTTCTGAGAACACCAAGTTTGCGGCTGAGCTCGAGAAGGCGGGAGCCAAGTTCATCGGTCCAAACTCTAAGGCCATTCTTGATATGGGAGACAAGATTCACTCTAAGAAAATTGCTACTGCTGCTAGAGTAAGCCTAATAACTATCGCATGACTTTAATACATTTTAATTTTAGGTTAACATGATTCCTGGATATGATGGTGAAATCGCTGATGAAGACATGTGTGTCAAGGTTTCTCGCGATATTGGTTATCCAGTTATGATCAAGGCTTCCGCTGGTGGTGGTGGAAAAGGAATGCGTATTGCCTGGAATGACAAGGAGGCGAGAGAGGGATACAGACTTTCTAAGCAAGAGGCTGCTTCTTCCTTCGGTGATGACCGTATGCTGGTTGAGAAGTTCATCGACAATCCAAGACACATTGAGATGCAGGTAAAAACGGAAATATGCTCAATTAGCATAGGAAATTATATTCTCAGGTTCTCTGTGATAAACACGGAAATGCTATTTGGTTGAACGAGAGAGAGTGCTCTATCCAAAGAAGAAACCAAAAGGTTATTGAAGAGGCGCCAAGTAGTTTCGTTACTCCGGAAATGAGGAAGAAGATGGGAGATCAAGGTTCGTTTTGTAAGTCGTATCGTTGAAAGTAGAATGTTTTAGCTGTCCAACTTGCCAAAGCGGTCGGATACGATTCTGCCGGAACAGTTGAATTCTTAGTCGATTCGCAAAGAAACTTCTATTTCTTGGAAATGAACACCCGTCTTCAAGTAGAAGAGAGTCAGATGATGATATCAACAATAATTGAATTTAGGTCGAGCATCCAATCACGGAATGCATCACCGGAATTGACATTGTCCAGCAGATGCTTCGCGTTTCATATGGACACAAGCTTCCGGTCACACAAGATCAGGTTCCACTCAATGGATGGGCCTTCGAATCTCGTGTCTACGCAGAGGATCCATATAAGGGATTTGGACTCCCATCTGTTGGTCGCCTTTCAAGATACGTTGAGCCGAAGCACGTCGAAGGAGTCCGCTGTGATTCTGGAATTCGTGAGGGTTCTGAAATTTCTATTTACTACGATCCGCTTATTTGCAAGGTGATAGTGAACAACATTAAATAATAAATGAATAGTTTTCAGCTTGTTACCCACGGAAAAGATCGTAACGAGGCTCTTAACAGAATGCAGGAAGCATTAGATAACTATGTTATTCGTGGTGTCACCCACAACATTCCTCTTCTCCGTGATATCGTTCAAGAAAAAAGATTCCGCGATGGAAACATTACTACCAAATACCTTACAGAAGTTTACCCAGAAGGATTCCAAGGAGCTACCCTTTCCGAAGCTGAGACCCACACCGTTCTTGGATTTGCTGCCGCGTTTAACGCCCGCAAGCTTGCTCGCTCCAACACTTTCTTAAACCAGGAACGGCAGAAATCCAACTCGCAAAACTCTTACCACAAAACCTACAAGTAACAAATTATGATGAGATATTTAGTAGTACCGTTTTTATTTCAGATTTGTCGTTTCATTGCCAGCTAAAGAAAACGAGAAGCCAGTCGAGCACAAGGTCGAAGTTTCCTTCAAGCACGGAGACCCGAAGAAAGTTCGTGTCATCATTGACGGAAAGAAGGTTAAGATTGAGGGAGACACCAATCTTGCTAAGCCAACCAACTCGTTGTCTGTCAACGGAGAACACGTACGAATCATTCATGTAAAAACAAATTAAATGCGATATATCCTAGGTTGTTACCCAAATTGTTGGAAAACGAGCTGGAGAAATCACTGTCTTGTACAAGGGATCTCCATTTAAGGTCAAGGTTCTTCCAGAGCAAGCCGTTCAGTACTTGAAGTACATGAAGGAGAAACCAAAGGTTGACTTGTCTAGCGTTGTGCTTTCTCCAATGCCAGGAGCCATCAAAAACGTAAACGTGAAGGTAGGAGTATGAAGTTAAAAAAAATATACTGATTATTTGTATCTGTATTCATTATAGGTTGGAGATATGGTCAGCGAAGGACAAGAATTGGTCGTGATGGAAGCCATGAAGATGCAGAACAGTCTTCATGCTGGAAAGACAGGAAAAGTTAAAGCCGTCAATGTGAAAGTCGGAGGAACCGTCGATGAGGGAGAAGTTCTCGTTGAACTTGAATAAATGTATAGAAAACACACACACACGATTAATTTTTCGAAATCATTTGTATTTTTCAAGTATTACGGTATTTTTGTTTAAGCCAATTTATTTATACAAATGCCTTTATTGTGTTTATTTTTCCAACCTCAGCGTGTGAAGTCTACGAATGCCATATTATTATTTTTTTCCTGTAGAATGAATTATTTAACGAGACGAGATTTGTAGTAAAGAATTCATCGATCTCTTTGAATCTTGGAAAATTTCAATGTTATCAGTATGTTTAACCGGCAGTTGTTTACACTTTGCAGACGCGAAATGATGAGAGACGCACTTTTCGTGATATAGTGTAGTTTGATAATAATTATTGCAGTAATCGATCTGAAATGGGCTTTGAAACTTATGAAAACATATTTTTTGTTTATCAATCTCAAAATTAATACAATAACAAGAAAACAAAAACGCTCTGAAAAATATTTTTCACTATTATGCCAATAATAATATGCAGACAGGGACGATCCACAAGTGATGGGATTAAAAATTTTGAGAAACAGAAATTACATTCAAGCAGCGAATTATTTGTTTGATTTCTTCTGCCTAATTTCGTTCAATACTTTTTTTATACGCAGCAGGATTTTGGTATTTTTTGCGAATATTTCAATTCGATGCTTAGCAACCACAAATTTTCTGAACGCAATGTCACATTTATATACTTTTTCCACTTTATATCTTTGTTCATTCAATCTATGCACCGTAATAACAAGGAAAAGGTAACATATTGACATCAAATGAATAAAATTTCATCTTTTTTTCAAGTCTTCCAATGCTCACAAGTTTTATGAAGAATGGATGGACTACAAAGTTCCTGAACGAAGAGCTTCTACAACAACTACACAAACAGTTTCAAGCATCAAATCTGGAAAATATAAGCTCTATGATGAGTATAACTCAAAATTGGCACAAACACCTGTAGCTTCGTGATTAATGCAAATGCGTTTTATGTTTTTTCAGACAATTGCTTCTACTACACCGCCGCCGCCGCCAGTTGTTACTACTCCTCCAAAAATGAAACGTCAATGTTTGATAAATTTTCAGTCACTCAATATTTTTTTTTAAATATTTCAGCTCTACCTGTTATCCAGCCGATCAGAGAAAAAAGAGGAAAATCAAGTAGCTCACGCGGCAGCAAACCAATTGATTTCGATAATTTGGATGATGAGGTATGAACAATATTTCATAAATTATTGTGAAATTCTGAATGAACCCAAAAGGAGAAACATTTTGATTTCTAAAATTCTTTCTCATTGTCCTAGAAGTTAGTTTTAAATGAACACATGATTAATGGCAGTTACCCACTGACATTCGTCCTGAATTTTTTTTCCAGATCGAATCAGAATATTTCTTTTATCACCCTTTTTCATTGTTGCCAAGGGTTAATTAATATTATTAACCCAAAAAATTAATCGCGACGATAAAAAACTTCTTCAAAGTATTACCATTGTATATTGGAAGAAAATGCTGTATAATGTGATTTTCAAAACATGAAAAACGAGATTTACAGACTTTTTCCAATTTTTTCAGCTCAAAGCGAGGATCCGGAAAGATTTTGGCCCATTTTACAAATGGGTGAGAAATGGTCGAACAGACGATTTGAAGCGAGAAATAATTGAGAAACTTTTATTTAAATAAACATTAAATTTAAAGAGATTCGCAGGCAATATTATTGAAAATTTGTTTGTATATACAACACAAAAAAGAACGAAATGAATACTGTCTCGGAACAAAGCGCTGAGATATGTGCGAGAACAAATAAATATTCGAAATGGACGATTTAAATGCGCCTCTCATAACCGTATGTAAGGAAAAGCCTGAGAAAATGTATCTCAAGAATTCAGAATCACCAAGAATTCAATGACAAATTGATCTTGAGAATTAGTTGACTAGAAGTTTGGAGAAGAATGAATGAGAGATTGCAAGTGGAGATGAACATTAGCGAAAGTCGGTCGACGAGCAGCATCATGATTCCAGCAAGGAAGTATTTGTTCTTTGTACAGCTTCGTTGGGCAAAGCGACGGTTTTGAAAGAACTTGCTGAAACAGAATGGTCAAACATAGACTTAAATTATGAATATTACCTTGAGGCAACCAGTGGCATTCATGTTCTGCAAATTTTCGACAACTTCGTCATCGGTGAGATTGGAATAAGGCTTTTGAGCACAGAGCGAGAACACTTCCCACATAGTAACTCCGAATGCCCAAACATCACTAGCGGTGGAAAATTTGCCCTGGAAATAATTACCAATTAATATGTCACGTTTTAATATCATGTCATTACCATTAATAACGCTTCCCATGCCATCCAACGAATTGGAAGCACAAATTTGCCCTCAACTTTGTAGTACTCTTGTGAGTACAATGATCGCGCCATTCCAAAATCGGCAATTTTGACATTTTCTTCTCCATCAACGAGGCAATTTCGAGCAGCAATATCGCTGCAATTTATAGTTTGTTTTCTTTTCTGCACATAGAGAGAAGAATATATGTAAAAAGGAAGCAATCAAATGCCAAACGACATTGGAGAAAAACTAACCGGTGGACGAAATAGCACGATTCGAGGTATGAAAGACCGGCAGCTAATTGAGTAACGATAGAAATGCATTGTGGGGTGCTGAAATATCATTATATCAAGTTTGAAAGGTATATTCTACTTACTCGATTGTATGATTTTTTATGATGTAAGATTTCAAATCCCCATTTTCCATATACTCCATTATGCAGAGTACTGGTTTCTGGATGGTGCAAACTCCGATAACTTCTACTACATTTGGATGTTTTAAACTTCCTGTAGATAATTTCATTGTATTTCACTCAAATATGTGAATTCCTACCTAACACACGTATTTCTCGATGGAACGCGTACTCATCGGCTTGGCTGATTCCATGAAGTCGTTTAACAGCCACTTTGCGATTCTCCAACTGACAAAGATCCACTTCTCCAAATTCGCCTTGCCCAATTCTGCTAACGTACACCAACTTGTCACGAGCAATTTCGGGAAGCGTGGTGCAGTATACTTCTCCATAATCCGAGTATTTGACGAGTGAGGACAATGGGCTGCTGGAACGATGTTATGAGATTTACATTATTTCTCATTTGTCAAACTTTCTCTTTTGAGTATCGTATGGTCCATCAATACCGTAGAGTAATGGTGTGTTGACCGTAGCTTCCGAGCAACTAAAATATAAAAAGGTCAATCATTCACTGTTTGCCGAATGAATCGGTGCGCGAAACTACAAACTATTCATACTGTAAATGTCAAAACTATCAAAACAATAAGTACGCGTCATTTTTGTATTTTCGTTAATGGCAAAAGAAACTCTTACATGCTAATGTCCGGTTCTGCATAATCGCTAATGATTGGTGACATTGGAAGCTTTTCAATAATAGCGTTCTGAAGATTATCGCGAGCCATTTGATAAGTTGATGGCGAAACGTGATGTTTGATGGTATTGCCGTCGATTGTTAATAGAATTTCCCGTTTGTTGTTCGGTGATGGCGACGTTGCCTTCACACGGTCTTCACGTCGGCGGTAGACGAAGATGACAACAATTATTGAAATCGTTAGAATCGAAAGGAAGAAAATCACAAAAGCTGAAATAATTATGTCTATTTGACCTAATCAAAATAGAATTATTTTAGTTACCAAGCATTCCAGTTCCTTCGTCATGTTCTGAAACAGAGAAAAACGAGACTGTGTCTGGAACCATAATATCATCGTGCATCAGCTCAACATTTGTATGGTTGGATTCGAATGATATTTCAGACAGAAACATCCAGTCAGCTCCCGGGCCAAAAGTAAAGCGCATCTAAACGTTTCGTTTTTTTGGATTACATTAGTTAGAAATCTACTTTTATAAACTTGGCGATTCTGTATTCAACCGGAACTTTGATCCATCTGGGCTTCTCGCTCTCATTATCCGGCACAGTTTCAAATCGCATCGAAGCATGAGAATAATCTTCGCCATTATTTGAAAACAAAATGGTGACAGCAGAGAACATTCGAGCATTTTTGCTGAACTCGTTTGCAGTGTGAATAAGAATTGCAGACACATTTCGAGATTCCGAAAATTCAAATGCTAATCGAACATGAACTAAAGTAAGAATATTGTTTTCCTGTTTACTTGATAATCCCTCACCATTTCTCTTTCTTTTCCATCCCACCCATTTGTGATGATTCACAAACACATTTGTCTCACCAAGTTTGGTGTCGTATAACTTTCCGATGCCGCCTTTTAAATGAGGCGAGTTTGAAAAATCACCATCGTACGAGAAATCGTGATAAGAAATTGCCGCCTGCATATCGCCTTGATCGACATCGTAAGATAAAATGGTATCTACAATACGGAAGGTTACACGTGCCGATCACAACTAGTCACACCTTCATATGGACATCCGAATAATTCAACTCTCATGCACACAGTTCTTGTAGTGTTCGACACTGGCACAATTCGAATGCGCCTTGCAATAATTGCGCGATCAAGGTTCCGTCTGACAGCGTTCTTGGTATCATTATTGGCGGGAATTGTCTAAAATTAATTGTAGGAGTCGTCAACAACATATGGGTTCCTTTATTATGAAGTGCATTGTTTTTGGGAATTGTTCTGTCGACTAATTGTGGGAACTACCACACTTCGCCCCCCTGGGATTCGTATTTGCTACATTATTTGAGATACATTCATATATTAATACCAAGTCGCTTCTTTTATCGGTGTTCAGTGGCGCGTGTGAAAGTCAACATGGTAATAAGAAGGTTAGGTGGTAAGCCGACTGGATTAACCGCGGCGGCATTTGCACAACTAAAAAGGAGATGAACCTCGCCGCTTCCCTACTATTTTCGGATTGACCCTTCCTCCGATTTAATGGTGCAGTGGTCATTAGACGAACATCCCATCCAGATATTATTGCATAAAAGGCGAAACGATCCCGCCAATGACTGTCGGTGTTTTCATTTTCTTCTCCAAGACTGTTATGTAAGCAATTCAACTAGCTGGCGACATATGCGCACTCGGACAATGCGATATGATCGTGTCTTGTGAACAGATCAGATCTCTCAACAAGTGGGTGGCAGATGTATTGTCAGTCAGTCATTCGGTAGTGCACACTTACAACAGCGCCTAATCCCTTCATTTTCACACGAACGCGTGCTATCGCCGAGATGTCAAGTACTCGGTTATAATAGATTGAGGAGCATTGAAAATGCAAAATTTCAACCAATTTTGAAGCTGTTTTAATGATTTCAGCCACTTTTGGAATACTGTATATGGATGGCAAAATTGCTTCCAATTTGTAATACAGCCAATTCCCCCATTCGACCAGTACTGTGATGAATTGACCACAATTCTCACCGTGGTGTGCCATTCATTTCGATCGTTAATGGAAATGCGCGCGATTAAGAAAACGGATAACCTTGTAATAAATCCCGGGACCAATAACTACTGTTCTCCGTCTATTCAGACACTGGCGTTTGTCGAATTATTATTCAAATCAGATTTGCCGCATTTATGTATACGTGACGGACGACCTGTCAACGGCAAAACAACCGTTCGGCGGTAACACAATCCCAATGTTTGCCACGAGACAAACAATTGAAAAGAAGTTGCAATACCGACAAATGGGACTGACTGGCACATAGCGCTTGTTATAAATCACGATAATTGCTTAGAATATTTAATTAGAGCTGACGAATAAAAGATCAAAAGGGAGAAGACGAACCTCAAGCTCAAAATTGTCTTTATACGATGCCCATGCATTAAGTGAAGGTCGCCAGTACTGAATTCGATATGCTGTTGCGTATTCCATACCGCGTCCATTGTCATATCGACCTTGAGTTTCGATTCCAGTAATAACTGAAAATGTGACGGAATTTCAATCAGCAAATTATTTCGATTAGTACCCATATCCGATCCGAAAGTAATCTGGAGCCATTCTTTGCTCAAGGCGTTTATTTGATGTTTTGGGCACCACGCGCCGCTACCGGATTCCTGATATGCTCTAAAATAATTAATCTAATTATATCGTAATTAGTGACATCCGTTTATTCCGCAAAACAACAGGAAATGTCACGTCCGTCCTCATCCCTTTTACACTTTTATGGTAACATTCGCAATACTTCAAATAAATGAAGCCTTCCGCTCGGGTTTTTTGTGTGCCGCTTTTTTCGATATACTTTTTTGGAGTATCTTCTCATGACGCCTTGGGGCTTTTGGTGGCAAATAAAGACCTCCCCACTCTACCCGCTCCTTCTCGTCTTCCCCTTTCGTTCAACACATTGCATGGGAAGTATAACTATGGCAAAACAATCTAAATCGCTCATTGAAGCGTCAACGTATGTTCGCCGCACTGATGAAGCATCGGGCCAATTTCATGATGAACGGACGACACTTCGTTTGCGAAAATTGCTAATTTGGCACGAGAGATCTCACACAGCGGCAAAATTCTTGAGTTGCCAACCAGATGAGCCTCACCCCTTCCCCCGGTCTCCTCTTAAACCAGATTAGCGGCCAGAGACTAGAGGAGCGCAACTCGAACAGACATGCTAATACATTTCATTAAAATTTCATCAGGAAGTTGTGGGATACGAATTCGAAATGAAATAAATTACGTACCTAGCGTGTTGAGGCCCGGTGCTCTGCAAATCGTAACTCGAAGATGCCGAAATTTGTTCGTTTTTAATTTTCTGATTTGACATTCCAAGCTGATGGGAACATTGACCTGAAATTGCAAATGTTTGCTAATAGATTTAATGTTTGAGCGGTCGCATGCCGCCTATGGTATCATGTTTCCCCTCTGTGTTTCGGTTAATTTTTTGATGTTAAAGTGTGTACTTATCAATGTCATGACTACTGTTTACACATCACATCATGTCCAAATAAGGGCAAGTAGGCGCATAGAGGTCAGAGTTTTTGTAATTTAATTTGTTTGTGTTTGCAAATCCAAGTATTTTTTTCCGAGAAACGTCAACATCTGATTTCGGGATGCCACCAACATTCTTATCTAATTGAGCTTGACATGTTTCGACTGCAAGCAAGAAAAATTGGAGTAAAAGATGCGATAACTGGGTTGCAAAATCCCTTCAGCTGCGAGTTTTTTTTGTCCTCTAGGATGCAATTCTCGCACCAACCCGATATAGTAAATAATTACCAATTTTATAGGCATTTTTATAGGTCTCATTATGACGAGACATTGGTCAAGGTGAGAGAAACGAAAGCACATCAATTCTCGCAATGAATCACACTTCTGTTAGATTAATGTGTTTGAATATAAAATCAGGTTTAATGAGGCATTGCTCTCGCGCAGTCAGTCACTAGCATGTGTTATAAATGAACACTAAAATTGTTGTGCACGCCTCGCAAATAGCAGGTGCACATATCGAAAGATTTACAACTCAACACTAAAACTATTACTTATCAATCTACCGTATACCAGACGATGATTAAATTTGTGTCATTGCAATTTACATTGAATGGACAATGACATGAACTCTCATCGAGACACTGTTACAGAAATTCAAATTCGGCAACGTTTTCGGAACAAAAGGTTGCATGCACAATCCATTGTTTTCCTGCTCTGACCCTTTTTCGGTTGCGATGACTCAAGTTTCGCTAAGCCGCTACCAATACCTTTTAACTGCCGACAATTGCGCAATTCTGACGCCTTTTTTTCCGAAAACAAAAACCCGATTATCATGCAAAAAAAGAGAACGTTAGATAACGGCCGACAGCGGCGCCAGGTAATGGGTCTGACTCCAAGTCCAATTATGTGCATTACTCACACAGCCATCATTAGGTTGGCCGACAGGTTGAAGAAATATGTTAATATAATGGACGAACAATTAGGTGACCTTTTTCCGCAAGCTGCTCTTTTAAAGTTCCATTTTTTATTGGGATTAGGACCTTCACAAAAAATGTGGTGTGGCCGCGAGCTGGGGGCCAATAACCTTCCATCCATCATTGCAACACTCAGCCTGCCAGAATTCGCGCGGCATTCTTTTTGAACGGCAACAGTTGCCTGTTCCGGAAACTGTCACCACTAAGCCTCAATTATAAATCACTTTGCAATTGAAAATCGACTATTACACCGGTTTTTGTTTCTCTTTCTTAATCGCCGCGCAATGCAATCATAACAAATAGAACATTGCACCAAAATCAAAACCAATCATTCTTACTATTATACAACAATCATAACATATCGATAGTGCCTTTCTTCTGAATCTAAAAATAAACCACAGCATTCAATATGTATTACGGTAGATGTGCAAACTGTATGTTATTAATATCAAATCGAATGCTCCCTCTGCAGCGCTCTTTTCCATTCGACAAGAAGAAAAGCTTGGGAGAGAAATAATCATAAAATCAATCTCCCATTTTTTCGGCCCCGATGACATACTCTACTGATAGGAGAACAATGTTATGATGTGTTGTTTGGCAATTGAACGACGGGCAGCTGTCAGTTGAAGCTGGTCTCCTCTTCATTTTTATTCATAAGACGACGTAACACGTGTACCAGAAAACTGCATCCTTCTCGTCAAGGTGTTGGCCGAACAGATTCGAGAAATACGAGTAGATTATGACGCCGATTAGATTTGGCCCATTCGCGTAACTCCGAAATCAAGTGGTGGGAGATCATGGGTAACGAGCGTAAAATCGTTGAGCAATGTCCTATATTGCGCAACCAGTATTATCGAACAAAGAGGTGGCGAATACCATCCAAATTTATTGTGCGAGGTTTGAATCGCAACACATTGGGGGATATAAATTATTTAAACTAACACCACACCACCAACAGTCAACAAAATCTGTTGCGCAAGATAGTAAATACGAACGAACGCTTCAAATCCCGCATATTTTTTTTAAGCGATCGAGGTAGAATGAAGTGCATAGGTGTTCTTTTCAATGCCACATTAACTCAATTATCCGCGTGAGTGAATCAAACCTAATATGAATACTACACGACAATATGGTAACGGCGACGCGTCGATGGAAAATATTCATGTTTTTTTCATTAGTTATGATGAAGTTGATCTATAAACGGGTGGCGGCAAGCGTTTTAAAAATGCATCATTTTCGGTTGCTTTTTACTCATCCATTAAGCTTCCTCAAACTCATTTCTACGCGTTTTACTCGAACTATGCACGCCTGAATTTATGGCTTTTTAGCGACCATTTCTCTTCATTTTTTTTCTTACGAGGCACGCATACGACTATTTTTCGTCGGCCCACGCCTTATTAATGTTGCTTTGAGAGGCAAAGTTTTCGCGCGTCTAATGTTTTTTGAAAGAAGATAGACTGGCGCGATAGCGGATGGTAAAATAGATGCCCAACCAAGATATGATCTCACAAAGCACAATAAATTCGTTCAATTCCGTGAAAAACCGGAAAAGAATAACATACCAACATCCAATGTCCATGTTTTTACAGTCGCTATTGCCAGGCAGAGTGTGAGCAAAATACTCTTCATTTCTTCATGTGCCTAGATAATCGATCCTGTAAGAACGAATTAAAAATTCAATAATTGTTATAAGATATAAATAACAGAAGAAACGGAAATTAAAGTGGAAATGAGGCAAAAGTGTGATGGGGAATTTGGGAATTTCGGATGCCCAAAAAGGATACAACGATAGGCGCCCCCACCCTCCCCCCTTTTGCCTCAGTTTGAGCTCGAGCAGATGCTCAAACATCCGCATTGGCGAGTACGAGGATTCTCAACACATTTTCATAATCTAGCCATTTTCGGAACTACATTTGCTTCGGTGAAGGAAATGCGAAAAACGATGGCTTAATCCGTAGAATAGCCACAAAATGGTTCATTCAATTCCCTTCATTAATTACAATGAAATGCTCTTTTCCGGAATGGATATGTTAATTATTTGGACACCCGCTTCGTTTTTCACGACAAAATGCTAATGTACTATTGCAAAACAATTAGTATATGGGTAAAACATTCTAGGGAGGAAATCGGTTGAAATTTTTCATTGGACAGCAGCTGACTGGGCCAAAAAATCGAGTAAGAAAGCTTGAGCGGAACAGAGGCAAACACATTAATGTTATAAAAAAACGTTGTATGATGATGGTGATGACGATGATGGGAGAAGGAACGGGGAAATCTCAGTCGAGCTTTCGAAATGTTTGGTGCAACGGCTCAAGTAGGCGAAACTAATTAAATTGTCGATTCACTTTAAGAAGAGAACCCAGTTGGAGCTTCCACGCTGATTACACGCATATAATTTACAAATACCCGGCGAGGAAAATGGAATACTCATGACGAAAAATGCATAAAAAAATAGGAATTGTATTGTTTGAAATGAATCATGGGAGGGCCTCCCAAAAAAATATATGCAATTCAATAGGTATTATTGGATAGTGTAGAATGTGCGGTGATGCTCATATTAAAAACGGGCCGAGCCGAGTCACTGAGTGCGTCCGAAACTTGAACCATATGTAATCGAAATGTGTACATCCATTTTATCGCTCTATTAATCCTTCAATATCACGGACACAGCTCTTTCTGCGTTATACATAATCGTAAAGGGAAACGAGGATGTGAAGTGTGAAATAAGAAGATTCAAAAAACCATATTCAATAACTTTAAAAGTCAATTCTTCTATGGACAGAACACACGTTCTTGGCGATATAAAACTGGGTGGCAATGGAGCGGAGAATCTACAAGGATTGCGCGGCGGGCGCAAAGAATGCGATCGAGGAGGCGTGGCTTGGCGTCTGCCCCGCCGATGAGAGCAGGCATGGGACACTGGGCGGTTTTCCAACAAAAATGCGTCCATCTTATCGGGGCCTTCAAATGAAATAAGCATTTGCAAAAACGGTTTCTCTGAATGTTTTTGAAGTTTTCCGAATCGCGTGCCGGCTTTTAAGTTTGCATCAAATAATGCAAATGCGAAACATTGAACGGAAATTTCGGGAACCATAATTTTAATTTTTTTAAATTAAAATTTTATCATTCTGTAATTTTATGCTGATAATGTTCTTTAACTGTTATTTCATAAAAAAACAAAACTTTCCCATACGAATTTTGTATATTCATTGAAAAAACACTACTGAAAATTTATCTTGCATAAAAAACGTAGGAAAAAAGGAAAACAATAAAACTGCCCGGTGTTTTCCTTTAATGGCATATTGGCTGCACGAAAAGTCAATTTCATGGCTTTTCAAAATTATTCGTACCTGTCATGATTAGAAATGTATTCAATTGTACGAATCATATTATTTTGAGGACAATGAGAACAAAACGAACGAGAGTTGTAACCAATGAATGAAAAATGAACTTTGAAAAAAAAAACTTCTGATTACCGAAACGAAAACGAGATTTTTTTAATTCAAAAAAACTTGCATCACTTTTACGTCTTGATTTTGAAATTACAACTTATGAGAATAGATTAATATGGAAAAGTCTGATGATGAGGAACATTAAGTTGCAATACGAAAATCATTAGTATTGCAAAATTTGCAGGTGTTGGGTGATATTAGAAATAGCTCAATGTCAGATTTCCGGCCTGAACTCTTGTGAAATTAGCCGTTAACGCATTTTATCGGGTCGTACGGTCGTTTGCATATCACACGGGATACAACTATTGTTCAAAAGTTCGACGGCCTTCCACGAAGAAAACGCTCTTCGGCAATGTTTTTGTGTTCGGTCACAATAATGTGTTCGAATGAACGTAATTAGAGACATACTC